AAGCTTTTGGCGACCCCACCCAACGGCGTGAAATTTGATACCGTTGACCTGCAACAGACCTTTCGAGAGCCTCAATCTGTTGGAAAAAAAGGTGATATTCACAGGGTGTTAGTCGTGACGATTGCATCTTCTAGGGCTAGCTCAAATTAGGGTCAAGTTTGGATGGAGTGTCACGGCGGGGTTCTTCTTCAGGGGCTCGACAAGGAGACAAAGGGGTCAATTTCCAGGTTTTTAAGTGTGTTCAGCAGAGATTTGCATCTATGATCAATATCATCAAATTCATGGAGTTGCGGCTTCCAAAACCCTCTCCAATAACGGCCATATTCGCTGTGTAAATTGCTGTTGTATTTCCAACTCAGTCAACTCGGCCGAATTCCCTTGGCCGCCTCCCTAGTAGGCCAACTGTTATGCACGATGCACATCTGGTGTGGTTACACTCAGACCAGACGTGAACTGCCAGCTGTGAACTTCTTCATTTCTTTCTCTGTAGAATCTAACGTTAGAATAATTGAGTAACGATGGACTCGTGCATTACACGTACCGTGCTTCTCACGCGCCTGGTCCTCTGCCGCGATTGCTTAGCGGTCCGCTTTCTAGTTCAAGTACCACCCGTCCACCTTATGAACGGCGGTTACGGCGCTGTATACCGTCACAGAGACGTTCTTCCTCTCTTCTATTATTATTGTCTTCGCTGTCGGCGTCAAGACTCATGGGCAGAAAGCCTTGACGATGTCGGATCCTCCTCAACTTGATCTCTTGCAGCCGTTATTGAGGTGGGCTAGCCTCTACAGGTAATATTTTTTTGAACGTGATTTGTCTGCTCGTTCAACACGTTACCGTTGTTTACGCGGGTTGGCATCCGGGGGGTTGACCTAGCAACGCCATGGAATCCTGCCATTAGGGGCGGTGACAGGTGAGGGGAGACGAGGCGAGGGAGGCGAGGGAGGTGAGGGAGGCGGGAGAGGGCGTGAGGGGGGAGGAGGGGAGGGGAGATGAGGCGAGGGGGGAGAGGGGGAGAGGGGGGAGAAGGAGGAGAAGGGGGAGAGGGAGGCAGCGGCTGCTGCTGTTGCTGCTGCTGCCGCTGGGCGGCGTCGTACTCTGCCATTGTCTATTGTTAAATCGCCGAATAAAAGACTGGAAGATGTGTCCATTAGACTGACCCAGCTTGTCTACTTCCAGAACTATGAATTATTAGAACAAATAAACATTGTAATATATAAGTGCATAAAACTTACCAAGCTTTCGCTGCTCCAGCTCTATATATTATCAGAATTAATAAACATAACAAAAAATCCGTGTATGGGACTTACCCCGCTTGAATTCGTCCTTGACTGCAGGATCAATGTTGGCACCAGTAATACAATAAAAAAAAATGCGTGTATGGGGCTTACCCAGCTTTGCAATCTCCAAGTCTGTGGGATCAACGTTAGAACCAATGACATACGATAACCGATGCGTGTATAAGACTTGCCCAATTTCTTGCACTTCTTTTCTGTACAATCCAACGTTAGAATCAATAGAGTCATGATGGATTCGTGCATCGTGTTACACGGAAATCGCCCTGTTACACAAAGGGCTACGGTCACGGGATTAGGGCAGAAGGTCCTCACCGACTTCTTGTATAAATAGACGGCTTTGGTCCCTCAAGGCCTTGAGGAAAACTAAGGACCTTTGATACCAAAGACTGTTATTAGTTGAATTGAGCTATTGCTCCAAGCCCTCTTTCCGAGCCCTTGTCACACATCGTACGTACCGTGCTTCTCTTTCGCCCGCTTGTCTGACCCCTAATTCATGCCAAGCTGGAACGACCCGAGGCAGAGGGTGACGGCCCCGAAGACCGTCAGAAAGATGTCTCTCAAGTCCATCGCAGCTGGTGATGGTGATGGTGGTGATGGTGCCGTTATTGCCGTGGAGGCTGTAGTGGCCGTCGCTGTGACAAGGGCCTAGCTTGGAGCAATTTACTCAACTCATCTATAAAATATACCAATAATAACGCCCACCGCAACGGCGTAATCCCTCCCTGTCATCGTCATCGTCGTCGTTGTCGTCGGTGGTGGTGGTAGTAGTGTTGTTATTGCTGCTACTGCTGAGGACGGGGACGGGGACGGGGACGGGTGACGGTGGTGGTTGGTAGTTGGTGGTGATGGTGAAAGTGTCGAGCACTATCCGGGATGCGCCGTATAAAACGCCGATGATTGTGGACACCGCCCCGGTGTAGTCCCTCATCGTCATCGTCTTTGTCGTCGTCGTCGGCTTCATGGGCAGAATGCCTTAACAATATTGAATCTCCTTAACTTGATCCCTTGCAGCTGTTGTTAACGCGGGTTGGCATCCACGGGTGCTGTTTCGACGTGATGGTCTGCCTACTCAACACGGGTCAGACACATGTAGGCGAGTCGAATAGGTCGCTGCTGTCGCCGTCGTCGCATCGTGCCGCGCACTCCCGAGCCTGTTTCCCTACTCTATCCAATGTCAAACCTTGTAGTAATGATGGGTGCATGCAGGAGACTTTCTCTAAGACTGGGGAATCTGATATTACCTTGGATAGAATAATAATGGATTCGTGCATTGCACATACAGCGCTTCTCCTGGGCTCTAGTTGAGGCCAAGCTGGAACGCCGCGAAGGCAATGGTGATGGCCCCGATGACGGTGAGAGCGATTTCTCTCGGTTCCATCATCGTGGCTGGTGGTGGTGATGGTGCTATGGTTGTTGTTGGACGAAGACAATGAGGATGATGACGGTGACGGCGATGATGGGGGTTGTGGTTGTCGCGATCTCGTTGGAACAGGACAGAAACCGACCGAACTTGCTCATGGCAGGCTACTGTCTTCTCGGCAGCAGGTCTCCTTCCTTCCTCCCGTAAAACTTGTTCGTGCCAGGCAAGAGGACTTTCCTTGTCCTTTCCTTGTCCCTTTGCCAGGAGGCGGACGAGGACCGAGCGCACCAGACCATGCGAGGACGGCAAGAGCACGTCTGGATTTCACATGGTATTGACGAATCGCTTCATCGTCTTGACCTTTGGTTTGCAGCATGGTATGCATTGTATCGTGGAATATGCCCATGCACTTCCAAATATATTTGACGATATCGTAGTATACCAGGCAAATAGCTGGATGAGTGCGAAAAAATATTTTATCCCTCCTCCGGTCGCTCTGGCCTTTGGTCTCTGCTCCAAATACGGCCCAAGTCTCTTTATTAAGTGGCAGCTTAAGCTATTATGGCGTCAAGTGTCAACAGCTGGTGGCACAAATAAGGCAGCTGTAGCCAGTCGGCGCCAGACTTCACTTAAGGAGACATGGACCGGCCAGACATTTGGGTATTGTCTATTTTGCGCTGTTTAAATGCCAGTCATAACAGCACCCGCTTCCTTACGATGAAACTTGGGCCCTTTGTTCCGAGCTATTGCAAACCACTTCACAACTCCATCGCGTGGACCAGCTCGGGGCTTGTGGACAAAACCAGCGTTTTGCCAGCCATTAGACACCATACAGCAAATGATGGCACGGTATCCAGCCAAGATTCCATCCTCACGGAGCGAAGAGCATGTCATTTTCTTTACTTTGGCACCATGCTCTTTTTTGCATGTGGCGACGCATCCGACCCGCACCGCCAAGATTGACGATACGCCAAAGGTAAACTTGGACAAGGGAATTCCGTTCTTTTCGGCGGAAAGAGGCAAATTAACAACGTCTTCGCCCAAATCACCACAATACAAAACAAAAGAGAGGAACGATAGCCTTCGACACCATCAGCAACCACAAGAAGCATCTCGTTTGAAGGAGGGACAAAAGAAGGTTTGTTGGCCTGGCCTTGTCTCCTCTCACAATTTTTTTCCTGCTACACAGCGGACAGTCTTGTTGCCTAGCACAAAGAAGCTTGACTGGAGGAAGGGACAAGCTCCGCTAATAAGATGGCAGTAGCCTTTTCTGCGCACGAATTAACTCAGATAGCTTCCGTCCTTTCCTAACAAGGCGGCGGCCACGACGAGACCAATAACGACGACGACAATGGCAACGAGACGGCGACGAGGCGGTCGGGTACTGCATCGTGTGGAATAAGGAGACAGATCACGTTAAAAATAACGCCCGTGGATGCCAACCCACGTTAATAACGGCTGCAAGGAATCGAGTTGAGTGGGATTTGACATCAACAACACCATGAGCAACACCCGCGCCACTCCAGCCATAATAATACTTAAGGAAGAATTTGCTGTAGAAATCCGAGCAGAGGCCGCTGAGAAGCGTTCCGAAGTCGCCGAGGCTTGTGCCTTGTTGGCCGAAGTCGTGCTGTTGAGAAACGTAGTGCGTAAATACCCGAATTTTATCAATATTTTATGCATCTTAACGCTTCACAGAAGAGCAGCCAGCTGCCGAAATTCGGGCAATGGAAAAGTGAGACAATCGGAAAGCGCGGTACGTATAGTACATGAATTTATAATTTCACGCATATCAATATTCCACGGAGGAGGCGGCGGCGGCAGTGCGCGCTGCCGAAAGACATCGTACATACAATACACGCGTCTATTATCAGTGCCACACTTTTGGATTTAGCTTGCTTCAGTATGAGTGTCAGGCTGGTTATAGGGTTTGACTACTGAACCAACTGGCATGAAGCAAGCAACATCCAGCAATCAAAGCCCATAGCCTAAGATCACCAATATCCAGGCTATAAATATCTATATCTTGGCTCTCTCTCTCTCTCTCTCTCTCTCTCTCTGTGCTGCCTCTGAAAATGATCCAGTATGTTGTCGGCTATTGCGAGCACCCGCTACCCTCATATCTTGTTACCAGCTCTTGTTACTTGTTACACGGAAATGGCTCTGTTATACAAGGTCTACGGTCACGAGACCTAGGGCAAAGTCCCTCACCGACTTCTTGTATTTAAAGACCCCGTTAGTCAACGAGGCCTTAAAGAAAACCAAGGACCTTTGATATCAAAGACTGTTATTAGATGATTGAGCCAAATTGCTCCAAGCCCTCTAATCGAGCCCTTGTCACATTACCAGGTCTGAAAGGAACCTTCCTCGCTCGCTTTTTCCATTTCCTTGTAATCGATAGTCGTATCATGGTCAATGTAACCGTCTTGATAATCAACGTCAATAGACTCAACATCTAGGCCCTCAAAATATTCCCTCCTAACATTCTCCTTCACGAGTGCTTCCCACCGCCTCTTCTTGTTCGTCCGACAGTCCGGGGTATCACACCAGAGGACATGCTGATTGCCCCGAGAGGAAAACTTGATTTGAAACCCTAGAAGGCCCAGCCATCCAAAGCTAGTAGGCTTCTGGACATACCACGAGTAGCGAAGCGAGAGAATGACTTGTCCCATGGCAAGATGCCACATGTATACCGCACCACAGATTCGACATTCGAGCGTCACTTGCCGTCCACACTCACATCCTTTGGGCCATGGGGCTTTCATGCCAAGGTGGCAAATGTCATGTTTTGCGAAGCAATTGCAGATGCCAGACTGAACAAACTTGCGAATCTCTCTATCGGCAGAAATGTGCGGGCACAGCCTGTGCTTGTGGTTGTGCAACGCATCTGCAACCAACTTGGACAGCCTTTCTTGAATGGCGGGCACAGTATGATCAGATCGACGCTCAAGGTCGAGTAAAGGCAGATCCCATCCATACCCTATATGCTGAGTCCAGGTCTCCTCTGAATCCAGCGTAGCAGAGAACCGTGGGAATGCGGATCCGGTTTTCCAAAATCGACCGACCCTCGGTTGCGGCTGGTGTGACCGACGGGTGCATGCAATCTCACACGCCATGTCGGCGGCAATGGTTTGGAAATCTATGAGGTCATGCCATGACAGTGACCTAACGAGAGTGTGATCGCACACCGTAAAGCGTTGGAGCCATCCAATGCAGATTTGCTCATTGGAGGGGACTCCATATGCTGCATTGTCCTCGGGGAAGACTGCCCTTGCGTGTAGAACACCACATCCGTGGCAATATTGCAAGCTGCGCAGCGTCTCTAATCTTTTTTCTATCGTCCCGCAATCTTCGGCCGCAAGGCAGGCGGTGCAATACATGTCATGATGTAGAGAATTGGCGACGTCGTTCCTCTGCGCGTGGGTGAGCAGAGATACATCAAGCCGCTTGTGATTTCCCGGTGATTCAGGTTCTCGGTGAAACTCTTTGAAGTAATGTGTATCAAAGAGTTTCATGAACCTGGTAGAAGTCTGGCGAAGGCAATACAAAGAGGGTGCCGGCAGATGTAACATGACTTCCAGCACAACTTCACTGGGCAATTCCAGGAGAGGGAATGCTGAACCGACTTCCTGCGCGTCCTCCACTGGGGAAGTGGCTGCCGCATCTTTCAAAAGATTGAGAAAATATCGCCGCATTACCATATAGGCCGCTTTGAGGGTCTCCAGTAAGAAATTCTGCAACGTCGATCTCCTTTTTACCCCTTGTCGCTCCTCCCCAACCGCAGCCTCCTCCATGATTGGGTTCTTCTCTCCAACTTGGTTCTCTTGTCTGTCCGAGTTCTTTACTGGAACTTGCTGTGATGAGTTGGAGACTTCAGTTGTAACGCCGCCCACTTCCAGAACAGGAACAGCTGGGGCATAAATCCCGGTATGATCGAAGAGAATGGGACCCTCAGCAACACGTTCCGTGAGACTGTCAAAAGATGTAGTACGCCCGAGTAAAGAAGGCCTGTCCATCGCGATAAGTTAGCTGCGTGGTCCCAGAGGCAGCTGATTGTTCTGATTGATGCCAGTGTTGACTGATGTTGGGCAGAAGCACTCGGTATTTCCGCTTGTGATGTAAAGTTCGTAATACGACGGAGTGTCTGCAGCGAAATCGAGCTTCAAATCCTAAGTTAAACTTGCTTTGTAATGGGTCTTGAGAATCGAGTGTATCGAAATGACTTTGAGAACTACTTCTGGGTAGGTCAATTTTTTTTTCTCGACCAGGGGAGTAGACATCTTTATAATGATGGAAAAAGACTACGTGGTTTTAAGCCTCCAGTCTGCAGACACTACGGCTTTTCCAAGGTTATGCTGGTGTGAACCTACCATATTCTAGCGCCAAGGCTATTTTGAGTTGGTTTGTACAAAATGGAACCGTTCTTCACGCCTACTTTGTTGAATTCTATACGTGACCCTATCGGGTCTGAAGTGACTTCCCCGTCGTTGAGCCTACTGAGTCATGGGAAGTGCCATTTCAAGCCTCAAGTCCTTAGACTGAAATAAAACTCAAAGCTAAAATGGAATAAAATAGTAGCAATAGAAAATAAGCTCGCGTGGGCAAGATACGACGAGGCCAAACTGGCAGTCACAACGACGACGTGCCAGCCATTCCAAACAGCCTCTCTTTTCTCTCGGCAAACACAAGGTATACTTGGCCCCAAGTGCATTCCCACGGATGATTCCTCCTCAGATATGATCCACATCTGTCCATGTACTACTTCAGCACGGGAAACTATAATTCTAAGACGACCGCCTGGCAAGACTGGTGGCAGTACCGGGCTTTCTTAGACTCTAACATCGTCTGACGCCACAATTTCTTAGTGTAGATGTACAAAACGCCACTCCCAGAATAATTAGATTCATAGACGACAAACAGAGACTTAAGCCGTATGCCACTAACGTACTCAGACACTCTTACTGTCACACGATCACAGGAAGCCTACGACCACGTGTGACAAGGGCCTAGCTTGGAGCAATTACTCAATTCATCTAATAACAGTCTTTGGTATCAAAGGTCCTTAGTTTTCCTCAAGGCCTTGAGGGACCAAAGCCGTCTATTTATACAAGAAGTCGGTGAGGACCTTCTGCCCTAATCCCGTGACCGTAGCCCTTGTGTAACCGTGTGACATTGGCCCATTTCCGTGTGACACAAGCTTCCCCCTTCTTCTAGCTCGACCTCGAGCTAGTATTCGGGTCATAATGATGATGATAATAATGTTAATGATCCGCAGGACCTAGTATCAGGGGGTCTGACTACCAGCGCGAAAATACTCCTATGACCTCCACAGGACCTAGTCAGAGGCAGGAATACCGGCTTGCTAGCGCTGTAAGGCTTCTTTAACCTCCCGTAAATCTATTCAGAGGCAGGATTACCTGCTTACTAGTACAGAAAGAGGCTATAACCTCCCGTAAATCTAGTCAGAGGCAGGAATACCTGCTTGCTAGCTCGGAAAGAGGCTCTTTATATCCTTGTGATTTAGCAGAGGCTGGTTGCTTGCTAGCTAAGGATAGAAGGATTTATACCTTTGCTTGGAAGACTGTTATTTGTGACAAGGGCCTAGCTTGGAGCAATTACTCAATTCATCTATTAACAGTCTTTGGTATCAAAGGTCCTTGGTTTTCCTCAAGGCCTCGAAGGGCGGGTGACCCTTATTTATATCAAGAGGCGGTCAAAGGGCTGTCCTAGATGCCTGAGGCCTCTATTAGGTCTTTGAGCCCTTGTGTAACTATCGTCATGTTCAAGGTACGGCCCGTGCCTTTATGGCAACGTGACATCCGTGTAACACCACGGGACCTAGAGCAGAAGATCTTTACTGACTTCTTGTATCAACAGGAGCTCTTTAATCAACCAAGCCTTAAAAAAGTCGAGGAATTTCAATACCAGAGACTACTATTAGATGAATAAAGCTACTGACCCTAAGCCCTCACTGAGTCATTGCCACACTCACACTCAGTCTTCAATCAACCAGTCTTGCCAAATTTATTCCAACGCCTGCCCGGGCCCTTTAAAACGAGGCCGGCTAATTATGTCCGAATTTCCTCTCTTATTCTGAGTAGATTTTGGCTTGATGTCAGGCTTTGCCTCGGGCTCGGGCTCCGGCATTAGATCGGTCCCGTGTGATATTGTTGCGGCTGCACTGGCAAGCCTCTTTCCCCCTATTTCTGTATAGCCTGGTATCTGCCCTGGTTGAATACTTTTTTCCTATAGTAGCCCACAGTTACTGCTTACACCCACTCCCTACCAACATTCAAAATGAAGTTCCCAAGAGAAGGAATTTGTTCCTGCCAATCTGTGACAATCGTTCACTTTGTAAAGGTTTGGAACGGAGGTTCCATTCATGCTAATGACTTGCTGATATCCAAGGTCCTTTGTTTCCCTTAAAGCCCCTGGTGTAGATGCCTTTATTTGTACAAAGCGGCGACGATCCCTGAAGCGTCGAGGCCTGATACATAAACTGGGTATCGAGCCCTTGGATAATTATCGCCAAACTCAGGGGTCGGTCCGTGCCGTGGCGTGACTTCCGTGTAACACAATCACTTATTGTTACACGGAAAAGGCCCAATAGATGGTGAAGCCCAATAAAGGGACTTCACCGATAAAGTACCTATTGGTTACACAAATTGAACATGTGCCTAGGCAAGAGAGCTAGGTATAGCTGTTCCCTTCATGTATATAGTGGTCACTCGTCACCCCCTTCCACTTGGAAAATTAAGGGCCTTAACACCCTTCAAGGATAATATTGAATTCAAGTCTTTTACTTCATGCCCTTTATCACGCCCTTGTCACACTTATGCTGGTCTGCGCTGTCGTCTGTGTCCTTTATGTGTTGCTTCATCGACTCATGGCCTCTCAGCGGCATTGAAACTTGCGGTGTCCTCTGCAGCCAGGCGTCTTTCGCGGCCTCCCTTGTATCATTCAAATGGAAGCTCACAACAATAGCGCTAGTCTCTTCTTTAGTTCTGTCTAGTGCCGCACTGGACGTTCTAAAAATAGAGGAAGAACTGCCTGGTGGTCTTAATCACTAAGCCTGTTCTGGGCGTTGATCCCATCCGATAAATGTTCCCAAAGCACCAGACACGAGTGTAGTTGCCTATTATTGATACCCGTGTTTCTTACGTGGTTTGTCCGTGATGATGGGTCATTTACAAAACTGACAGATGGCGTCTGGTGAGTGTCTGCTTTTCCGGGCCGCCAAACAATCCAGCCTGCTTCGGTGCCCAGTCTGTAGAAACTAACCAATAAAAACATGTTCAAATATTGATGCCCAGGAAACGCTCGTTCGTGAAACCCTCCTCCAGCCCAGTGGAGCAAGCCGAGAAATAGATGCAGCAAGAATTCAATAGCAAACGGCTGATCCTCTGCTGGGATGGCTCCGAAGGGAGCGGGTCGTCGGCGGCCTCGTCAAGTGGCATCTCAAGGTTCAACCGCGTCTGCTGCCAACATCACGCAGTCATGCAGCTCGATTGGCGACAGCCAAGAAAAGTGCGTCATGACTGATGGCCAATGCTACCTCGATGGAACAACGGCAGCGCATTGTAGTCGGGCTGAATCAGGCCGGACCGAGTTTCTGCCCAAAAAGGGCATAGCCGGGCTGTCGGTCTCGGCACATTCGGAGTAAGACGATGCGGGGGATCCGGGCAGAGGAAGGCGGTGAGACAAGAGTGTCAACTTCATTTGCCCAAGCTCAGCCCTTACAGGACCTTGTTCTAGAATACGAGACGTAGGGCCTGTAATGGGGTCGGCCGCCGTACGTTGCCTCGTATACGAGACACCGGCCTGCTATGACGCATGCACGTAAGATCTGAGTGGTAATGCCAAGCCCGGACACTGGATATATAAGACGATCACATTTCTGTTCCTTTTCCATGTCCCCTTCAGATAGCATTCAGCAGCACTTGAACCAGAATCATCTCTCTCCTTCTCATCTCAGTAAACCCAGGGTGACAATATGAAGGCCTCCGTCGTTGCATTCACTGCCCTCTTGGGCCTGGCCTCTGCCCAGAACGCCGTCGTCATGAACACTTGCCCCACAGCCATCTATGTGCAGTCTTTCCCGTATGATGGAAGTGCTGCCGGCCCTCTTACCACTGTTCAGCCTGGCAAGTCCTTCTCTGAGCCATTCAGAGCTAGCGGTTCGGTATGTTTATCCCGATAGTAAAAGTCGCATGGCTCCGCGACCAACTCTTCCCGTCCATATCGCGAAAAATGCCGTCTCGATAATGCTAATCATGTGTGTAGACTGTCAAGATTGCCAAGACCAAGACGCTTGACAAGCCTTTGTTCTTTGGGTATTCGTTCTCCTCAAACCCCGACTACGCGTACTGTGAGTTTCCACTGGGACTGGATGCCCCTTTTCGAGAATCTCTCTGACCTTGGATTCTAGATGAGTTCAGCACGGAATGGGGCAACCCGTTTGCCGCAAGCCAAAACACTCTGACCCCGGGCGATGGCTGCGAAGTCTTTGACTGCCAGGCAAACGATGCTGGCTGCTACAGCACACCTGCCCACAAGAAAGTGTATGGCTGCCCTCAGCCAGTCAATCTGACTGCCCGAGTTTGCAAGTAGATAAACGTCGACGACCATGATGTCAATGGTTGTGGTTCGGCGGTGGAAGTTCAGCGGTAGCCATCAAAGAGGATTGTGAAGAGTCCGAGAACACATTGTATTATTAATGTTCCCGGATTGCACATGGCAGCAGGATGCAGCTTACATACATCTATTCTAAAGTATTTGTTATATTTAAATTATTAAACTGGAGTTCTGTATCAGGTATTGGCTGTGTCAGCAATGGCTTGCGCTCTCCGAACCAGATATTCAGCCTCAAGGAGCCATTACAGATAAGAATATCTGGTCTAGGCATTCTCAAAGTAGCCCCAAGAGGATAGTAGATACCGGATTGACTATACATAGTACTCTGGGAATTTATCCGGCTGAGTGTAGGACTCGTTGAATTTATCCTAGGCTAAGCTAGTTAAGCTTGATATTTGCCTTGAAATGTTCTAGGTTCGGGTGTTCTCCGCTGTTGACTTCTATTCATTTAACTTATTTATTAAACTTAATAAAATTGGTAGTATTAGCAGCAACAATTACAAGGGTAGTAGGACAGGGGTTAAGTTATCAATTTAGTAGTATAGCCCACTATTATTATCTTAGCCGCGGAGCTCTTTCCGTAAAAGCAGACATCTTCCTGCCAGATTTAGCAGTAAGACTTTCCGCTATTTAGCGGGAACGAGTGCATTATTTCACGGAAGCGGGATCGCGTCCAGTGCACTTATCTAATTAATAAAAAGTGCCATATCCAGATGTCAACTTGCAGGTTACCTAGGTAAGTAGTTGACCAGACATATCTGGTAACTGTCCAGGCGGTGTCGTGTGCTGCAAAGCGCCAGGCTGTAAAATGAGCCAAATTGGCGCCTTGGGCACGTTGGCCTCGATCAATAAGAATTGATTCAATGTTCGCTCCATGTCCATGGCCCTGGTATTTCCTGAGGCACCGACATCGAGGAGACCCATAAATATCAAGGTGACGCTCATCGAACGGCGCATAAGCATCAATCAGCCCTTTTCACCATAACTTGGGCGTCATATCCTGTATCAACAGAATGAAGTCTTTCAAGACCTTGACGCATTCCTGGAAAACTCCAAGAGCCATTCATCCTCCCAAAAGCAGCCAAATCCCTTTACCATCCCGCACAAGGCGCCATTCTCTTCATTCATGCGCCATCACGCCAGGACAAGGCCCGGCACAGGCATACCGCGATCAGTATCACTGGATTGACGGCGCCGAGTCCCTCGAAAAATACACACGCGGTGGCTACCATCCAGTAATGATTGGGGACGTACTCAACAAGCGCTACCAAATTGTCGATAAGCTAGGTCACGGGGGATATTCAACCGTTTGGCTTGCGCGCGACACCCAGCAAGAGCTTTACGTCGCCCTCAAAATCGGCATCTCAGATTCGAGGCTCCACGAGACTGCGATCCTGAAAAGGCTCTCCGACCTCAAACCTCGCACCTCGTCAGATCCTGTCGCTTCATCAGGATACGATGCTATCCCCCGGCTCCTCGATGAATTTACCGTCCGCGGCCCCAACGGGACGCACCCGTGTTACGCAACTACTCCCGCCCAATGTTCTCTCAGCGATGCTTCCCGTCATTCCCTGTTCAGGCTAGAGGTAGCAAGGGCTCTATCTGTGAAGCTCGTGTCGGCGGTCGCATACATGCACAGCCAGGGCTATATTCACGGAGGTTTGTCCCACGCCGCCCACGCCTACTCCGACACCCCTTGCAACTGCTCCTAACGCCTCATCCCTGCTAGATATTCACCTCGGCAACGCCATGCTCAAATCTCCATCCAGCCTCAACAGCCTTTCCGTCGAACAGCTGTACGAAAAGTACGGACGCCCAGAGACCGTCGCCGTCTCCCGCGTCGACGGAGCCCCTCTGCCGCATAATATCCCCGAAAAGGCGGTTCTGCCACTCTATCTCGGCAAAAAAGCCCATAAAATCTCTCTACCAGAGACGCGCCTGATTCTCGTCGACTTTGGCGAGGCATTCGCTCCCGCGTCCAGCACGCGCCCCTGCGAAGACTGCCGGTCACCGCTGGCCGCCCGACCACCCGAAGCGCGCTTCGAGCCGCTATCACCACTTTCATTCTCCGCCGATATTTGGACCCTCGCCATCACCATGTGGAAGCTCGTCGCCATGAAGCCCCTCTTTAGTGATGAATTTATTCCACCCGACGCGGTGGTCGCACAGCAAGTAGACGTGTTGGGTCCCTTGCCACCGCGTTGGTGGCAGCTCTGGGAGCAGCGGCATCAATTCTTCGACGAGGACGGAAACCCGACTCAAGGAGAATACGCATCGCCTCCCCTCGGCGAAGCATTCGACGCCTGGGTCCAAAAGTACAGGAACGAATTCAACGTGGGCGTGTTTTCGCAAGGAGAAAAGACGGCGTTTCTACAACTGCTGCGCCAGATGCTGTCGTTTGATCCAAAGGACCGGCCAACGGCCGCAGAGGTGCTAGAGTCAGATTGGGTAGTCGAGTGGGCGAGGCCGGACTTTGAACGGAGCATCAAGTAGGTATCCATGCTTGGGTTCTTCACGAGTGCGCAATTACGGTCACAGCAACCGTGTCGCGGGCGAGGAGCTTCCTAGAAACACGGACATGACGGAGAGCACGGGTGCGGGAACCGATTGGCTCGCAGCATTGAGGTATGTTAGAATTTCTAGGTGTGCGTGACCCTGCGACGGGCGGCAAGACGGACTCAGCCGTGCCTACGATGCTGGACGCATGCCGGCGTCCAATAGCTTCAGCCGGGCTTTCCATCGGGATTAGATGGCAGCCGAGCCCATCATCAAGGCGCAGCGCACAGGTAACCGCCCTGAGTGCGTACAGCCATCAATGTCAAATATCAAGCACGCCACTCCCTCATGAGATTTTTCATCGAATACGACGACTCAGGATTGGACTCGGAATGGGCACTGGTAAGAGTTGCAATAAGAACATGACAAAGAGCTGGGCACAACTTGATCCCGGACAGGACGGCACATCACATGACTCAAGGGCATAACTTTTCATTTGACATTTTCTTTCAGCATAAGCCAGTACAGTTCCCAGTATACCGGTACAGTCTGCGGCAGAATATATTTACCCATCGACAAGTACACACCAATATGCCATAATACAATACGGTATAGTATAGAGCGTGATGGCCGTGTACCTGATTTGGCCAAATACTTTTTGCCTCCCACTGTATATCCGACATGTCTTCCTCCGCTCATCGCATGTAATGTCGAGCAATAGCCACATGCAACGCTACATTATACGCATGGAACTCAAGACCCAAGCAACCTCTCATCGTTGACGTAATTCATCTAGCCAAATGAACAATATTACATGACAAAAAGCAGGTTTGTATCTAAGGGGTTGTTAGTATTGGTGTGTGGGGAAAGACAGGCACGAGGTAAACGTACCCAGTGGATGGCTGCAGGATAGCTGAGGCTTCTGAGTATACTTGGATGCAAGGATATCTCGAACGCTGTTCAAGAGCTCGACATAGCTCTGCTTAGGGTTCTGTTTAAGGGCAGTAATGAAAGCCCAAGACATGGCACCAGTTGCCTGGTTCGCAATTGTGGCATCGGCACTGAGAACGCACGGGTTAGCACATATAGCTGCGGCAGGTCGCATTCCATGTGGAACTTACGATGTCTGGTCGTCCTTGCTTCCGGACCACATAATCACATCGGCAGGCGACGTTCGGGTCTCCATGGTCTTGTTGTATGCATCATCTCCCTTGAATGCAGTCTTTGCGAAACCAAAGACAGTGCTTGCAACCCCTGCCATGTCGCCACGTGCATAGGATCCCAGTGCACTCAGAAGGCCTTGGCCAGCTTCCTTGGCAAGGTTGGGCTCTTTCAATACACCCTTGGTAGAGTAGACATATGGCAGGTCCATCGCCGTGGCCGAGTGGCAAGAGTCAAAAATAGCTGTCAAGCGCACACCTGGCTGCAGGGGTTTGACCATGCGAGCGTGAATTTCGTCATCAACAATATGTCCCACTTGCTGGTGATCAACAGGGTAAATGACCTCGTCAAAGCCATCGTCTTCGTCGCCGTCGAGATCCTCGGTCTGACCACCGTGGCCTGATATAGACTATGGTGAGCACTGCATCATGGGTATGAGACACGGAATTACACTTACCAGAGTAGTGGAAGAAGAGCGCGTCGTTGGGGCGAGCATCCTTGACGAGCCATCCCATGGCGCGAATCATGTTGTCCTTGGTAGGTCGCATAACGGGATTTTGTTGATCGTCGGTCAAGATGACCATGTCCTCCCGCTTGTAGCCATATCTTTCCATCAAGAAATTGGACACGTTGTGGACATCGTTGATACACCCGCGAAGCTCTCCCTTTTGTCCAAAGTAGTTGATTCCGATCAGCAAGGCCTTTCGACGACCAGTACAGTTGGAGTACTGGAATGTATAGCCTTGGGGAGCACCGTGGCCAAACTGCTGGGGAGCACTGGGAGGGGGGGGGCCGGCCTGCGCGCGGTAGGCATAGGTGCCTCCTTGCATCGGATATCCGTAAGCATCATAGCCGGGCGGCGGTGGATTGGCCGGCGGAGGACGGGCATACTGAGGCTGGGGACTGTGGCCGTAACCTTGGGGTCCGGATGGCGGACGCGGGCCGGGAGGAGGAGGACCATAGTTCCCCTGGGGAGGACCGTAATTACCGGGAGGTGGTGAATTGTACTGGCCTGGGGGAGGGCCGTAATTCCCCTGCGGAGGACCATATTGACCCTGAGGAGGGCCTTGAGGGGGGCCGCCGTAGTTTCCATAGCCATAGCCAAAGCCAGGACCTTGACCCTGAGAGAAACCTCCTCCGCCACCGTGATGCTGCGCAGCACCGTAGCGTCCTTGGCCAGGATAACCAGACATGGTGGTTGCGATGTACGTACGCGTGCGTCGTCGGGAAGAAAGCCGAATACGATGTTGCAAAGTAGGCGCAATGTGATGCGCTGAAAGTCTCAAGTCGATCTAGGCGATGTGTAGAAGTATCAAGGTCGGCAGCGACGTGAAGATGGGAATTTCCAAGGTGCTTGCGGCTCTAGGTTGAGTGTCGCCACGTGAACGGGTTATCGATGCTGACTTGGCTGCAAGCTTCTCAGCCCGGGCCGTGGGCCGACGAGGGAGGGGCAGGTTCGACGTTGGCGATGGCGGCTGAATGGGCCGGTGAGCGGTGATGCGCGCAGGACTGACGAAAATGCAAGCGCAGGTATAGACACAGGACGGCCGCGATGGGGAAGAAAAGAAGGCCAGGCTGTCTCTCTGGCAGAGGAAGCAAGAAGAAGGTGGTGGATGAGGCACTTGGCATGACGATGGCGATGGCGACGCGGAGGGTGGTTGCCCCGCCCCCACCTCTTTGGGAAAGCGCTGCTCAGCCCCATGATGTGACCAAAACATTCTGAAGACGCTGAGACACCTCACATGTGCAGGGTGCACGCTGCCAAACACCCAAACACCTGCGAGTAGTCATGGACGGGCGGGATCAAGCGTGGATCAGCCGCGCACTTTGGCAAGGGAGGAGTTCCCGAGGTCTTGGCAGCACGACCACGCTCCAACAGCTTTACCCAACATGTCAATCCTCTCTCGACTCCTGACCTTGGTCTGCCTGGCCACGGCTAGAGCGTGGCGTGAGAACAACAAGTTGGCCCTCTTGTTCAATGTTCCCTTTGTCACCCTCATCACCGCCTTGCAACACCCCACCAGCTTCATGGCTAACTGCCAACTGCCGCTCCAATGCTCGGCTTTGTTCCAAGGGGCTGTTCGGGGCGTTCGGGGCTGTGCTCACCCAGTGGATCTGCAACCTGAACAGTTGCCCGTCTGCATCTGCATTGTCAGAAGTGCCCAGCCGATACGTGTCGCGACAATAAGTGTTCGGTGCTGAATCATGGCCAGCCGACACTGTGCAGCCTTGGAGGTTGTTGGGGCCGCCGTCATGACAAACTAACTTGATGGAGCGGCCCGTTTGGACGTATGCACCAGGGCCAGAATCTGACCTTTCAGACCATTTGGACCCTTGGGACCCTGGACCTTTCCAGTCCGAGGCGCCAATATCATTGCTTGTCGTCTCGAATGTCCCGCATTCACTAAGCTCGACTGTGATTGACCCCTCGTCCTCGTCCACCTAGTCCCAATGCCTCCAACCAAGACCACCCACGCTTCGTTGCAGTGCGGGAGGGATCCAACAGGGGGCTTGAGGATAAAATACTCTTCTCTTCACCTCTTTCCTGAATCCTCCGTCCTTCCTGCAGCGGTACTTGTTTCCTGATGCTCTGATTCTCTGCTTCGAGCGTTGTATTTCGTCGACATCATCTGCACCAAAGCGCCGTCACAATGTCGTTCCAGGGCATGACCAACCAGTTTGGCAATATGGGATTTGGCGGCCCCCCTCAGCCCGGTATGTCTTTTCTTCGACGCAACGCAACTTTTACTGCCGCTTGCTTACCATGCTCTACCTCGCAGATAATAACTATGGAGGCTATGGCCAGTACAGCGCAAACCAAGGCGGTCCTCCGCCCCCCCAACCTTCCTACCAACCACCATCCGACAAGCCGCCACTGCCTCAGGGATGGACTCCCTATTTTGACCAGCAACACCAGCGTTGGTACTACATAGAGGAGTCGACGGGCAGGACGCAGTGGGAAGCACCGGGCTACAGTCCACCGCCCATGCAAAGCCCTCCCGTGCAGAGCCCTCCGGCCCAGGGAGGCTACGGGCCTCCTGCTGGTCCCCCTCCACCAGGAGGAGCTTACAATGGAGATGGCCAAGGTCAGACCAAAGGCGACAAGAAAGAAAAGAAGGGCAGCGGCGCAGGAGGCCTACTTCTTGGTGCTGCTGGCGGCCTTGCAGCAGGCGCCATTGGTGGAGCTGTTCTTCACCACGCTCTCCACGGAAGCGACAGCGACAGCAGCGACGACGAAAAACCCCATCACTCATCATATGCTGCCCCTGCCGCTGCCGAAGCTGCAGCTCCGTCTGTGACCAATATCTATCATACCGAATACGTCACGTACAACGAGCCGCCGCCAGCAATGTATGCCGCCGACCGGTACGACAGTGACCGAGAGTCTCTTGACGAGGCTCGAGCAGACGTCCACGAAGCTCGTGCAAACTACCAGCAGGCACTGGAGGACGCTGCCAGCTCCAGCGCCAGCAGCAGCGAGATAGAAGCGCTGGAGGAAGCTCGGGAGGAGCTGTATGAGGCCGAGGAAGAATACGCAGAGGAGTTTGATGAGTATTATGAGGACTAAGGGCTTTGTGCTCTGGTTGTGTAGCATATATGATACCAAGCATTGAGCGTTGACGGCCAAATCATCAAGCAAGTTGTGTTAGTTCAGAATGCAAGTTGAATGGAAAAAGTCGAATTTGAGAGACGAGAAGGGGCCATGTACTTGGGCTGCCCAACAGGCTGACGCCTCGCTAAGTCTGTGACTGTGACACTCTGGATGGCATAGAATGTGTGGAAAGTGCATGTTCAAACCTGCGGAGCACACAATCAGTAGTATTCCTCCACGAAGGAACTCCAAGGCTGCGTTTACCAGCACTCCCATTCCGCAGTCCCAGATGAACAAAGCAACCCATCAGAACTGGACAACGGCTGAACTAGCGCATCCCACTGCGGTATATGTGAGTTTTTGGTAAAGTTTACATGTTGGTTGACTTTTTATTTAATAGCGGGAAGGAGACTCAGCCTGGCATGTCCTCGCGGTGGACAGCCGTGTACGTACTAGTGGTCAGTGTTTCAGACCACGCAAACAACCGCTTCACAGGATTAAAGCGCCAGCTGGCCAAGTATTCAGACGGGATACGACCTTGACCCCATTGTTTCGAGGCGGGAGGGAGAGACTTCTAGATCTTTCAGGATGCGGTATCACGGTACACATTGGGAAGCACGAGACGCCGTCTTCGACGCGTGCACGTGTGCTCTCGCAGGTGGTGAGATGGGGGGAGTAGGTTTCGCTGCAAAGAAAGGCGTGCAAGTCTGGTCTGCATGTGTAGTCTAAATTGCGAGGGACTTGCGAAAAGGGCGTCTCTAGAACCCACTAGACTGTCTTGGGCGGTATGTTGCTTTCGGACAATGCAACACGCCTCTGTTTTGGGGAATACAGAGTCAGACCGTCTGTCGACATTACTGACGACGTTGTGGGCGGGTTCCTGGGCCGCATTCATGCCTTTTACGTCTTTGCGAATTTTCCGTCGGGGACGATACAAGCGTCCGATTTTGGGTTGCGGTGTTGTTTTTATGCGAAGGGGGTGCTGGGACGCAAGGGTGTCAAGTGCGCCAGTTTGTCTCTTATACATAGCACTGTGCTGATTCCTGAAGTCCTTAAATAAAGTACTTAAAGGCATGAAACAGGCCCAGTACATACTGGTAGCTTCATGTTGGTATCGGTCACTGTCCCTCTATTCCAGAGGGCTCAAACTGGTCCACCGCGAGTTCTAGGTTGCACAGTGGACAAGATCCAGTGAGGCTTCAAGGGAACCGTGATGGCATTTCCACTACGCTTCTGTCAGGGTTGCCGTCGTATGGCCGGTATTCGTATTCTGTCTGCGGATAGTCGTGCCAAGTTGGCCCTAACATTTGGAATTCCTTTCTTGGCCTAATCCCATTCAACTAGCAGAGGCGTTGCAGGGTGCAGATGGACTCTGGAGTCTGATTGGCTCATGCATCTATTGCAAGCACGACGTGAGCTCAGATGAACCAGCGGTATTCTCATTCATGGGACCGAGTGCAATGCAGCGACGTATTCGGCAAGACTTACAGAAAAGTCCAGTCGACTTGATTCGCAGCCATCTACTATGAGCAAACGGGTAGGATTCAAGGATCGTGATTCACACGGGCCTCCTACTCCGTACTATCTGTCAATACTCACCAATGACATGCATCACCGACAGTGAGAGGCAAAAGGTATAGCCAGATCAGGTAGTTACCTGGCAATAGAGCTCCATATTATAAAATAATAGTGTTCTAGTTTATACTTCTCTCTGGTACGACCCACCATTGACGTGTGATGAACCCCTGCGAACCCCAGATCGGCTGAACATGTCCAACCCTCCAACTACACAAATCCAGTCCAGCATCGTACTCGGAACGCACCCGATCGCCCCTTGACACCGAATACGACATGCCGCTTGCAACAACCGGGATCCACCAGACACGACAACCATCTGCAGAGTATCTGGTTGCAGAACATCCCAGATTCACGACCAGCCAGGCGCGAAGCCCAGGTCGCCAAGTCCCAAGACGCCGTCAATAGTCACAGCCCGCGGTTGCAAGCAATTCCACAATGAGTCCCTCGACGCATATATAACATGCGCACAAACCCGCCCGCAACCAGGCACACCTCCCGGCTCCCGGCCCATCAACCGCCCCAAGGAAAGAAGAGAGACACAAAAGCGCCCGCAATGGCCCTCCACGGCAAGACGGTCCTCGTCACAGGCGCGGGCGGCGGTCTCGGCCGCCAAATCGCAAACACCTTCCTCGAGCGCGGCGCCAACATTGTCATCAGCGACATCAGCGAGCCGCGGCTCACCCAGGCGCGGGAGGAGCACGCCTCCCGCCCAGACAGGGTGCTCGTCCTCCAGGCCGACGTCACCGACGAGCAGTCGGTCGCGCAGCTCGTCGCCGCCGCGGCCCGCAAGTTCGGCCGCCTAGACGTGGTGGTCAACAACGCCGGCGTCATGGACCGCTTCGAGCCCGCCGGCCTCTGCAGCAAGGCGACCTGGGACGCCGTGCTGGCCGTCAACCTGACGGGCCCGTTCCTCGTGACGCGGCACGCCGTGGCGCAGATGACGGAGGCGCAGGAGCCGCCGGGCGGGCTCGTCGTCAACGTCGGCTCCAACGCCTCGCTGAGGGGGCTCGCCGGCGGCGCCGCCTACGTCGCCTCCAAGCACGGCCTCGTCGGGCTGACCAGGAACACGGCGAGCTACTACGGCAGGAGGGGGGTCTGCGCCGTCGCCCTGCTGCTGGGGTGCATGGCCGAGACGAACATCCACGACGCGTTTGCCGACGGCCTGCACAAGGAGGGGCTGGACCGGATGCACCACACGCAGCCGGACTGTGCGGCCGTCCCGACGGAACATGTGGCGCGGTATGCGGCGTTTCTAAGTGAGGGCGACACGGCGCGGAGTGCCAACGGGAGCTGTATCGTCATCAACGGCAACTGGCCAGAGGTATAACGAGGCTCCTGAGGAAGAGGATGACATTGGGATAATATTATGTATATTTAGCTCTGTCGCATCATGCTAGCACAAGTCTATGTGTCTCTTTTATATCATTTGGATTGTTTTACAAAAACGCCTCCCATCTTCTGTCGATTTGTTTTCTCCGAACCTAGGCACACGTTAGCTTGCTGCAGGGGTCGCAAGGGGAGGGTGAGCATGGCAGACATACCACTGGTGCCAAGAACAAAACGCCAACAAACAAGGCTGCAACGGTGCCCACCAACGTTACCTTGTTGAAGCCCTTGCCCAGAATGTCAAATACGCCGCTAGGAGCGGCTCGGGTGCCGAAAATGTCTACACCGTAAGCGAAAAGCAAGCTGGTGCTCTCAATGACGGCTGGCGTGGCAAGAATCTCCTGCACGCCGAGCACGTCTAATTCGTGTGAAACAATGCCCCGTCCGTCAATCTCAAACTGAGGCGTGTACCTCATCAACGCCTCTGCTTCGACCTCGGCGGGCGTGGGATCGCGGTCGACTGGACGGCGGGGATCAATGATGTGTCGGGACACCGCAAGGATGCTGTTGCTATCTGGCAGGTATGCAAGAAGCTGGCGGCTAGTGATGCCCTGCAGGGTCTGGGTGACAGACAGACTCTTCAGTTGCTGAGAAAAGACGTATGCTTGCGAGACCACATGGGGCAGAGGAACACCAGTGGGGGTGTCGACGGGGTTCAGAGAGGAGAACTCTGCAGCGTCTCCGAGGGGCCCACGGTCGTTGGGCTCGGGAGACTCATACAGATCCGAAACGGCAACCTGGAACCCCTTGATTGTTCGGTCGGTACCATCGTTGACGGTGTAATCGCCAAAGAATGTGCACGCATACCAATTTTCGGCCATGGCACACGACAGGCCCTTGGTGCTGTCTACCCCGTTATAGACCTGAGATGCAAGCGCTTGGCCAGAAATGATGTCCAGCAAGTGAACCGAAAGGGTGCTCGTGGCCTCCTCAATGGCGGCAACCACAACGGTATTAGGATTGAAATACTTGTACGCCACCTTGCGGTCTCCGAGAACACGCCCAATCGAGGAAATCGGATCGTGGCTGGGTGGACTGACAATGTCGACAATCTTCTGACCCTTGCCAACCTGGAACTGCCAAATATCATCCTTGATGACCTCGCCATCTTTCGCGGTAAACTTGACGCCCTTCACGCCAAGGCTGCCATCACGGAGGACAATAGTATCATTAGGAATGGTCCCAATAGGCATGTTGGGTACTGGAAGTCCATTTGCACCAAGCGAAAGCAGCCATTGGCTGGATTCATCGCCAATGACGGCAGTGGAAGCAACCTTGGTGAAAGATCCAGCTTGATGGGCTTCCAGGATCCTGCCAGTGGCGGACGCGATGGTGGCACGCTCACCGTTGGATCCAACAACGGTCACCTCGCTCTCAGCATCCTTGGCCACGATGCCCCTGATAGCAAGAGATTCGCCAGGGTCCACGTTGAATACAGCTTGTGACCACAAGATTTTGCCCTGGCGGCCAGTATCGAGGCCATAAAAGCGACCTCGGCGTGTAGCCACGACGACAATCTTGCTGAATCCAAATGTATCGCGATGAAGCCCATCCTTGTGACCGGTAAGATCCGCGCCAGAGATGCCATCGATGATGCGCTGGGGGAGGCGAGCAAGATAAGCAGGAAGATGCTCCAAGTCTGCAATGTGTCGATTGACGCGGTGAATATAGGCGGCAACAGGATTGGCGTGAGCCTCCTCGGCCAGCACCTCGGCAAGTCTCTCTGCCTCGGGAATTTCAGCCCAGACAGCTGCGACGGCACCAGAGAGGCCTTCGTGGCGAGTCCAGTCAACTTGGCCGTTCTTGATCAGAACCCAGTCGTCTGCATCAGTAACAGCAGCCGAACGAATGGCAAATTCCTTGCCGCCGGCCTTCTTGATGACTTCGGAAACCGCATGGACAGCAGCGTGGCCATCTTTGGGCAGGTACGGCCAACTGGCAAGAATGCCATGGGACTCGGATGATACAATCGAAATATCATTGGCTGTAATGCGAGTGAAGTAGACATTGGCAGCATCGGAGCTGGTTGAAAAGGCCCCCGGGCCGGAAAGATGCGGCAGCTCATATGCCTTGGAGACCTGCCCGCTCTTGAGATCGGTGTGGTAGACGATGGCCTTGTGGCCAGTCTTGGTGCCAATATGAAGCAAGAAATGAGGCTGAGACTGGGCGAGATGGGGAGCGTGGATACGAAGAGTCTCTGTCCCGTCGGGGAGAGTAAACTCCTGCTTAGTTTTCGTGCCCAGCACATTAACACTAAGCTTGGAAAGGCCCCTGCTTGCCCAGGCGGCGATGGGCGCAGCCGAGTTGGCGCCAACAAACATGACATCCTCGGCTCCATGGATGTCACCCTTGTTGCCGACGGACCAGTGATCAACACGGGCACCCGTGGCCATGTCCAAAGACGTGACCTTGAGGTTATAAGAGCCGGGCGAGCCATGTAGACTGAGCACGTAGATGTTGGCTATGTTGGTCGAGACCTGGACAGGCAGGTCCTTGCTCGTCTCGCGGAACTCCCAAACGACGGTGCCAAGAGCGCCGTGTAACCGGCGAAGAACCGTCACGCCGTCCTCGTCAAACAGGGCCAAAACATCTTTCCTCGGGGATTCGGTCAATTCCAATATTTCGAGGTCCTTGACGACACCCTTGAATTCCATGTCCCAGATATTTCGGCCCGTAAGAGCATTCCATGCCTGTACCTTTGGTCCGTAAGCCGACGTGACCCAATTCTCGCCTTCCGGGGCTCTGAGATGGCCGCCTCCGTTGGCGATTCCATGGCTAATTTGGTGGCGCCATATCAACTCGCCGTTGCTGGGATTGATGGCGCCAATGACGCCAACGTCACCGAGTGTGTAGAGCAAGCTGGCCTTGTCCTCCTTGCGCGGTCGGTGGAAGAAGGTAGTCTCGACCTGGGGCAGACCGACGAGGGAGTAGTGGAAATCGATGTCGCCGACTTCGTCTTTGAAGACTGCGCCTGCGAGCGACGACAGGCCCAGCAGCAGGGCTGATTGGAGAGTGCGCCGCATGTCGAGAATGAGCGTGAGCGGCGACGTCGTGCTTGAGCTTCGTCCCGAGCTGGCCAGCTGTGGCAGCCTGTGGGGGTGATGGCGTATCCAGGTCAGAGCTGCTGGTTGCTGAGTCAGCAGACAGCTGCCTAGGGTAGCCCATGATGGCTGGAGTCTGGTTTTTTGTAAGCGTCAATGATGTACGCAGTACTCGGCAGAGCGGAAAATATTTCAGATGTTTTTTTTTTTTTGGTACGAGACCTCTGGTTATTTACATTAGAAGTTGTGCGGCATTTGACACAGTCCCTTTTAGTATTGTTGAAGATGGTGAATCTTGTCGTGCTTGCAAGAGAAGTAGCTGGGCCTTTGGTCATACTAGCGTAACAACTCTCAAGTACTCTGTAGTTGTATTCTATACGTCACACAATTTCAAAAATGGGAATAATAAAATCAGCATTGTCATTTCCCATCATTAAGCAAAACCACCCACGAGGCTGCTCTACCTCCGTCCCGATCGCTCACCTGCAAAACGGCGTCAACGTGACTTTGTGTTACATTGAAGCCGTAAGCCGTAAAGGCTCCCACTAGACCATATGGCACGTCTTGCACCGACATCAAAAAATTCCAGCCATCATTACAAGGGTACTGCGAGTGTCATTTACGATGTATGCATGAGCCGCGAGAGGCCCAGGCATACATGGGCAGATTTGGGGCGGCTTTGAATTGCACTTCGGGTTGCTATTCAAGTATGTACGGAGTACCTACATGTAGGTACTTAAGTACGTATCCATTTGATGTAAGCTCTTCTGCCATGGTTATTGCTGTTGTCGCCAACCAATGAATTGTGCCATCTTTAACCTATGGCGACAACACTTGCGCCCTACGCCTAAACATAGTCTGCTCACACACCAACTCTCACAGCTCCTTTCCAACGTCTATCCAAGCATTTGTCATTGCTGGACACCAGACGGGCTCATCTCGCCGGCCCTCGACGCCTAGGCCAAGTGTCTCACACGCCACCCGTCATGACGTCGCAGCCCCGTCCAACTCGGGCCAACTTACACGCATAGCACGGGGTCACGACACCAACTTCACACAATACAAAACACCACCTCGCCCACCATGTGAGCCTCACACTGGTCCGGCGGCTACACACACCCATCATGGGTCAAGAACTGATTGTCCCGCATGGCGCAATGTCCGGAATGCCATCCGCCTGGTCCGCCTGGCTTCATCCAAATCCCCGGCCATCTCCATCATTTAAAGTGTCGTGTGTCCGCGGCTGTGTTCCGACCAAATCACTACACCCAAGACTCGATCCGAATAGTGGAAATTACCCGCCGTGAGAACAAAAGCTCAGATCTAAGCAGCCCTTTCACAGCATTCCACCAGGCCCAAATGCCCGGCGTATAGACCGCACGCCTCAAATCCTCAACAGACATGCCCAACAACGCAGCATACCACATATAACCCCGATGGCCGAAGAGCATCCCTTTTCGCAAACCAAGCCCCTACTATCAGCCTTCTCATCCACGCCGATCCCGAGCCTCTCCCTCTCCGCCGCCGGCCTCCTCGCCCTCGCCGACCTGCACACGGTGGCCCAGCGAACCGTCATCACCGGCGGCTCCTCATGGCTCGACGCCCTCGTCCTCGCCCCCGGCCTGCAATACCAACAGGCCGTCGACGCCCTCTCCCGAACCAAGGACCCCCTCCTCTCCGCCGTGCTCCAGCGCCCTTCCGGCCAAAGCGAGACCGTCTACAGCGTCAACAACGCCGCCATGGCCCAGTACATCCGGCGGCTGTGGCAGGAAGCCAGCCCCAGCGGCACGCCCACGCTCAACGTCGGCGTCAGGAAGGGCCCGACGCCGCGCCAGCAAGCCGAAGCCATCAGGCGCGCGCTGGCCAGCCTCGCGACGAGACGTGTAAAACGACATGGACGCACCGCCCACGCCGAGATAGACTGGCTCAGCCACGTCTTCTACCTGCTGAGCCCGGTGCTGACCCTCGTGGCGAGCACCTTCATGGTCCTCCTCGCCGACTGGTGGGGCCTGTCCTTCATCGCCGCCCTCATGGCCTCGCGCATCCTCAACATATACTCCATCAAGCAGCGCGCGCGGCCGTCCCCCCTGCCCGTCCTGGCCAAGGACCACGACGGCGAGTACGCGGTCCACCTGGGCGACGGGTCGCGCGTCCTGCTCCGCGGCCTGGGGTCCGACATCCGCGCCATGACGGCCCAGATCTGGCTGCGCCGCCAGACCGTCGCCGAGGGCTACCTCGAGGCCGCGGCCAAGCTGCTGGTGTACCTGGTTGCCGCGTTCAGCGGGAACCAGACGCAGGCCGGGGCCATGGTGCTCATGGCGCTGCTGGTCTCGAGCGCCGCGCTGTTGGGGCTGAGCAACGCCCACGCGAGGGGGCTCCAGGTCAACGGGAGGACCGCGAGGTTGCAGGACATGGGGCTGGCGGCGGCGGCGGCGGGGGATAGTGAGCAGGGCGTCGTGGATGGGAGGTTGTGCGAGGACTTGCCGGACGAGCGGTTGGAGGGGGGTGCCGCTGGTGCGCCCTGACTCCTGAGTGCGTTGGATTAGTGGCGGGGGGATATGGGAATACATATGAGGTCAAGTGTGTGAGGTAGAAACGTACACATCTCTCACGAGGTATAGAAGACGAGGACGAAGCGAAACGGCGCCATTTTGCAGGCCCTATTGTACAATAACCATATAGAAACAGAAATACACGTTTATATCCCTATTCACAATCCCATACGTCGCATAACAAAAATACCCGTGCATCCCAAAACTTACAACGCCTTCCCGGTAATTTGGTTTTCATCTCGATTTAATAGCCGTCATGACAAACCTTGATGTTGCCACGTATACGGGTGTGCACTATTTATATATCATAACAATTGCAAGACGCTAAACGACCTACTCATTCGCTGGCTGGTTGTCCTTCCTTTCTTCTCCGTCTGCGGGCTGAGGCTCTGGGATTGCGTCTGCCGTTGGCGGCTCGGCTGCGGGGGGAGTAGGTGCTTTGGGGGCTTCTGCCTGAATGTCGACAGGTGTTGGTTCTAAAGCTGGTTCAACTGTGGGTTCTTTGGTGGGCTCATCTTTGACTTCGTCTCGGGCATCTTCCTCGATAGGCTCCGTTTGTGCCACAGCTGGCTCCTCGGCTTTTGCTTCTTCCATGGGCACATCTGCTTCCTGAGCTGCTGCTTCCTCATGGGACATCTCCTTTGGCTCTTCGGGCGCGGACACAGGCTCCTCGTGAGAGACCTCCGGCACAGGGGCGGGTGGGGTCGGCTCTTTGGCTTCAGGGATCGGTTCCGGCTCAGGGACAGGACGTGAGACCTCGGGTTCGGGAGCATCGGTGATAATGGGATCCGGCCTGGGGGAAGAAGCCTCCTTGGGCGCATCTTCTGTTGACACTTCCACCTCTTCTGGTTTCGGTTTCTCGGGCTCCGTTTGAGTATTAACCAAAGGGGTATCCACTATAGACTCTGCAACAGGAGAGACGTCTTTTGGCGGTGAAGGCTCCTTGGGTAGCTCTTCTATGGGCTCCGCTGCTGCCACAGCTGCGTCCTTTGTATCCTCCATGGACGCAGTTCCAGCCTCTGATGGAGCCCCGGACTCAGAGAGGGGGAACCTGACGGACGCAGAATCCTCAGGTTTGATGGTGTCTTCAGTCATGACGGAATCCTGAGGATGCAACGGCGGGCGATCGGAAACAGAGGCAAAATCGGATTGATGACTCTCCCTGCTCTTGTCTTCGCTGTCTGAAACTCTGTCTTGGCCATCGTCAGCCTTTGGGCTGGAGATGTTGCCTACTTCCTCAGGCGGAGGCGGCAGCAGAGCTTCTTCTCTCAATGCGACATCGGGGCTAGCTGTCTTCGGCGGTGACGGGGCGTTCGGTCTTGTTTCCGTTTGTTCCTGCTCAGCAAGCCTTTGAATTTCGGGAGCTTCTCCAGCTGGTGCGTCTCCTGCAGGCACATCTACATGGGCTGGAGCCTTGTCTTCATCTCCAGCAACTGTGGATGCAGGCTCAACAATCGTCGACTCCACCTTGGACTCAGCATCAGTTGTCTGGCTCTGTTCCATTGTTGGACTGTGCGCGCTGGTCATCCCCGGTATTGCCGCAGGCTCCAGCCCGGATACCGGCGCAGGCTCAACAGCTGGAGGGAGGGCCTCTTGCGCCTGAACTTCGGTAGGAGACTGCATCATCACGTTCTTCAATGGACTGCCCTCAGGCCTGGGCGAGCTGGTCGCAAGACTGGCGAGAGCCGGCGCTAGGGTGAGGGGCGGTACCACTTCCGTCTGCGTGATGCCATCCATAGCGTCAACGACTGGCTTGCTTGTGGTCGGAAGCTTGGCTTCTTCCACAACATCTGTCATCTCCTCATCCTGAATCTTTGAGTCGTCGGCATTATCACCCTGGTGATCAACATCTTCTTGGTCCTCGTCTTCCCCTTCCTCACCATCATCTCCCTCATCATCATCGTCATCGTCATCTGCCATTTCGCTATCGGGGTTAGGGGTACTGGCGCCCTCTTGAGCGATACCCTGCCACATCCACAGTTAGTATCCAGATACATTGGTCATGCCGTAAGGGTTCTCACATTTTCTCCCTGGCCTTCAATCTTGACAACAGTCGCTGTACCACCACCAATTGGAGCGACGCCAGCGGGCTGGCCTTCACCGGGGAGTGGATTCTTGATCTTTTTCTTTCCCCGTCCAGGGCCAGCCTTGGACTTTCTCTTAGGCGGCGGCGGTCGTCGTCTTGGGGGCGGCACAGGGGCTACAAATGCCTCCGCAGCAGGAGCAGGAGCAGCCTCAACACGAGTTGAAATGATCTCTCCAACTACCTGCTGACCCTCGGCAAGCGTCACTTCCTCCGTGTACGGATTGCCCGCTGCATCTATTCTTCGCACAGTTGCCCTCGTGACGGTCGGTCCTGTCGCCTTGTCTTCGATAGTCCTGCTCGCAATCGTGACGGTGCCCTTTCTCCGTTTAGCCAGGTGAGATAAACCGGACCCTTCGTTGTTTCGTGGGATCTGCTTCCACAGCTTAATAGAAAACCCCTTGACTGTAGTTTCCTCTTCCTTCTTCTCATTCTTCTCTGCAGTCTGGGGGATCTCGGCTTCGGCCTCTTCTTCCTCGGCGGGCGCAGGTCGCTTGTACAATTGGCCGGACCGGGCGGCGCGAAGGAGCTCCTGGCTGTGCGGCGCTAGCAAAGCCGAGTCTTTTGGCATGCCGTGGAAAAGTTCAATGGCCCAGACGTCGTTTTGCTGCATAGGCTCTTGGGGAAGTGGTGGCGCCACGTTCACCCACTCCTGCCGCCATTGTCGTACGGGAAGACCTAGAATATCATTAGGAGATGTTCGATTCGATGTTCAGATATTCCCAAACCTTCAAAGTCATCGTGTTCGGCGTAACCGCTTCGATTGGCGCGTCGCGTCTGAAAAGGCATGTTAGCTGAAGTGCATCATTGCATCGTCGCACCTGGGTAGTACAAACTCCTGGCGCCATTGCCAAGCAGATATGAACTGCTCTGCAGTAGACCTGTGAAGATGCGCTATCGCCTGGCTGTATGCGCAAACTGCAGTCTTTGTATGGAGATGACTTGCAGAGACAGACCAGGTCGTGAATGCGATGCGCCGAAGGGGTACACGTTCGCCCGTTTGATGGGTTGTCTGTCAAGATTTGGGTGAGGCTAGGCGCGACAAGGCCAATTACGAGGCTGCGACTTGATGACATAAGCACAGGACAATCCCTGCATCTGCAGCAGGACGGCATTGCCGCAAGGGGTCGGGGAGCGCGAGAAAACTTTGCCATGTTGAAACATGAGATTATTTACGATCTTGATGTTGCTGCAAGGGTCCAAGCCTATTTATTACCTTTCATGGAGGTGCAGTCGCAGTCAAGGGCGACAACTGACCAACGGCTCCGTCACGCCTTGTGCAGTCAAGAGATACCAGAAGATATGCGTAACCATGTTGCAAGAATAATCGTTGAGATGTGCTTTTATTGCCTCCAGTTCTATGCCCCAAATCTGAAGTGACTCCTGCCCCAGAGCTAGTAAAGATGCTCAAGCTAAGGTATCCGTTGTATTTTCAATGTACAGTCATAATCCGCCGCTCTACTATACAAGCTTCAAGCAGTATTCACTGAAGCGTCCCTTGTTGTTATCTCAATTCCAGCTACAGAATCATCAGCATTTTTATTTTGTTAAAAGGCCCGCGGCCTCATGGATGATGGATGCCTACCCTTGTTCCTTCTGCCTAACCACCTCGCCGTCCTTTGCGGTATCCTTGCCCTGCCAAGTGTCAGTTTTGATCGTGCTCTGGATCGCCGCGTCAAGATGATGACGTACCGAAATGCCTCCCTCGACAACTAATCGATCCAGCTGGTAGAACTGCCCGATGACCGTTTGTCGCTATCGATTCACAACGATTAGTATCCAGTCAAAACCGGCGCGTAACGGCTAGGTGTCGCGTTGCATCGCTAAATACCTTCATGACCTGAAGTTCCTTCAATCCCTTCTGTACCAGTTCCTGGACTTTGCGCGGGTCTTGGACGGATATGTTCTCTCGAAAAGCATCTCTCGTTCGGCGCTTCGCGTACTCTCGAAAGTTGTATGCTGAGAATTGTTCGCCCTGCCGTAATAATTGGCGATACTAAGCAAAACACTGCGTTAGACTTTGAACCTGAGCGACGCTAATCATCGGGCACCATCTTGCACCCGATGCCGCCTGTGCGAAAATGCCGGATACTCGGGGAATCGAATGCAAGGTGAATGCGAAGGACGTTCCCGATAATCGGAATCCGGCATGTCGATTTGGAGGATTTGTCATTACTCACGAGAGATCGAACTTGTTGCGGCATGTCACCTTTCAAACTGCCAACGAGCGACATTGTGGGAGGGTGCGTTTTGATGTCGTTGACAACGAAGAAATTCACCGGGCTGGAGGGATTCGAGGCCTGGCTGACGTGAATGACATTTCTGGGGGCAGCGCTCTGTTCGGGTGGAGAATTGTCCGAGCCCGATTATCACCGAAAATTGACATGCTCTTGACTGGTAGACTGTTGGCGTCGCCACTGGTCCGACTCCACAGGAGTTCCGTCGAGCTACTTACATAGCGTCGTCATTTGCTTCTCGCAAACGTGGTGATGGAGAACGACTTGGTCCATATCACTGTCCTCGAGTGGCATGGTAATGGATTGACGGGTGATTGGTGCCGAGGCTTTGGATGGTACAAGTGCGACTCCAGCAATGCCATGCATTTCACGAAAGATGCAAACCTCCTGCCGTGTCGTGTCCTGTCGTGGGTATCATATTTATTTTGTTGCATGCAATGGCGCCATCATACGGAACACCGGCCTCCAACTTTGTTGTTTCCCCTTGCTCTATCTAGTAGGGACTACTTGCAGGTCAGCGCAACACATGGCTCTTTGAGCCCCATGATGAGACATTGCGTCTTCATCCTGGTACACTCGCACAAATTTTGTATTCCGGATAATCCTCAATTCTCCCCCTAGCACTAACAGCCGTGGGCTTCAAGACGACTGTGTTACCATTGTACTGCCTTGGCCGAGAGCGCGACAGGTTGATCCGTAGGCTGTAATTCTCATCCTACCCTCATTACCCCTAAGTTCCGAAATGGCGCTTTTCTCGACGCCGCCTTTTGCGTTGCCTGACTGCTAGTGGACAATTCATGATGTTTTTCCACCATCGCGATACTGCATCGTGGCTTTTTGTAGTTCCTTTTGCTCCTCTATAATGGCTTTCAACTCCTCATTTTCTTTGAGCAGTCTGGTGTCTTCTTTGGTACCCGAGTGAGAATTAAGGACTGAAGCTGTGGCGCTCTCAATCACATCGACAGGCAATCCTGTCGAGTTGAGCATGTAGCTGAACCGGCTACCCTCTCCAAAATCCCCTTTCAGCTGAGCAGTGATGGAGTATTGCCGCTGACTCTGAGTGGGTTTCACCACGCTTGCAACTTTGCACGGCTTCTTGGGTGATAACAGCGGCAGGTAAACAAGATTTGTAACGGAAGCATTGAGATTCGCCAGCTCGGTTGGATGGGAATTGTCAATCAGACTCCAGTGGAGAATCTTTCCTTTTGTATGACCCGTCAACACTGATGTACCATCGTGGCTCAATGCAAGACAAGACGCGGGACCGTCGGCTACATCCGAAACTCCTAGAGGAGCATTTACTTGAACAACAATCGAGGCAAGCTCAGCGCTGCGAGATCCGACCAGTGGCTTGTCACCAAATAGCTCAACTAGATACAGTCCTCCATCTTCAGCGCAGGCAAACAGAGCTCGAGCAGAGGCATCGAGAGAGACACAGAGTGGCGGAGACGGGAACAATAGAGTTCGAAGCACTTGGCCTGTTTGATAGTTCCACAGGATGCACGTCTTGTCAGTGCTGGCAGATACACAAAGGCTTGTTTCAGCGTTGGTGCTTGGCCCAACAACCAAGTCGGTGACGGCGCCGCGATGGTTAGACAGTGTCAAGTCGGGCTCATGCCCTGCGTCGGCACCGAGCTCAAGAAGGCGAGATAAAGACCAAACATGAATGTTGGAGTCTTCTGATGCCGAAAGCAGATGATAGGGGGTGACGGCTAGACAAGTGACAGCTTGCACATGGCAAGGCGGTGTAGTAACTTGTCTGCCGGTGGAAATCTGTTTCAGAAGGTTAGAAGAAAGAAAGAAATAATGAATCAAGGCAACATGGCAGGTTGAAAAGGATTGTTGCGAGGAAAAAAGAAAACTGCCCACTGACCTCCCATAGAATGAGCCGTCCTTCAGATGTACCCAAGATGAGAACGTCGCCAGCAAGGGCTAGACTACGAATTCGCTCGGGAAAGGCTACCAGGGTTTCTTGGTTGCCACGCAGCCGGGAGTAGACATGTACATGAGCCTTTTGATCCTGAGCAGCAAATATGTGCGTATCGTTGACGGCGATGCCATGAGGCGGCGCTGAACTCTTCTTAAAAGTAGATTTGATTGCCCAGGAAGGGGTCAAGGAGTGGCCGTATATGCCGACATCTTTTGAAACCGCCGTATTGGCTGCAATTGGCGGTCCGCAGATGGAGGAAAATATCTCCTCAGACGGCATGTCGAGTTGAAGTGGTGTCGCGATTTTCGAATGTGATGGACGCAGGGCCTGCACTAGCCTTGAGTAGCAGCACGAGGCGCAGCCCCGTGAAGGCAGAGCCAAGAAAACAAGGCAAGACAATCGTCAATGCCAACGGAACGTGGTCAAACGGTACGAAACCAATAAAAGCCACCTTCAAAGCCAGGCGCGAGGGCATACGCTGGAGGCAATGCGTCGTTGATGCTTTGTTTCTGGGCGGCTCCAACAAAAAAGGAAGAAAATTGAATCCATCCGCAATGCCATCGAATCACCAGCCTCCAGTGCCATGCACGACGGCCGAGCCCCACACAAGCAATTGAGAGCTTATTGCGGGTTGTGGATTGTCAGACCCACGGAACGACGAAGAGGTTGAAATGTGAGGATGGCTGGTTGGATGTCAGACAGCGACACGCCAGCATGGCAGACACTGACGGCCCAGCTCGCAGCGCAGCCATGACAAGGGAGGGCGAGGCTATTGATTGAGCCATACATAAGTCGAGACAAATGTGATGAGCGCGGCATCACACTGCTTCTTTCATGCGTTTTATTCTGCTGGCAAACAGGAAGAAAAGGCGCCAAGGAAATTTTGCCTCTTGGGGCGACTGTACAGTCGTCGCTAGAGGGCCGAGTTCCGTTTCACAAGAATCGAGGAGGGGCAGAGGCGTCGTTGGGCCCGACTGCTGTGAGCTTGCACCCAGCAGTTATCGTGTTGGCGTGTTTGCCATCAGCGGCCACCTTTGCATTGTATGCAGTCAATGTGCCGCAGAACGGGGACATTGGGAATAGACATGCGACCGAGTGTTAGGACATTTGCCAATTGCCCTTGCAGATGAAAAGCTTGCTTGTTTGCTTACGCGCATGCGCATGCGCGATGTGCTTTGTCCGGGTCAACTGAGGGCAGGTGCGACTGCTGTCTTCCTTCCTCCCCCGTGCCTTCGAGACTGTGGTGCAACTCGTGATGCCCAGATGACTGGACCGAATTCACCATCTGCATACTCCATACTCTGTGCCCTGCATCTGCTGTGCTACATCTGCTGTGCCGGAGATTGACGTCCATTTGCACATTCTTTTGATCCCTGAACCCCCAGGCTATCAACCCTCACTTGGAGAGGACTGCCGAGTACGCAAATTCACTCTTTCTTCTGCCAAGTCGCTGTCCAGCCATCAACATCATTGCTTTATCCACTTGTCATCTTATCCGCCGTTGAGTGTTACCTACCTCATCATGAAACTACACCCTTTCCGAGCGCCTGCTTGCTTTTTCGGTTCTCTTCCTAGCCAGGGATGGCTCTGATCGATCAGTGCCCCCTTGCTTCTGTCTCAGCCGCTCACATCTCCGCCCTGCGTTTTGTTTACTGACCAGTTGGCTAATACCCGCGGCTCTGTGCTTTTCGCTTGGCCATGTGCCATCGCTCTCGCTTCCCTCGCACGTCGTCATCCTCGGAAGAATCATGCAATGCCCCCTTTTGCCAACTAGTACGGAGTACTACTACATACGACCTGCAGCCAGGAAAGCCTAATGGATGCAACCTAACAAGACAACTCCCCGCCTTCCGGGAAATGATGAGAAAAACCTTTAAACTGCACCAGGTCTCGACAAAACGGCGCGAAGCCGGTTCCCGTCGTAAGCCATTGCCAAATTAATTGCTCATACGGGGGGCGCTGGTGAAGGAATGATTACATGGCCGAGCTCCATGCCACATGGCAGCCCTGTGGATTACTCTCGCTTTCACGACTTAAAGACGCTGCGAAAAGACCCCTGTACCACCAGAGTCTTGGACACCACCGCTCGTTTGGGGCGCTTCGATGTGGCTTGCTTTGGCGAGGGACTGTGGTGGATTTGCTTTTATAAAATGCAGCCTCACCGTTAAGGGCACCAAGTACCAAGGGCAAGACCAAGAGGTTTTGCTGCATGTTCATTAAACACGCCCTGGTCTCAGTATTGCGCACAATAGATCCGTCAACTAGACTCGCGTCTCTTGACGGAGCTGTTCAGAGCCGCCTGGTTACCTGGGACATTGTCCAGCGTCATTGTTACACACACTGCTAACCATTCAGTAGGCACTGTACGAGCATCATCACAGAAGCTGTTGCACCAATTGCGAAAACGCTATGCGTTGGACTTCCGTGGTAGGCTAGGCGCTGCTGCTTGTTTCTTTTTCGACAAAGTATTCAACGCCTCCCTTGATGGTGGCATGTTGAAGGGTCTCGTAGCGCCACTGCGACTTTGCTTTTGTATTTTGCGCACTGTTGTAGTTTTGCTTCTTTCAACCCCGGCAGTCATCAGAGTGTTGTCAACGTCCGCCCAACCTCACCGCCGCCCTACGATGCGTCATAGAGGGTGCTATAGTTCCTCCATCGCCCCTCAGTATCAATATCCTCCGCGAAGACACAGTGCGACAGTCTCATGATTATTATTGCCTCGCCTGTATCCAAAATGAACGGGCTTCCTTTCGCCGCGACATCCAAATCCACTGCCGGGGCGTGAACACAAGATCTGTTGTTTTCTGTCTCTGCATGTTTCTTCCTTGATTGCCAGTGTTTCGCTATCCTTGGTCTGTGCATGGTTGTTTGTTCCGATTGTATGGTCATCTAATTATCGATATAACAATACGCCCCCATCCCCAAAATCCAGCACTCTTGCGTTGCTTCCTGGGCATTGCCTTTCTCAATGCAAATACCTGGCAGTGAAGAATCGCCATTTACGTCTCTGTTTGGCTTGAAGCTAATTCCCATTGGAAGTGAATCGCAAGCGCCATCGACTACTGGCAGTGAATCGCCCTCAACTGCGAGGTCGTCACCATCAAGTGGGAGGAGAAGGTCTGTGTCAAGCATGAAGGATCTGATTCCACTTAAACTTTCACCGTCTTCTTCAAGTGTTTGGAGCGACAGTCAGCCTACGCCAGCGGACGAAGGCATGGCAGATCGTGCGGCTGACTGCCTACCCGAGGTCCTTGCGAGAGACCTGGAGTTGTCGGCAGCTGTTTTCGCGGAGAAGAAGATGACAGCCGGGACCCCCGTGATTTCACTTTCTGCCGAGGAGCGAGCAAGGTTACGAGCCAGCAGGATGGCCTTGTATTCACCATATCTAGCCGCTTCTGCGAGAGTCCATTCGCTTGATCCCATTGAGGAAAGGGATTCCACGGCATCATTTGTCGACCAGGAAGTAGAGTTTCCTGTGGAAAAATATGAGCTTGATTCCGAATCATCCAGCACAACTAGTCACTGCAGCTCGGACGGCGCCGAACCACCCGACTTCCGCCATCGCGGTTCCGTCGCCACGACCGCAACGTCCTTTGCGTCCGTGGCCTGCAGACGGAAGAACTCGCTTCTTCCTGACATTCAGTATGAATGCAGTTGGATCGAGGCCGATTCGGATGGCGAGGATCATGTTGACAGCAACACACAAGACTACAATGTGGGATCACTGTCTCCAAGACCACAAACACCGCCTTGCTCTGAGTTCAGCTCTTCTATTACCGAGACAGACCCGAATCTCGACATATCAAACCCTTCGATCCATACTCACAACTCCCCCCACCGGAAATCACACTCTGTTAGCGGTGGCTTCCCTAGTGTGCCAGTTCAGAGGCAACTCTCCGGTAGATCTCTGAGCGTCCCGGTGCGACCATCAACGATGAACGGGCCAATAATAAAGCCTGCAGAGAATTCATTCAAAAATGATCAACTTCAAACGATGTGTCCGACACAGTGTCAATCTTTGAAGACAATGCGGCGCACTCAATCGCTTCGAACCAGTGCTACAGATTCGTCCTTTCCAACTCATCGGCTACAAAAGCCGTCACTTCAGCCAGCCATCTGTCTGGAGACCTCACTCGTCACCAACGCATGCTCCGTGTCCGATGACGAAGGCTTATCCCCTGTTGCGAATCGTGACTCTGCCAAACCCCATGCATCTTTCGTCCGGCCGCCGACACCGCCGCAACCTTTGCGGAGTGTTCAATCGTGGCTCAACAGCAGCCTGCAGCCATATCCCTGGGCATCGCACGGCGATGAGGCTGCAAGAGCTGTGCCCTTACCACCGGATGCTATCGAGACACTGCGGGTGTCGGTGGCATGCTTCCCGGAAACGATGCTCTTGACGTCTAGTCTAACAGTCGAGACCATTCGCAGCTATGCGAAGAAAATGCGGCATCCCGTCACAGAAGCGCTTATCATTGCCGGGGATACATCTATCCAGCCGCCAAGGAAATCGCTCTGGCGCAAAGTTATCAACTACAAAAAGGGGCCGCAGCCATCAGATTGGAAAACAACGCCGATGTACTCCAGTTCACGCCAGCGAAGTAGCACGGATTCAACATCGTCAGAGGAACTGGACGTGCCAAAGTCGTGGACTCCAATCAAAAACGTATTCGGGCACTGCTCTGATTACATTTGCGACGCCATATACGCCCATATTGTGTCGTACAATTACGTCTCGGCCTTGGTAGCACGCAACCCCGCGCCAGTTGCTGGCAATGGACGCACCAGCTCGATGAGCTCGAGGGACCAGCAGCAGCAGCAGCAGCAGGATGACATTCCCAAGAAGGCGGCGTCCTTGCTTGGACTCACAGCCTCAGCGTCTGCAGAGGCAGCGGCCAGCATGGGCCGATTCCCCAGGCGCGTGAGTTCGCCTCTGGGCGAATGGAACAAAGAGGGCATCATGACCAGCCGCAACACCACGCCCAGTAGCCAAGACAATGCGCTGCGGGTGATACAGAGCGGCCTGCTGCAGTGCATCGCCAGACTGGTAGCCACGGCCAAGCTCATGGCTGAAAGTGACACCGGAGAAGAACGAATGGTGGACATGGGGGCTGAAGACGCAGATATGTTGTTCATGAGAAGCCTGTGTGAAATTGTCCGAATGGCCGAGGAGGCGTCGTGAGCCAATAAGTCTTTGGCGACTCTTTATTGTTTGTCCTCTTCCCCTTTGTAGTAATTCTTCCTGTTTCGTTTGTTAGCGTCTCGTATGGTTTGGGCGGTGGTGGCATGCGGATACCCCGGAACGGTAGTGGTAGCGAAATTATAAAATAGTATCAATGTCTTGGAGACACATGGCCGCAGGATAATCCCAAGCGCAAGAATCTCCCCAGAAATAAAAAGAATAACAAGCGTCTGTTGCCCAATCGTCCCGCTGGCCCGTATTGTCGATTCCCGGCATCCTCCCCCCTCCCTCTCGCCGCCGTCGCGCCAACGTGTCTCTTCAATGCCACCGATCAAACGCCCAGCTTGGCCAGCGCCTCCTCGGCCTTGGCCCTCCAAACCCGACACAGGTCCATGTTGTCGCCCCTGGGACACAGCTCGACAATGGCCCTCACGTACCTCACGACGTCCCAGACGGCGTCAATGTCGGCGTTGGTCGCCTCCCACCACTTGTCGACGCCGCGGCGCTCGAGCTCGCGCTCAAACACGGCCCTCATGCGGTACTTTTCGTCGTGCCCCTCCTGCGAGTAGACGCCGTTCCAGAGAAAGGCGCGCACGGGATCCCACCGCACGACCGGCACCACGCCGGCAAACTCCCAGTCCAGGACGGCCGTCAGCTCCCCGTCCTCGTCGACCATGACGTTGCCAAAGTGCAAGTCCTTGTGCGCCAGCACCATCCTGGTGTCGAGCCTCAGGCGCGGCAGCGCCCCCGCCAGCGCCGCCAGCCGGGGCACCAGGTCGCGCACCCAGCCCAGCCGCTCCCGCACGCAAATCGCATGCACAAACGCGCCCACGAAGCCCTTTACAAACTCGGCGTGCGACGCGTACGGCCCCACCGCGCCAGGCGCCCCCACCGGCACGTCGGTGCCAAACTCGGCCTCGGCGTCCGGCAAGAACCAGCAGGTATCCTCGAGCAGCGGGCCGGGCACCACCTCGCCCCCCTCGCCCCCGACGAGCTGCAGCCCGCCGACGTGCGGGAACGCGTGGGCGTGCAGCTCGACCAGCACGTCGACGAGGCGGTTGACGAGCCTCCGCCTCGCGGGCTCGGGGAGGCGCGCGTAGAGGCCGTCGACGCTGCGGCCCGGCATGCGCTCCAGTACGGCGGCGCCTGGGGGCCCGACACGCGCAGCACCAGGCTCGTGCCGCCGCCGGGGGAGCGCCGCAGGTCCCGCAGCTCCGGGGGCGGCGGGGAGGCGTAGTGTATCAGGTAGATGCGGTGGAAGGCGGCGTTGGCCTCGAGCGGCGCGATGGACGTGGCCGGCGGGAGGGAGAGGAAGGTGAGGAGCGTGGCGATGAGGGCCGGGTCCACGGGCGGCGGGAGGCTCGTCCCGGGCGCCACGACGGGGACTTGTTCTTTCTATTTAGGAGAAATACATGAATAGGAGAGGTGGTGGTCGGAGGGCTCTGCAACGACAGCCAGCTGGTGTAAGGAGCTGCGGAGCCTCATGGGATACAAGGCTGAGCGGAGGTGTTGTGTGACGGGGATCCACAAGACCGGCCGAGACGCACGGCGGCACCCCGTCCGCTGGCAGCGTCAAATCACACACGGCCCGTCAGCCCGATCCCTGTCCGCCTGCACCGCTCGCGTCATCGCCGTCATGCAGATCAATTTTTTGTCATTGCCGTCTATACTAATGCCACAGTTGATGCGGCTTCTCCGTAACGCCCGTCCCGAACAAATCTATCCTCTATACATATAAAAATGGTAAGAAGCTGGGTATAATGCTAATTCGCTGCTGTTACAACGCCATAAACCAAAGGAACCTCCAACACCCCCTTCAATTCCAAATGCCGCCCGCATCCTATTTTTCGCTCTTTGTGCGGGTTTTGATAAGCCCCGTTACAACTGCCACGCACCTTTCTTGTCGCCAAAGAGCTCTTCATGCCAGGGCTTCTGCCCACTCCGCTGACACACGCCCTCCCATTCGATGGAGGCGAAAGAGCCGCCAGATTTGGCGTCAAGAGACGCAGGTTCAAAGACCTTGACCATTCTATTGCGCAGGTCAGACTTGGGCGTCCAGTACCTTGTTACTTGGCCACCTTCTTGTGCTGGAATTCTCGCCAGCGGGCGAATGGTGTCTCCAGCGTCCATCGGGAGGAGCGCCCGCGCAACCAGATTGCGCAGGTGCGGGTAGAACCACATCTTGCGCCACCACTCCTTCAGCCGGATCGACTTGAGGTTGTCCACGTAGGCGTTGTGGTGGATGCCCACGGGGGTGACGCCAAAGAAGAAGTCGGTGTAGAGCGACGCATCGCCCCATTTAATGCCGGACAAGTGCGCCGAACCGACGCCGGCCTGGTCCAGCTCGGCGGGCACACCGTTGACGCGAACCTCGCCGTTGGGAACGCCGGCCCTGGCTGATTCCCGCTTCAGTGCCTGCCTGTCGTCCATCTTGACAAAGTAGCCGTCCTCCTCGGCAGAGCATGTAGGCGGGATCGTGCCGAAGCTGTAGTCTAGGCCGATGCCGTACTCGAATCGTTCACCCTTCAGTGCGGCCTTGGCAATGCCGCGCACATCGGCCGGCAGGCGGGAGAGGTAGTTTTCCGACGCGGTTCCGTTCCAGGTGCTGCCCAGCTCGCGCACCCATTCTCGCCACATTTCCTGGTCGCCAATCACTTCGCCGAAGAGGGCTTGGTCGCTCCAGAGTTGTCTTCCCCGGTGGGCGACGGTTTCGACCTTGGCCTTGGCACGGGTGAGAGCGTTGCGGAGGGAGCCCATTGTGCCCATGATCATGCCGCTGTTTACGCACCGCGGCCGGATCTTCTTGAATTTTCGGGCCGGGTCCAGGGGCATGGTGAGAACCTTGTCGGTGCCGTGGCCGTACATGTCAGAGGGCATGGGCGACTCAGGCCAGTGTGCGTAGTGCGGATCGGAGCCGGAGTCGCTTTTCGGGTGGCAGTCCTTGGCTGCCGTGACAAGGATGGACTGCTTGGGCGGCTGGATGGGGAAATCTGCTGCGAAGCCTTGGGCGTCGTCCCACTGCTGCCGCACCCTCTCGTCGGCTTCGCGGTTGAGTTGGTGGTAACGCTGGATGAGCACCGAGGGGGGCAGCTGGAACCAAATGTCGTGAGCGTCGACAAGAACGGCCAAGTCGTCTTGGTGAACATCGCCGTCTTCGCCCTCGGCCAGAGAGAGCATGTTCTCAATAACCGATAGAAGACTCTCAAGTTTGGCAATGTGGCTGCCGGCCAAGTGCCATTCAGGGCGGTTGAATTCACCTCCCCAGTTCAGTAAAATTGGTGCTGGGTAGCCCAGGGCCACGGCTGACATGACAGACTTGCACAGATTGATGTGAGGCGAGTCGGTGGGCATAAAGATGCGAAGACGGCGATCGCCACCAACTGAGATGGAGCGATTGCCGGGTTGCAGTGCCTGCAGTTGATGCGTTGTGAGGACTTTGTCCGGCGGCGGACCTTGGCCCGTCTTATATCCGAGGGAGTCTAATGAGGGCTGTGTATAACCGAGTTAGTGGGCTTTGTTGAATAAAAATGAAGTTGTCGTGGCGTGTCCAAGTCGGAGGCAACTTACAACCAGGTAATGAGCTGCGAGCCCTGCAGCTGCCAGCAATGCGGTTCCGCCGACGATGCATTTGGCCAACCTGCCCGCCTTGGAGCGACGAGTAGAGGGCAAGTCATTCAGGCAAGTTTTATACTGAGGAAGCGGGCGATGACCGCTTGAGGATGTACCGAGGTTGAATCGCATTTCGGCTGCCGTCGTGGAATCGCAGTGTGCTTCCACACGACACCACGATAAATGAATGTCGAAAGTGAATGACGGCTGGAGCAACAAGAAGCAAGGTGACACGCAGAGGAAGAGAAAAATAAATCAGGGTTTAAAGACGGAAGCGGGTGGGAACAAGGCCAGGTGGTCGGAGAGATGGCGCGAGACGGGCTTCCCGGCTGAGAGAGGATGAGACCTCAGACGGTTCTCTGGCGGCTCTCCGGCCGAGGCGTATTTGCACGATTCAAATACAAATGGTGTAAGACGGCTCCAACGCAAATCATGAGGACACATGGTGAAATGCAGCTGCGGACAGGGTCCGGGGAGACTAATCGGACTAGCATTGCGGCAGTAAGTGGGCGGCCACCGGCGGGAATGGATGGGAGCCCTAAATTATTCTTCATGCGTGACCTAGCAGGGTATTAATTAAATATTTCAAGTTTTAATAATAATTTTATAAAAATAAAACTAATAAGTTATATTATATTATATTTTTATTTAGTTTAATATTTTACCTAAAATTATTGATTTTTTAATTATTTTGCTTTATAGTCTGATAAAATTACAAGTATAATACAAGTATCGTGCAAGCGTGGGATCTAAAACAGTACTCCGTATCAGGCTGAAAAAAACTACATGTAATGTAGTTTTTCTGTCAAGGCTCTGGTCACAGCTAAATTAGGTGGTGTGTTTCTAAATTTATTAGCCTTGTTTTCCTACTATCATCCCTGTCCGACCACCCCTGTCAGCTTGTGTAACAGGCACGATTTTTGAAGGCCACCTCCGCAGGCTGCTGTTATAATACCCCTGTCAGGCCACGCATGAAGGATAATTCAGGGGGTGGACTGTACAGAGTGTCAGCTCTATCTCTTTAGTTGCCCAATGGCTCGCGGGGCCCCCACCCTCCATAGACTGCTTATATAATACAAGTGACTACTTAAGCACGTAATATGGAGTAAAGGCAAATAATTTAGTTAATGTAGCAACTTGTACCTGACAGGGTTACTGGCACTGTTATCGTCTACTAATTTCGCAGTAAATGAATATCTATTTAATCGTCATCGTCTGATTGGCCTGTACCCCCTGGCACACTGTCTCCTCGAGCCCGAGATTGTGACTCGATGTCGTGAGAGGCGACGCTGAGGCCCCGCGCCTCTGGTCCTGTCGTTGAAGGCACGCGCCGCGGTCTGCATACATGACTGGAGCTTGGCGACCCCGTGAAGAGTCAAGCGTCTTGGCCATGACTGGCGGCTTTCTGTCCATCCCGGATTGTGGCACGCTTCGACCGTGCGCTTTTTGGCTAGTATCTGACATGCTGGTGGTGCTACTCGGTTTATTTGAAGACGGGGGAACATCAGCGATGCCAGGACGGACGTAGCGCGTCTGCCTCTCAAGTCCATGGCAGCGTCCATCTAGACAGTCTCAACACAAGGACAATAATGTCTTTCAGCGCTGTAGACAGACCAAAGCACAGCGACAGCGAAGCAACATGAAGCGAACATTGAAGCACGAAGAGAACTGCAGAAGAGCAGGTCAATTGGGGGCCGCATAGCTGCATAGAGTGGACCCGAGAAAAGTGTCAATTGATTCAGGCTTTGGCCAGCCAGCGTACGGAGTACGGCACACATGCAATTAAGCCTCGTCGTACCTGCTCGTCCCACGTGCAGATGCTACTGGCTGCGGCTGCGAGGGGCACAATCGCCCCGCCGGGGTTGGGGAGACGGGGAAGGTGTGGATTAGGTCCCTGCCTCAGCCAAACAAACGGTAGCAAAAGATGGCAGCCAGGCATGCTCATCTCTCAACAAAAAACACAGCCGTGGAATTTATTTCATCTTTTGATACGTGTCGAAAAGCATGTGATTATGGGTCGCGGCGACTACTGTGCGTACGCAATTCCAAGGCCTCGATGTTTTTTTCGCCTAAGAGGATTGATGTTACCAGACTGGCACTACTGCGGCATGATTGAACGTTCTTGTGCGTGGTTTGTGGCTACACGAACAATGCCTTTGACGAACCCGAGGGCGACGTAATCAATCCGTCGCTTGATGGGCCAATCACCTCGCTCTTGGTACAGGATATCCATACTCCGTACTCCGTACACCGCATTGCTTCACATGATGATAACCGTGGCCATTGTTAGGGACGGTTGTTGTCCATACAGACACCGAAAGTGGCAGCCTGTTCTTTCTCTTCATCGCCACTCCCACGGCCGGCAGTAAGCTTCACTGCGAAAGACGCTTCACATCCTTGTGCGTGCAATACCACCCCATTGCCATGCGCCAAGGCACCGTCACCCTACCCAGATTGTCCCATGCAGTCTGGTGAGATGGCCGGGTGCCCAATCTAGCTGTCTGGTACAATACTATTTGCGTCACACTGTAGACGGAGCCTCCAGTAGCAATCGCAGGCACCGCCAACGTGCTGCCAACGTCAATCTCATCTGACACGACGCCATGCTCGCTGTCGTAGACGCCAAGAGTCCAAGATCGGCTACTCAGTGCCGCTCCGGCGGTGACGACACTCGATCCCGCGCCTCAAGTTGGCCCATGCCCGGGGTGTCGTCTTGGACATTGTTGACCGCATCTGTACCCAGGCTATTTTGCCCCTGCGTGTCCCTCTCCAATACAATCTGCATCGATCAACGTTGTCATGCTCACATCTGAGCCCTGGAGATGACGAGATGCCAGCAGTCAGGACTGCGCTTCGTCGACCAGCCGCCGTGTTTGCCAGTCATGATGTTCGCGCTCTCGTTGGATTCTGCCTCCTAGGTACGCGCGTCCCTGGAACCTATGTCTTCAAGGGGCATCTTGATACTTTATTCCTTTGAGCTTTTCGTCTTGCTCTTGGCCAGCACCAACGATAAACCGGCTGACTGTTCTCTCGTAGGCCTCGTCAATGTCGTCTTGCCGTCCATCATCTTCTCCTCTAGCTACCTCATCATTCCATATTCGCGGCCGACAGTGATCCTCATCGAAGCATCACCAGCCCTGGCGACAAAACTAATCCTTCCCCATGTCTTATGCCATGTCGCCTGGTGGCTTCGGCCGTGTTTCCTCACAGCATGCTGGATCCTCGCAGCCGTCGTTACCGCAGCTGCGCCGCCAAACGTCGCGCCCCCCATTCGAATCCTCATGACGATGCTGGCCTCGGCCAGCGCTGCGGCAGGAGAAGTCTCGTTTCTATCGCAGATGCGATATTATGGACGCTGGGGACTGGCCGGCTGGGGAATGGGCACGGGCATCGGCAGAGTGGTGGTCACCGTGATGCCGCATGTGCTCACCTACGGCATGGGCATGTTGTTGCGGGATTTGCTCCATTGCGTGTACTACCTGGTTGGCATTCTGCTAGCCGCACATTTTGTGGTCCTGCCTTCAGCTCCGCTGCCTCGAATCAGTACCAAATCCCCTTGGACGAGATCGTCTGTGAACGACGAGGAAGAGAACATTCCTTTGACACCAGGGCGTGGTGGCCCCAAGTCGACGGCCATGTTGCGATCTAGAGTTAAACGAAGTTTGACTCTAGTTCAGCCCCTATTGGTCAAGTTTATACTGCCCATGTTCATGGCGTCTTCTGTACAGGCTTTCGTCTTTCCGGCGTCCATTCGATTGCAGCCCATGTCCGCATCCCTGGGTGCATTTGCGCAATTCAAGGCCGCGTTCGGAGCTGCTTTCCAGGTGGGAGATTTCGTCGCACGATCGTCACTGGTCTTGTTTCAGTGGAAACAGCTGTACCCTCTGTTTGTGCTCCTGGTGGTCTCCTCGGGGCTGCAGCTCATAAATCTGCTCTTCTTTGTGGCATCGAGCGTGTTTTCGCTCTTGCTACTGGCGTCGTCTGTGGGAGTCGCCGGCGGGGCGATATACATGGCGATACTGTCCGCGGTCTTGGGTTATATAGAGCATGATGCGCGCTTGGTAGACGCTGATTTCTGCATTGGGGTGGTATCGAGTGGCGAAACTGGGGGGATCATGTTGGGGGCTCTACTGGGGGCGTTTATGGAGATGAGCTACTGCGCGTCAGATACGGGCGCAAGGGGCCGGTGGTGTACGAGCACCAGATGATTGAACTACTTTCATGGCAACTTGATAGCATGGCGTGAGTTGCTAGTTGAACGAACGGGAGAGGTCTATGTCGGCGCCAACCTGTATGGGTGCGGCGCATTTTGGGGGATTTCTTTGCTGTTGAGGCCACATTCCTGAACTATCTTGATGTCCAAGAATATACTGCCAAGGCATAATCATAACGACATGGACACAGAGTTTATAAGTATGGAAATGCAAGCATCGTCAGCACCTGGCATGGTTCCATCCTTGGTGGTCTGAAAACGAAATCGGGCAAAATTGATTTTGGGTCTAGGGTGGTTACTCCTCGTCCTGTGGCCCATTCAAACAAGCACACTGGAAACGAGCAGGTCGAAATCAACTTGCAAGGCAATGAAAGGGTGAAAGGCTAGACAAATCCCCTTTTATTTTCCTCTTCTTCTTATGTTGGAAGAGTAAGGCAAGTAATAGTAAGACAAGTAATCGTATTGATAGCGTGGCATTCAGGTGCCAGCATAGCTACTCACTCGTAGTCCCGATAAAGCACTCATGGTAGATGCCTTGCATCTGCTATATAAAACTTCCGACATGGGATGCTCATCCTATTGTTTTGAATGGCATATTGCCCTCCGCCACGCATTCGCCCTTCTAGCACGTTCATGTTAGAATTTTCTCAAGCACAAGACCTTTTCTTTTCTTCTTTTTTGTTTCCTAGAAAGGAGACTGCTTGTTTATCCACTAAAGGCATTTTCTAGGCCTCACAAGCTAAAAATCGAACACTATCGTTGTGAAAATGATGCTACATCGAATAAAAGAAATTCTAGGCTCATCCACTACCGCAGCCTCTCTTCCCCTAATCTAGTTTCTCCGTACATGATGTCGAATTAGTCCGCAGACTGGGGTATAATTATGGTAGTTGCAATGAAACAGTGTAAGTGTCAAAATACCCGTCAAAGCTATGTGATGTTCGTGGACCGTAGTCTATAGCTAAAAGCTTCATGTGGTTGAGGGCACAGCCAACTAGAAGCAGATCCCCGAATCCACAGCCAACGATACCATTGCCAACTCGGTCCCAGCTCCTTGTAGCGATGGCCACCCAGCTGCAAGAATAGAGAGCCATTTTCAGGGTCCTGCGAATGCCACCGTAACGGGGTGGTAAACTCCCAGTATTCAGGGCACCAGCCGGCGCATTTCCAGTCGATGAAACCTGACACACACATGACCGTTGTATACCAGGATGTTGTGAAAGGCAAAGTGACCATGTGTGAAAGCAATGCCATTCTCAAGAGACATCGCCCGAGCAGTAGCCAAGACCGTCTCATACTCGTGCCCTGTCTTGAAAGAGTGAGATGAGGCAGCACAGAGAAGGTACTGATAGAATTCGTCCTCTGACTCGCAAGGTCCCACGCGATGGTTTGGAATGCGAATACTGCGGATAGAACCGCCCCAAAAGCTACAGATGCGTCGGCCCAAGCGGTTTCCCATTAACGAATCGCCTCCAGCATCATGTGCAGCTCCATGATTCGTAGGCCACGCGAGCTCCTCCCAGGCAGGCGAGTCATAAGGATCGAAACAGGAGCCCACAGGGTATGCGGGTGCTCGCCGTAGCTGATGACCTTTGCAAAAGGACAGCCGGCTGCGTGGCTGGAGGATCTTTTGGTCGTGCTATGACTGACGAGGAACAACTGCCTAGTGATGTTGGACCACAGTCACCAGACCCGTACGCAGGTATTGGCGAGGAATGGCGGTGGATCGAATCATCTAATTGTGCACGTGAAAAGAGATTGAGAAATATCCCTGGTATCCAGCAACACCAGACGAGATCGAGGGTTGGGCCGCGACGCTGTCCCCGATTTTGCTCCGTGTGGCACAAGAGACGAAAATGGAGCTGTGTAAATTGGTTTGTGCAAGAAGCCTTTGCACGTGCTGTTCATTGCCACCGACTTGATACAGTGGAGGCAAAAAGCATTCAAGTAAATGTGTCCCGGGCTATGGCGTTCATTTAGAACATTCTATAGTATATTAGTGTATCCTTCCCGGTGGCAAATTATATCCTGCCACAGACTAAATGCATGGCTCAACTTAGCCTTTTACCAGCTATTGGCAGTAGCCTCATCGAAAATGCCACCTTTCTCCTGAACAAAAAGGTCGCTGCCAGAGTAGTATCGGGTTTGGCCACAGCCACGGAGCAAAAGGATATAGCAATAGCGGCTCTTGGCCCAATAACCCCGGAATCCCGCTTCGAAATATGCCCACTTGGCTCTCTTGACCCATCTTCGAGGCCCCGACAGTCGTAGCTACTAGGTTTTGCTAGCTAGCTGCTAATGTGCGCTTTAAAACCCTATTTTAACCTCAATGGCAGCCTCGTTTGGACCTTGAACCTAATTTGAACCTACTAGAGAAAAAGGCCCGGCTGGATAACTCACTTGTCGACGTACGTATACGATGACACACATTGTTGACATCAATAATTGTTGGATTTAACGGCTCCATCCTCGAGCGAATTCGCCCTCCAGAATGAGAAGCCTTCAACAGCGCTATAGTTGGAGATTATTGTGTACGTACAGGTGAGGGGAAAACGACGAATTTGATGATATTAATGATAAGTACATCCCTTCGTTCAAGGTCCTGGAATCCTGACAATTCGCCCCAGGTGTCCGTTGATACATGGTCAGACCGCCCTTGATGCCTGTATTGTGACCCTCGATTCGAGCGCTACTCCGAGCGCAACTATCATGACCAGCCTCTGAAATTCCCCTTGTTGACACAACTATAATCGGGCCTGTTGAAGTTTGTGTAAATGCTAGGCCGATAGACGCTTGAACGTGCATCATTCTCTCGATGCCATAAAATGCAATCATTCTTAATGTCGCATCACTTCGTTTGAATCCGCCCAAAACACCGAGTATATGGGAAATCTGCGCCCAGCACCAAACACGGTTGCCACGCTGGCCTTTTCCACTCAGACCCCATGTACCAAACTCATAGAGACACCGAGACGTCGTGCCATCCGCCCTTCACGATGTCCCTAACACTCCCTGCCCCCGATGCAAGTGCACCAGCACCAATCGGGAACGCAGCAGCGCGAACAACCTGGTCCTGCTGGCGTGCACTCGGTACAAGAAAGACATGACTCAATAACAACCTCGCCTTGATCATTCAGAATGTAGGATCCTGTGCGCTCGACAACGGCAGCCGTGGCGGTGAGCGCAGCGAGAGATAGCAGGACGAGGAAACGCATCTCGGATATAAAATAGTGAAATGTAAGTGGGAATAATATGCGATGTTTTTTTTTGTATTGGCGTTGGTGTAATGTTGAGGAATAAATGTGTCTGCGGTGCCGTCTTTTATACCTAAAGACATCGATATGGCTAGCAGCTGGCTCACGCGGCGACGACATGACCGGACTGTATTAACTTTTACTCAACTTGACTACGGAGCCGGTGGTTGACTCGGCTCTTCGAATGTGGCCACTGGCGTGCGGACGGCAAGAGCCACAGGCACCAACTCCTTGCTTTGGGGGCGTGTAATGACGCGCAGTAGAGGATGGACATGTATAGTTTGGAATCGGCGTCTTTGCTTGTCTTATAAAAGCTGCAAAAATCGTTCAATCAGGATTCGTTACACGTATTACTTCATGCCGTCGCTTCGAGTTTCGCCGAGTTCCTTGTCCTTCGGCTCGTTGTCTGCGGTCATTGTCTGCGCCCTCTTCCATCTTGCTTCGAATCAGGTCCTCGACCCTTTCATCTGCGCTCTGCTCCGCGATATCTAGTGGAATGTGCCCAGTCCGATCCTCTATCAAGGTATCCGCTTCTGCATCAAGAAGTACCCGCTTTGATGGCTCGAATTACAGCCACAGGTTATTATATAGCCCCTGTCACGGGAAGTAGTGGATGCTGGTCATATGACCATAGAAAATAGTGGGGAATCATTACTTGAGACAAATAGTGAAGGAACTAGCTAGGCAGACTTGATGACCTTGATATTACTACGTTCCCTATGAACTTCCTACAGCTCCCTCATCGTCGCCGTGCGACACAGCCAGGCCCAGCAACGGACCACTGCACGACAGACCAATCTGCCTGTCTAGCAAGTACTTCAACACGTCTTAATGGCTGTAGTACGTGGCGGACGAACGAGGTTTACGCCGCGCCCTGTTGGTGCTCCAGCTTCGACGAGCATAGCGACGGCTTCATTTTGACGGGTCGTTCGAAACAGTTGCCAATGCGTGCCAAGCCTGAAAGGATATTGTCACTTTTTTAGAATCCTTGGCGTTTACAAGAAATTCGGTGAGTAATACTGTTAGAGGGTGCTTAGTTCGCAGTTCCTTTGATGCCTGAACATGTTGGGCCCAGTAGACGCATGACTCATGAGTAGGTTAATGCATGCGAATCGTCGCTATTGATCATTTTAGTAGCAATCTTGACACGAATCGGCTTAGGTTCGGGCGGTTGGGCTTTGACCGTAGTCTGGGGTTGATAGTCCTCGGCCCCGGGCGTAGAGGAATCGTCAATCGAATCGTTGCCATCTTTCTTCAAAGCCGGTTCTGCTGTGGTCGATTCAGCAGCATCATCGGACTGTGGCCCCTTTGTTCCAGAAGGTGAGTCCATCACCTCTTCAATTGGCGTCTGTGTATTTCTAGTGTCACGTGGAGAGTCGGCCACAGCTGGCTCCTGTAGTTCGTCGTACGCTGCCTCGGTCCCCGTTAAGAAAAGTTGAAGACATGCCGCAGCAATAGCGTCGTTACCTCTCGCTGCGATCATAGTATCAACACTCCGCGCGGTAAGACCTTCCAGAAATTCTCGCACGGATAAGTGAGCCAGCACAACCACCCCGTTGTGTAAAACAACGAGATTAGCACAGACGTCAAGAATCTCACCGGTCGTGATAGCTTCTAGAGAGTCGGAGCGCCCTGTTTCTCCATCCGGTTCTTCAATCTGAAGAGACGCTGATGCGATAGCGACGAAATTGTCTGCTGTAATAACTTTCTGCCCATATAAGAGCCACTGAAACGTGAAGATGGCTAGTTTTGATGCGTGTCTGCCTGATTCTAGAATTGTGTTGTAGATCTCCCAATAAGAGCCTTCGAGGGTAGGTGGCAGTTTTCCCAGTCGATTACGAATGTCCGCTGCAACTTTGAGTGGCAAAAGGGACTGAATCTGGAGCTCAACCCAACGAAACTAAGCGGCTTGCATGAAAGAAGCGATGTCCTCAGCATTCTCATCAGCATCAACGTATATATTGGGTGATTCTGCGAGCTGCAAGACGATATCGTAGTTATCTCTGCTCGAGATAAAGATTTTGAGTAGATTTGGAGACTTTTGAATCCATCTTGACAACACGTCCATGAGCAACTGTCGTTCTTCGTAGTTGACCTCGTCCAGAATGATATTAACGGCGGGGTATTCGGCTAGAAGCTCCAGGACCACCCTTTGAGACTCTTCAATAGACCAAGCCTGATCTTCAAATTCAGAAAACCCATCTATCGCTTCTCGATATTGCTCGACTACGAGGCCAAGTATAGGCTGGTCAGGTCTGAGGCTTGCCAGTTGTCGCACAATGCTTGCGACCATCTTGTCACACTGACCTCGATGCCGCTCAGCAGGGCTTCGAGTGCAGTAGAAATAGGCAATCTTGGTCGTTTGCATAAGCTCATCCGCAACCAGTAAAGCCAGTTTCGTCTTTCCTGACCCAGGTATGCCATGAAGCCACAGTACATAAGACAAGCTCTCTGACCTCCCGTCTATGAAAGCATTGCTGCGTAGCAACCATGCGCCTGACCTTTCCAAGCGCCCCTTTCGTGCGGTTTCGTGGTGTACGGGATACGGAATCGTGGAAATCGCTTTGAGTATGCGCACGCGAGCTTCTCGTTCCAAGCCATCTTGAATGGCCTCCAGGTGGTCGGCGCTTCTTGCGATGGGCCTGTAGAGTTCTTGTAGCTTGTTCTGAAGGACTTCAAACTCTTCTTCGTTCTTCTCTGCTGTCGCAAGGCGTGATAGTTCGTCCACTCTGCGCCATGCCTTTTCGATGGGCTGGAACTTGGCTTCTATGTCTTTTTTTGATACGACTATGCTCTTGAGATGCCGTGCGATGGTGCTGGAGCAGAAGTGGCGGAGCAAATATCCCAGGAACTTTAGAACATTTGTCTGGAGAGTCTCGATTGCTTCAAAAAGTTGAGGGTAAACGTCGAGACTGAGTAAAAAGTTTTTTAGATGACTATTGGCGTTGCAGTCGTAGTTGAAATCACTCACAGGTGATGCTTGGGCTGGAGATATTGCACGTCGAATATACTAGAGATCGTGATGTAATATACCAAACGTTCTATGTAAAAAAGCACGAGGTCAAACGTCTCGGGGTCGTCCACGGCTACTTGCAGCACGAAGCGGACCGCAGCCCAGGGCAGCGCTGCATGCACAGGGTCGTATTGCACGATTATATCACCTATGCTCTAAACACAAGGATTAGCATACAGTTAGCAACACGAGTTGGTCGTGGCGTTTGTGCAAACGCCGGTGCGAGTCGCGACGTACAATGAATTTTGTGATGCAAGCAGACAACTTGTTGAGCACATCACGAATGACAATCTCTCGGCCTTGAATCTTCACTTTCCCCCTCTTCCTTAAGCAGTCCTCCTTCTTCTTAAGAGTTTCCGCGAGGACATCTTGCAAGATACCCAAGGGCAAGCTTTTCGACATCGAGGTTTTTGAACAACGGACGCTCCTCATCGCCCAAGGCGTGAAGAGCAGCCGTCCATTTCCCCTCCTTCTCCGCAACTGAACCATTTTGACTGGCAACTAACCTTGTGGTGACCGAGTCTGCATTCTCTGTTAGGGTTGCATCGTCCGGCGTAGACATTACAAACAAGGATGGTAGATACTGCTCGGGCTAACAACTTAGGCAATCTGCCACAGATTTAAATCCAAAGGGCAACGAGCTAAGGCTCGGGAAGAGGCGGGGGTGGCGTGGTAACACACCAGACGAGTCAATCGGTCACGTGTCGCTATGGAAATGCTAGTACTTTACGAAATCACATAATTTAGCTTGTAGTTATAAGTATATTGAGTCAAGTTACTTACTGAGGCAGGAACTGTACACTTACAGACTCAATGCCTTCTGTACCTTTCGTCTACGTATCTAGGTGAATGCGGACGAAATCAGGACAGCAGAGCGATAAATTGCTGTTGTATTTCCAACAACACCAAACTGACCATCGTGAAGCGACATCAAGACCGCTGGGGTCGATAACCTAAACATAGTTGCCATTCGCCACCTGTAAAAGAGTCACTGGAACCTGGACAAACCTAGAAAATCACGTGGAAGGGCAGCATTGGCCGATAAAACTACAACGCTGACGATTAGCTTCTGCACCCATCAAAGCCCATTCATGTTGAATGCTGCATAAAATAGACCAAAATGCAACTGCATAATGCCTAAAGTATATCCTGGGCCTATAAATACCGGGTCCCAGGAAACTTCTCCGCATATTCATCTACAAAACACCGGCGACTCCCGTGGAAGCATACTGCCACCTTTGGAATCGTTTCCAATTGCAACCTCATGTGACAAACTTTTGGCAGCTTTCCCCATCTCCAGCTGCTTGGCAAAGGTTTTCCCAGTCACAGGCCATTAATGTTGCATTCGGGACGTCGCATTTATTTGACTTGACGGGTGTTCAAGCCCGGGGTTGCCATCTGACGGGTTTGACTTCTCCGTCTGTGGAAAAAAACTCGTTTTGACCTAGACCCCACGGGGTAAGAACCGATTCCCAAAGCTCGACTGAGTTTACAGCGCGGGGAAACAGGGGGGGGAGCATGGTGTGTAGGTGGGTATGATACCGGTTGCCGGGAACTTGCTTGTACATACAACAATGGCTGAGGACTGGTGACGATCCGTGTGTGGGCCCTCGGTTGGTGAGATTGACGGATCCTCGTTCATTTTCCGGCTTGGAGGTGGCAATTGCCCAAATTTGACAAATCGACTGCCCTCGGCGTTGTGTGGAAGAAAATAACAATGATGACGGCGATGTGTTTTACGTAGGAGGATTGATGGCAGATGACGGTTGGGCCCATCCCGAATGCCTAGGTAGTATGTAGTTAGTATTGAAGCCGCTGCTGGCAAATGAGAATCTACCTGTCAGATACCACGTCTGTACTAGACGCAGGCGTATGCGACAAAAGGGCAATGTTGATTCAGCTCCGTCGGCTCACTTTTCTGTCATGTTTCGCAGCTGCCGTTTTGAGCCTGGAGCCGCGCCAATGACCCCAACCATTCCAATGGTTGACAATGGGCGTTGAATACAAGGCGCAATCTACCATGTTGTCTGTGGATGGAAGTGGCCCTGATAAAGGCACTCAAAAGGATCCTTTGCCCAAGTGGGCAGCCAAGCCGGCTATTCGGAATGGCACAGATTGAACGGGGGGCCAGCAAAACGCCGCCTTGGGAGACGCCAATCCCGCCTTGGAGCGAATCGGCGCGTCACCCGCACCCCCTCTACATTCTCCAAGTCCCAAGTCCTGATTCCGGGGTGCGATGGCTGGTGGGAACTTTTGCGTTTCTCCAAAGTCCGCTCATCGCTTCCGTTGGCCAATTCGCCGACTACCCAGTAGGAGGTGAGATCCGTCAAAGGAGCAAACTAGCCAGAGGCTGACCAGAGTAGCTCGATTACGAGGGAGCGTAATCTGTGCTGGGGGAATATTTCCTGTTGTCCTGCAGATGGTTGCGTCCTGAATGGCGGTTTGGTGCCAGCCAAAACGCCTCGGCCCAAGCTGTTGGTGTCGCCAAGTACCTTGGCGATTCAATGCCATCTTGCCAAGCGATCCAACCTTGATAACAGCCAGTGCCAAGCTGGAAGCTACCGCTGTCGAGGAGGCGAGACGGGGGTTCATGCCCATGCAACTTCGCAGATAAGAGGTTAGTAGGTGGTGTTCCCAGTGATGGCTGCTGGGATCATGGCGTTCATGGCCCACCTGACTTGGATGAAGCTCGACAACTTAGATAGATTCGGCGCGTCATTGATGCCCATGGAGGCGGGCGAGATGCTGCGAGTACGGAGTACCACCAATGTGGACCATTGCAGCCGCAGGCCTTATCTCGAATAAAGCCCAAGTCTCACTCACGGTGGCGCCGAACGACCAGACTCGCCTCGTTCCATTCCAGTGGACCTTGGACCCCTTTGTGACTTGTTCCACGGATAATGGTGCCATGTTCGACCGCCCGCCGGCAATCACAATTCTGGCCGCAGAATGGCACAGCAGAGCCTCGTGACATATACATACAGTGGGTGCACATAACCTGATGAACAGACCAGGGGAACGTCGAAGTGCCTTGGAATGCAGGCGAGGATGGAAGCGGGGGGCGAAGGACCGACAGTCATTGGGAAACGCCATTTGTTGCGGCAGGTGCGACCCAGGACCGCACGTGCGACTTTGCAAGACCTGGCTTGTGCGGACAAGCCAAACGACGATGCCTTGATCTCGTCTTCTCCATCTATTGCCAACGAAAAGCTCGCCATCGATTGCAAACATGGTCCTTTTGTCGAAACGCCGCATCCGGCCATCCCCTTGGCGTCGTCGCCACTAGGCCAACTGGCAACTGGTGCCCTCTCTACACCCTCTGGTGGCCCTGGTTCCATTTCCATGTTTAATACTCCGTACTCCGTACACCAGTTCCCAAAGTTCCATTGCCCGGCCCACCCCGGCGCGGGCGCTCACATCAGAATATGGTTTGCTGCCGATCCAGGGCCGCTTGACGCCTCTTGCGCTCTGTCATGCTCTCCTGGTCCCCTGCCGAAGTGGGTGCGCCCGTGTGGAGCTGGGGTAGTTTGGGGATCTGAGCAAAAGATCCTTCATGTGGCCAGTGGTGAGAGGAGTGAGAGGACCAATGGCGAAGAGCGCAATGCTAACATATGCTCCAACCCGTCCATCCTGGCTCATTCCGCATGGTCCCGAAGCTTAGCGTGTGCTACCCTGACCTAATTGATACCGATGGACGGTCGTTCTCGACTCGAGTGGTCCGCGAGACTGATGGAAGTCGGGGTTCGCGGTTGTGGAAGCCAAAGAATGGATTGGATCGCCACTCGACAAGGGCCTTTGTTTGGCTAGTCTGATATCAAAAACTAAGCGTTGCCAGCTATTTAATTCACATATATAGATGTACCGCCGACGGCCAGTCTCGCACTTGCCATCCGATCTTGCCTCCCTTCCCGTTGCTTCTCGCCATTGGGGATCTCCATCTTTCCCACAATCCTCGTTGCAATCTTGCATCCCCTACCATAGAGTAAAGGCCTTGGCACAACCGACTCTCACAATGGGCTTGAAGGACCGTTTCGGCCTCTCGCAGAGGCGAATGTCTGGCGAGGAAGAACTTCCCGCTGGCGTCATGGGTGATCCCACCCATGAGCTCAAGGCCTTCCGCAGACAGCATAAATGGGATCCCTTCTTGGACAACGAGAAGCTCGACACAATTGATGATGCTCTCGCATCAGAAAACGTCGAGAAACAAGCCGTCGTCGACGAAACCCTCATTCAGGAAGACTCTCCCTACCCCGAAGTCCGCGCATCGGTACGTTTCCTCGCCTCGCCTGGCCTGTTTGACGGCGTCTTGACGAAGATCTGTACCTCAGGTTAGTTTGGCTGACGCTGACAATGCCATTTATCTAGGTCCCCCCATCCGACGAGCAGGACATGCCTGTTGACACTATCCGAGCTTGGTTTCTTGGTGCGGTGCTGTGCACAGTCGTTGCCGCCTGCAACGTTCTTCTCTCCATGCATGTCTCATCCGCCAACATCTCATCCACTGTGGTGCAGTTAATCGCCTACCCGTATGTCACAAATCATTGTAATCTAATCACACCATGACAAGTTGCTTACATTCGATCCGCTCAGACTAGGCGTCGGTTTGGCCAATATTCTCCCGAACAAGGAGCGCAGCTTCTTAGGCTGGAAGTACAACCTCAACCCCGGGCCGTTCAACGTCAAGGAGCACACCATCATCACCATGATGACTGCTGCTGGCTCAACTTACAGCTACGCCATCGACATCTTGCTGGCCCAAGAGGTCTTCTACAAGCAAAGATTTGGGTACGATGACGCTTCATATCCGTTTGCACTTGCTATACCTATATCTTGGTGCTGATAAACTCAATTTTACAGATGGGGCTTCCAGATCCTGCTTATCGTCTCCACTCAAGCCATGGGCTTCGGCATTGCTGGTGTTGCTCGTCGTTTCCTGGTCTGGCCTGCATCTATGGTCTGGCCTGCTAATTTAGTAACTTGCACGGTTATGCATTCGCTGCATAATCATGTTCCTTCTGACCCCGCCAGTACGAATGGCTGGCAAATTTCTCGATACAGGTTCTTTATAATCGTTTCGCTAGTTACCTTTGTGTACCAGTGGATCCCTGAAGTCTTTGCCACATTTCTTCAGTACTTCACGTTTGCGTGCTGGATCGCCCCGAATAACGTCATCGTTAACCAGCTATTCGGCCACGTCTCTGGTCTTGGTATCTTGCCCATCACCTTTGATTGGCTTGGTGTGTCATCCTGGCTCGGCAGTCCGTTGCAGACGCCTCTCTTCGCTATTCTTAACGTGGGTTTCGGTCTCCTCATCTGCTTGATTGGAGCTATCGGTCTGGCCTACGGCGGTCCCGTCGAGTACAAGTATTTACCGCTCAGCGCCAATAAGAACTGGGACCGCTTCGCCAAACCATACAATACCTCCCGAATCTTGAGCCCTGACTATACCGTCAACGAGACCGCCTACCAGGCCTACTCGCCCATCTTGCTTGGCGCAACCTTTTCAATTTCCTACGGCATGTCCTTTGCCACTCTCATGTCCACCATCTTCCATTGTGGGCTCTTTTATGGCCCTGATATTTGGCGTCGCGCCTTTAGCTCTCGCTCGGAAGAACCCGATATCCACTTGAAGCTCATGCGCAAGTACAAGGAGGCCCCAGAGTGGTGGTTTGCCATCATCTTCGTTGTTTCTTTTGCATTTGGCATGATCGCCTCGCAAGTCTGGACCACTCACTTGCCATGGTGGGCATACATTGTTTGCATTTTAATTGGGATTGTTTTATTCGTCCCTATCGGCATGATCCAGGCCATCACCAATCAGCAACCCGGTCTCAACGTCGTCACTGAGATGATTTTCGGCTATATGTGAGTTTCCTACCTGCCGAAAGTTTGTGGTAAAACTTTACGGGTGTGTTGCGGAGTTCTGGTAGCTAACTTTTCCTCGCCTAGGCTCCCCGGACGCCCTATTGCTATGATGTTGTTCAAGTCCTGGGGATACATGACCTGTGCCAACGGCCTGACCTATATTTCTGATATGAAGATTGGCCACTACATGAAGGTTCCTCCTCGCAGCATGTTCTACGCCCAGGCCTTTGCTGTGGTTTGGTTGTCTATTGTGCAAATTGCCACCTATAACTTTGTTATTGGTAACATTAAGGGAATTTGCACGGATGAGCAGGCTCAAGGACTGATTTGCCCCAATGCTGCCACTTTCTATAATGCCAGCGTTATCTGGGGTGTTATTGTAAGTTGGCCCATGATTTTTGCCCACATGAATGCTCTTCTAACCCGCCATTGACAGGGCCCGAAGCGCGTGTTCGGTGCCGGTGGCATCTACTCTTGGACTAACTGGTTCTGGTTCATTGGTGCCGCTTGTCCAACCATTCAGTACTTCGTCGCCAGGCGCTACCCCCGCTCTTTTGCTCGATATATCATCTGGCCTGCCATCTTTAGTGCTTGCGGCCTCGTTCCTCCCGCTACCCTTTACTATCTTCTCCCTTGGGTCATTGTCGGCGTCATTTTCAACGGCTTCATCCGACGCTACTTCTTTGGCTGGTGGTGTAAGTTTGCTCTTCACTGTCTGGAAACGCGAGTGACCCGTCCTAACCATTTGTCACAGCTCAGTACAACTTTGTTCTCTCCGGCGCGCTGGATATCGGCTCACGTCTTTGCGTCGTTATCGTCGCCCTTGCCCTTGGTCTCAGTGGTAAGAACTTCCCTGACTGGTGGGGAAATGTTGTCTACACTGAGACATTGGATTACACGAGGAAGGCTGTTACGCGGAAGTTTATTCCCAACGTCACGGAGCCCATTGGCCCGTCATCATGGTAGTTTATTATATGTAGCATTTGCAGCGGGGTATTAGCGACATTTGTCATATTTCTCATGATATTCGTTACGCATTCGACTGACGCATGTAGCTGGCCTATAGTGCAATGAATAATGTGAAGCGTCTTGTTCCATTCGGTGTACTTGAGACATGTGTCGTATAATGTCCCTTGCTTTGATAAACGTCAGGGAAGGCGTAGTTACGGAAACCAACCTTTTCAAGTTTATATATCGTAGCGACGGCTGTTTTTAGTTGGTGGTAAAGGCAGCAAACCTGCATGGACATGTGCGCACACAGTCAGGTCCTGCTTCATATTTCGAGAGAAGACCTTGATACCCCGGACCACTGTCCTGTAGCTTGGACAAGTCTCAAAGACTGTGCTGCCATCACTTCACACACTTTCACTGTGCTCCAGGCCACGTCTCGAATCCGCCCCACGTCAACTTCACCCCTTTCTGGCACTCATCATTAGAAACGGTTTGATCCTCTTAATCTCATCCATGAAGTCACTGCGGCCCCAACCCGAACGGGAGGCCGCAGGTTCCGTGGGAAGTCACAGATAAGTTTGTCCATACTTCTGAAATATTGATCTGCTAAAATAGGCTTCCTACTAACGAACCGAATCGCACAGTGTGCGGGAGCGACACCACATGTGTTGCATCTTATCCGGAGAAGTACTCTCGTACTTGTGTGATTGATGTCGTCTACAAGTTGTTCAGCATTCAAGAAACAAAATTGTTTAGCACTATTGTGGATGCGGAGTTTTCCTTTGCATCACGCCATCGAGTTGCCTACACTGCTTTCACCGGCGTTGCTCGTCCTGTCATATTGAATAGATGGCTCAACTTGGAAAGTAGTCCAGCTTCCCGAGTCCAAAGGCGCGACTTGGCATCGCTGATGGCAGGATTAAAACCGTTGCTATGCTATGCTTGGGTCTCGAGTAATAAATGGCACAGGGCTTTAAGTAGGACTATACTACCCTAGAGGCGATCACGATTGTGTATCAAAGAGATGAAATACACTAGCCTGGCCATGAATTAACTTTGATTGTATAATCTAAGATACTTCAAACATCGGTGCAGTTGCCATGACAAGAGACCTAACGGCTGAATATCGAGCCCGAAAGTCAATACTTTGTATCTGCAATTGAACTTCCTGGTCGAGCCCCTGAGCAGTTGTTGTAGTATTTAAATCTAGAAATATGGACTACGTTGAGTCACGTACTATATACACCCCAACACTCTCCACGTTAAATCTTATAAGAACACGTCGTCTAGTCAAGGTAAACTTATGGATATGGTGGACCAGTTAGCTGTCAAGCCTGTCGGCGTTAGTGATCACAGGAGTGCATCCTCATGCCTGCATTATAGCCAGCCGTAAGCACATCACATAAAAAAACACAGCTATAAGAACCTTTTATAAACGTCTGGTGTGGTTATGAGTACTCTAACGGTCAAAAGGTGCCTCAAGGACTCCGCCCTGCAGCGAGGTGACCCCTGTGACAAGGGCTAAAGGCTTGGAGCAACATGACTCAATTCATCTAATAACAGTCTTTGCTAGGTCTCGTGACCGTAGCCCTTGTGTAACCGTGTGACAGCCCCTGAGACGGCAATATAGTCAATGCCGGCCTGGACGTCGTGTGCAGCGAGGACAGTAACGCCATTTTATTTCTCTTCCTCTGTCGCAAATATCTCTACAAAGCCCTCAACTTGAACCCCCAACTCCAAGAATAGCACTCATGCACGTCGTCACTCGTCACCATGCGAAGATGATTCCTAACCCCCTTGGCTAGTCACTTCATGACCCGCTCGCCTTCCTTGTCGTGATGATCCAATTTCCAGGACTTCTCGCCGTAGCAGGGTCAGTCACCACAGCCGGCGCCGTATGCGCCGTGTACGGAGTAGGTTGGAGCGTATTGTATTCGAAACTTCCAACCCTAACCCTCGCCCTATGAATTGTGATCAGTCTTAACGCCGATATGCCGACCAAATAGAACAGGCAGGCAGAGCGACTCTACAAGGCTTGCTTCAGGGTCGTCGGAACAGCCATGATGAAGAAATGACATCCGGAGCCCACATTCACCTAGGGTCAGGGTCGTACAGTTCCTCACCGTGCTCCGTCTGAACTCATCTCTCAGTTGTCACATTTCAACATACGATGTCGTCTTGGCGCCTGGGTCTCGTTTATTCCATTTCTCAAAAACAGGTTTCGCCCAGCGCATCCCTGAGCTTGTCGTCTCAACACCATGGCCACATCATGCCGCTGCATGGCCTCATTGGTATCGCCCTGCATCGGCGGCAGTCTACGACTCTACCCAGCGCACACGCTGAAACGCAGAAACCTTGTTTCGCCAACATGACGACGGATGGAATCGCAGCATCGCCAGACCAATGGAGTGGCATCACCGCCACTGGCCCGACAAGTGACAAGTCCCTTGTTGACTGCCGCTCAACACGTTGACGTCGCGCCACCGCATACACCCTGTTCGCTCCTGGAACCGCAGCAGCCGAACATGCCGCCATCCAGTATAAGAACAGCAGGCCTCACCTCCGGTCTCGAGTCTATTTCCAACACATTCGTGCGCAGATCTAAACAGGCGCCATGAAGATGCTCATCCTCGGAGGGACCAAGTTCGCCGGCCTCCACACCGCCCGGGAAGCCGTCTCCAAAGGCCACGACGTGACCCTCTTCAATCGCGGAACGCGCCCTCCCCCAGCCGGAGTCACCAGCAAGCTCGGCGACCGCCTCGCCCCCAACGGGTACGCCTCCCTTGCCGGACTCGCGTTCGACGTCGCCATCGACACGTGGTCCTCGGACCCGGCCGCCGTCCAGAGCGCCGTGGACGCGCTCGGCCCCCGCGTCCGTCACTACATATACATCTCGACGATAAGCGTGTACGACTTCAAAAGGGGCGCCGCGCCGCACGACGAGTTCACCCCGCCATGGGACCCGGGCGACACCGACGTCCCCTACATCCGGGACAAGCTGGCAGGCGAGGCCGTCGTTTCCGGCGCCGGCCCAGCCCACACCCTCATCAGGCCGGGGGTGATCCTCGGCCCGGAAGAATGGGTATGGCGCCTGCCGTGGTGGCTGCTGCGCATGGAGCGCGGCGGCAGGACGCTGGCCCCGGGCCCCCGGGACTCGGGGCTGCAGTTCATCGACGTGCGCGACCTGGCGGCGTTTACTGTCCTGGCCGCGGAGAAGAGGCTCCGCGGGCCGTACAATGTCGTCTCGGAGACGGGGCACGTGTCGTTTGGCGATTTTCTAGGCGAGGCGAACTGCGTTACTGGGGGCCATGCCGAGCTCTGCTGGCTGGAGGCGGAAAAGGTCGTGGACGCCGGGGTCGCGCCGTGGGTGGAAATGCCGCTGTGGCTGGCGCCAGGCGACGACGCGGGCGTGTACTCGTGCGACGGGGGCAAGGCTCTCCGGGCCGGGCTGACGGTGCGGCCGGCGGGGGAGACGATTGCCGATACGTGGGAGTGAGTGGCGGAGCTGGCGGAGCGGCCGGGGACGGCAAAAGTCGGGCTGAGCCCGGCAAAGGAGAAGCAGGTGCTGGATAGGTATTGCTAAGGAGGGAGCAGACACGATACATGGAACAGCAGGTATGGGGGAAACGAGCAGTTCTTGACTATATACGACGTGCGTGTTCAACTCTGGTACAATGAGGGGGGTGTGCAATCTCTGCTCTTATATCTACTCATACGCTGCCCAACAGGTCGAAGCGAGTCCCGTCAACCATTGTCATCAAATGTCAAGAATGGCTCGTCTGAATCTTGTAAAACTGCACCGTGGTAGGACCCTCCCCCTGGTTGTAGTTGCCCGCCTTGAAGTAGCTGCTCGGCGCATCCAAGTCGTACGTGCTCAGCGTCTTGAACGCCTGGCCGTTGATGCTGACAGACAGCCGGTTGCCCTCGTAGCGAATCTCATACGAGAGCCGCTGGCCCTTGGGCACATTGCCGATCGGGGTGCGTTTCTGGCCGCAGGTCCGGCAGGTGTTGACGCCCACGGCCAGGTCGCCCCCGGCGTTGTAGTACAGCTCGGCGACGGGCTTGGTCGAGACGGCGTCGTCAATGTGGATCTGGCCGATGCAAATCTCGCCGTCGTTCTGCGTCACCTTGAGCTCGCCGACCAGGCGGTTCGTCTTGGCCCTGGGGTCCCAGGACGCGGGCTTGACCTCGCGGAGTTCGGTGCGGCAGTGCTTGCTGTTGGGCGTCGTGACGCACTTGCCCGACGACGGGCCCCCGGGCACCTTCATGACGAGCGCGTCGCCCTGCATGGAGAAGAATTCGCTCGAGTAGCCGTTGCAGAGGTCCGAGGTCGAGATTTCCGTGGGGTGGCCCTTGGTGCCGCTGGGCAGCTGGAGTTTCCATTTGGACAGATCCAGGTTGCCGCTGCCGCATGTTGCCCGGGTGTCTTGGGTCGTTGGCACGGCGGCGGCGTGCGCGACCAAGACGGACATGGTGGCGATGGCGGCGGCGCTGCGTGGGAAGTGCATCTTGGCCGAGTGGTAAAGGATGCTATGTGTAGGGAGTAGTTGAAGGGGTCGCTGTGGTGTGAATGGTTCGGGACGCCATGATGCAAAATGGGGTGACCAGCTCTTATATACAATCCGGATGTAAAGCCACACAAGCCTGCGGCATGTCAGAAGTATTAATCCACCTGTTAGAGGAGACTATTCCACGCGACAGCAGACGAGTAAGCAGATAAGACGCCTCACTTGGTGCTGGAACACGCACTTGTAACTTGTCGACTGCGGTGCTCAGCGTGGCTTGATAATGCCGAACTGCTACCATGTAGACGAACGAAGCTGGTGGCCCTGGAAACGCCCGTCAGACATGTACGATTGCCAAGACTAGTCTTGAATCTTCACTCTAGCCAGACTGGTGTTGTAGTCAATCGGCAGACCCGGCAGCAAACATGTACTGCGAGACCAAGTAAATATGCTTTCGATGGAAAACCTTAACAACTCAATTAATCTTTGGTAGTGTAGGTCATGACTTATATAAGTCATAACACAGAAGTGAAAGACGCAGCAATAAAAAAAGACTCTTGTGTTTAATATTATTTTGGGCTATTCTGGCAAAAAGCGGAGACCTCGCACAGCTGGCAGGGTCTTGTTTGCTTTTGTTTCTTTGTTTTTTTCTTGCACTGCCCCTTTGACCGACCCGGATATCTTAGTCTTTTTTTCTGCTAGGGTACTTTTACGGTTCTTCTAGGTTTTTTTTTTTTTTTACATTTGTGGGGCTCGAACTCGTGCGCAGTGAGGCTGCAGGGAATTTTTTTTTCTTAGCCTATTTTTACCTGCTCTTGACCGCTCTGCCAGCTGCTGAGGTCTCCGACTGTACGCTGTACTATTTGGATCTATATAGTGTCTGCTGTTATCCGTGCAACATTGTGCTGCTTCAGAACAAAATTTCAGCTGTGCTGCCATGCACCCCTTTTGTCGGCTTCATTCCAACAAGCCTCCCGACTGCGGCAGCTGTCACAAGGTTCCACGCAACAGTCCGATAGGTGGAAGATTGAATCCGATTCTAATTTTCGACACAAATCGGGCCGAGTTGCTTATTGCGTTGGGGGCAATGTCGCTCGTTGGTGGAAAAATGAAGCGGCAGGGGCCATCTTACACCATCACCCGAATTCGACAACGAAAGACTGGACGACAGGTGCATGCTAATACTAGGTGAAGATGGGTAATTTTGAAGAAACTTCGGCCGTCATGGGATGCAATTCCAGGGCTCACTCTACACTTGTATGCATTCCAGGGTCACGCACAGACAGACGAAAACAGGTGCGATGCCCAGCAGTGCAAGTCAATACAATATGTAGCAGAATATTTGCCCACCAAGTATACATGTACACTAAAACACCACGATATTATCATGTAAAGCGCGATGGCCAGGTACCCAACAGAAATAGTAGCCCCTTCCCACAGGCAATCACTCATCGCCTTCATCAATGCGCACCGTCCGTTCCCGCCGAGTCCTGCTCCAAGGAATGCGCGCACAATCTGCTGCGCGTCCAACACGCAAAATACCATTCACAAGACCACCAGCCATTTGACAGCTGTTGTACACAAATCGTCAAGCAACAGCCGCAAAAGCCCGACGCGATACCGTCCTCCAAATCCTCCACCTCACCCTCCAAGACGTTGGGCTTCCTGTCAATCAGACAAGTATCCAAACCGGGGAGGAAGGTACTTGGTGAGGGGCCAAGGGCCTTTACGATGCCTGCCTCCCAGTCGACGAGGTTGCCGTAGCAGTTCAAGGACAGGACGCTGTAGGATTTCAGGTCTGGCATGGTGTTGATGGTGAGGCATAGTGTACGCAAGTTGGGCTTCGGAGCTGAGTTTTGGGACATGGGATAACGATTGTTATATACAACTTTCAAAAAACGGGGCATAATGAAACATCGCGTCCGCAATGGGACTGGCTACATGACGTCCACGCCCTCTGCTTTTGTTATCTCGAGCTTTGGCGCTTTGAACTTGGCGATTGCGTGCCTAGTCCGGGCACGAATTAGATCACTTGTGCAAAGCCAATAGCAATGAATTAATTCCGCCATGCTGTCCATTGCAAATGCTCCCATCGACCGAAAGGCCAAGACGGAGCTGAATGCAATTGGTCAAATGCGTGTGCAGCCGGTGCCTCCGGAGCCCGCACGGCGTCGCGGCGCCGAAGAAATCGGCCAAGATGCGCCGCGGATGACAAGTACTGGGCCGGCGCGGGTGGCACGCTCTCCACCGTCAGCTGCAGAAGGGTCACTCCGGATGCATCTGTGATTTAAACAAGGGTAGGTAGTACTGCCATTCCATTCTTCAGAAAAGACGCGACACAAACGACACCGTGTAACATCATGATGGCGTGCCGATATGATAGCCTCGTCACTGCTCACGACTAACCGTCCGAATCGAGACAACTCCAGTTCTGGTTACACTCGGGCGACATGGTCCGGCGACAATTTGAACCACCAACATTCGCAGTCTGCCTCCGCCCAGCCGTGCGAGGCGTGATACTGCTGGCATTGTCTCTGTCGAGGATTCCAACACCCATCCTCGATGCAAGTGCCTACCCGGCCGCCAGCGACGAATCAAATGCCTTCATTCTTCCACGGAAGGCCATGGAACACCGCACCGGCCATATCCCGGGCACCAGCGCAAAGAGGGATCTGCTGCAAGGCGCGGCCGCTAACCCGGCACGGCGAACCCTGACAAATCGTCAATAGCCTGACTAACCAAGGCTGTGATCCTAAACGCAGCGGCTGATTGTAAGCCGATTAAACTAGCTATATAATATATATAATTATAATACTTACTTATTTTTAATAAGAAATTTATATATAAAATAATAAAAAAAGCTTATTTTAAAGTAAAATAACTAAAAATTAATAAAATTAATTTAATTAATTACTTTTTTTAAAAATAATAATAATATTTATAAGAATTTGTTATGGACTCGAGCTGTAGGCTCAGGTCTAGGTAGGATCCTAGGCGGAGCCGGACCGGACCTGGTACAGATAAACTCTGGGCTAGTATAGATTGTTAGGTCTACATAAGATCCTAGGCGGAGCTGGACTGGACTTGGTACGGATAAAACTTGGGCCAGAGCAGGGTATATTAAGAGGAAAAAGGAGGAGATAAACCCTTTTCCTTTTTCTCTTTTCTTTAAGTTTATTCTTACTATTTAGTGACGCATACGTGCAGCCGCAGGTATGGCCAGTCCCTCACAATACCAGACGTTTTCGGCAGATAAATACTCCGCCCCCAGGCCCTTTAATCCCGTGCGTCTCCGGGGCTTGGTGCGGAACGAATTCCCCGGGGCAGCGCTAATACTTAGTGAGACAGCACCCTTAACTGTGGCGAGAGTGGGTTAAACAACTAAAACCAGGCTAATATAATTTTTTATATAATAATCACATAAAAGCTATCTATATAATTATACCTAAGGAAAAATTAGCTAAATTAGTTAAATAATTTATAAATTAAAGCTATTTAAAAGGGGGAAAATATATGATTTTTATGTTATAAAACCCTTTATTTGGTAAGGGTAAGGTTAGCTTGTTGTAATTACCTTATTAGTTACTAGTAAATTCTGATATAAGCAGCTGATTAGGTCCAGCCACAGTTAAGGGTGCTGATTACGCCAGGAGGGGTGCTGAATAAACCCTCCCTAGGTTTAAGATTACATTACAACCCAAGTTATCAACTCCGACGGAAGAGCCCAAAACTCCGTTTGCCCTCCCACGGCGCGAAAAAGCGGGGCCAACCTCGGCATTGCGGTTGGTGGCTTGTCGCGCAACCCAGAATCTCGCCGCCCGCGGATCATGGCCCTGGCCATCATGGATCAGCCTGGCACTTGTGCGGTTTTTTGCCGCGTGGCGGACTTTGCCATGGTGCGCCTTCGCGGCTCCATTTGGGGATTCATCCGAGTCGGGCGAATCTACACGGGTGGAAGGGCAGATTAGAAATCGGCGGATATCACATCTGTTGATGGACTCGGCGGGTGCGGACTCTGGAGCTTAAATAGACTTTAATGACGCCATGGATTTTCCGAATAAAAAAGCCCAGCTACTCGCATTTGGAGTACATACACATCAACCCGACTTGCATCCTCCGCACCCAGCATCAAGATGGTCGCCAACAAGACTCTCGTCTACAAGCAAGTCCCCAAGGGCCTGCCCGTCCCCGGCCAGGACCTCGTCGTCGAGACGCGCGAAATCGACCTCGAGAGCCCCCCCAAGGGCGGCCTCATCGTCGAGGTGCTCTACGCCTCGTTCGATCCCTACCTGCGCCCCAAGATGCGCGACCCCAGCATCAAGTCGTACACGCCGGCCTTTGCGCCCAACGACCCCATTGTCAACGACACGGTGGGCAAGGTGATCAAGAGCGACAGCCCCGACTTCAAGCCGGGCGACGTCGTCAAGGCCTACGCCCCTCTGGCCGAGTACGCCGCCATCGCAGACGTCAAGGGCCAGCGCGTCCTCAAGGTCCACAACCCCTACAACCTGGACCTGTCCGTCTTCACCGGCGCCCTGGGCATGCCCGGCCTCACGGCCTGGTCGAGCCTGCACAAGATTGGAAAGCCCAAGAGGGGCGAGACCATCTTCGTCTCGTCGGCCGCCGGCGCCGTCGGCCAGCTGGTCGGCCAGATCGCCAAGAAGGAGGGCCTGACCGTCATTGGGTCCGTCGGCTCCGACGAGAAGCTCGACTTCATCACCGGGGAGCTCGGCTTCGACGCCGGCTTCAACTACAAAAAGGAGAAGCCGGGCGATGCGCTGAAGCGCCTGGCCCCCAACGGCATCGACATTTACTACGAGAATGTCGGCGGGGAGCACCTCGAGGCGGCGCTCAATCACCTCAATGACTTTGGACGCATCGTCGCGTGCGGAATGGTTCGTTTTGCTTCTTTTCCGTGACCAGCAAGACGTGGTTTGCTAAATTCATCTTCTTTTCAGATCAGCCAGTACAACAACGCCGGCGAGGCGCACGGCATCCGCAACCTGATGCTGGTCGTGGCCAAGCAAATCACCATGCAGGGCTTCATTGTCTCCAACCCCGAGTTCGGCCCGGCCTACTACCAGGAGCATCAGGAGAAGCTGCAGCAGTGGCTTGCCGACGGCAGCTTCAAGGCCAAGATGTCGTATACCGAGGGCATCGACCGCGCTGCCGAGGGGCTGGTGGGCATCTTTGAGGGCAAGAACTTTGGCAAGGCTGTTTTGCGCATCAAGGCATGAAGTGGGGAGTTGCTTTGGGATAGTACTGGGATGTATTTACTTTGTGTATAATCGAAATGAGACACGATTGACCCTTTTCCTGAGAAACGATTTGTAGCTCGTCTTGCGATAATGCAACAGTGGAACGTGTTTGCGGAACAGGGCTGGTTTTGCCGTTTGTTCGCTGCTGATTTGTGTATTCATTTCCTTTAGCCCTTCTGAGAGACTGTAGCCCGGCAGGTCGCCTTGTGGTCTTTGAAATGAGCCACCTGACACGCTCGCCCGCAATACATGACGGCTTTGCACCTCCCGCACAGCATCAGCTGTCTAGGACCTTTTTCGCAGTTTGCACATTGCACCGGCGCCGGCAACCAACCGTCTTTGCTACTTTCGCTTTCCACCGTCGCCAAGAGGTTTTCGGCCTTCTTTTTCGCCAACTTTAATACGCGCTGTTCGCCCAAGCTAACGTGTGCCGCTGCCCATGCGTTTCCTCCAACAGGGTAGACGCCCGTGGCGAGTTGCTCTTCCAGCTTCTCCAGTCGAGTTCCGAAACTACCCAGGAGACTAGCGATCGATTCGACCAGGGACTGCAGGACCTGCACTTCGTTGGAGTTGCTAATTTTCTCGTCTGCAGCTTGCCGAAGGGCAATTGAAGCAAGATCCGACTCGTCTAGTCGCTGAATCCGCAGATAACGAATGACATTTTTCGGCAGCGGATCCGTCAGAGTAAGGGAGATGGTGCATGTCGAATCGAGTCCAGCTAATGCCCAGAGTTTCTGCTTTTGCTTAAAAAACGGCGCCAGGGGATGCGTTGCCAGAACGAGGTCATAGTTGTCGTTTGGATTGCCGGGTATGATAAAGCCATACAGACGTAAAAGACGATGGTTGGGAATAGACCCATACTGAATATAGACCTGGATAAGCACGCTAGGTAAGTGACATGTACAAGTACTAATAAACAAGGCACGTACCTGGTCTCCAGCTTCGTAGTCCTTTCCCGCAAGGACAGACAGGTCTCCAGACGACGCGTCGTACACATGACACTGCTTCGACTCGGACGAGTGGTTCAGCATATCCGCAAAGGGCGCCAAAAGACGTATTGAACTCCCATCAGACAGCTTGAAATCCATCGCACGGCTCCACACGGTGCAGAGAGCCCACTTGTACTGGAGTGCGGTTAGTGGCTGTATCGCAATGATCACACGCGGCGCCTACATGGTGAAGGGTGAATTTGTCAAGCGGGAAGAGATCGGGGTACTGTACGAGCACTCGCACGACCAAGTCCCTGTAGTCGTCCTCTATCCGTTGTAGCAGCTGCTTCGTGATGGTGTATAGTGATGCGCCGGCGCAGACTTCCAGTTCGTCATCTGTGAAGAAGATGCTGGAGGAGTAGCTCGCAGGCAACCTCTCCACATGGCGTCGCAGGCCATCATAGCCCGACTCGCGCGACCGTACAAAGAGGATATGTACGGCCAGGGTGACTTCGACTGATAAGGGTGGCCGCGCAGAACAAAGGGCCGGCCCGAGAAGTGAATCGTTTTGTGCACGTTTGACGGTCCAGTGAAGGCCGCTTGGGATGGTGAGAATCCGCTCGCCTTGCTTGAAGGGCCGCCGCGCTTTTACGCCCCGCCCTGTAACGGGAAAGTCGGCAACCTCCAGGCCGTCCAGGCCTACGGCTCCAGATTCTTCTAGCCACGTTTCCATGGGAGTTGGATCTCGGAGAGTGGATGCGAATCGTCGAGCATGGGATGTGATGGAACGATTCGAGGCCCGCCTGCCTCCACGTCGTTTTTTGGATGCGGAGCTGATGCAGTTCTTTAGGAACAAACCCCACCTTTTTGAGAACTTCTATTGGACGACCTGATTCACAACGTTATCCTGGACACTGGGCACTTCGTGTTTGTTACTTCTTGACTACACGTACATGTAACATGAGTTATCATGGTGGCTCATACCAGCTGCCCTGCCAAAAGTGGAGGAACCTGGGGTCATGCAGGTCTCTCTATCTCTCTTTCTGTAGTCCAATGACTACCAACAGCTTGCATCATTAGCCCTTTGTTGGATGGAAGTTGAACAGCGCCGTTGCGCTTCGAGTCTAAACAAAGGCATCACAAAGGCCCACCCACATGATGCGGGTTTTGTCCCCCTCTGCTTTCCATCTGTCATTTCTGATGGAACCATGTATGCCTGTTCCTTTACAGTTCAGCTAGGCAGCTGTCACGGGACGATTCACAAATCTCCTTGACCTTGCTGTGCATTTGGCAAGGCGGATTCGCCTCGCAGAAATCGTTTCATGTTGCGCCCAACCAACACAGTTTTCCGCAGAACGCATCATGAACTGGTAGTCATGGTGCCGAAGAGCCGGGAATGAGATGGCGGAAGCTTGTTATTTATCCCGTCAGGTTCCTGTTGCTTGTTTGTACAGCTCTGGTGTGCTGTGAGTTCAGTGCAGCATGGTGTGTAGAGTGGGCGACGCTGACCAACAATGAAAGGTCATGTCGCCTCATTCCATGATCGGATTCTGCAAGCGAAAATGGAGGCTGAACACGCCCAGAATAGGCCGTCATTGCAAAGAATTCTTCTTCACGTTTCCGGGTATAAATAATGCCTGCAGACCCCAAGCTGCCGTCGACACCAAGCAGACCATCTCCTCCCCATCACACTCGAGGCAACGAAGCACTTCACTGCGACGACTGCCAACGACACATGTGCAAGCACTTGACTCCCATCGACAGCTGCGAATCCTGAAAGAGAGCTTTTTCGACGTACGGGCTCGATTCTACCTTTGCAGAGATTGACGGGGCTGGTGCTGCAATTGCCAGTTGCACGAAAGCGTCGTCCCCCCAGACGAACTCATACGACTTTTCCGGCTCTACGAAGCTACAGTTGCTATTCAGCAAACCGTACCATTACCATCCAACTCAGGTCAATACAAATTTACTACAGTCACCACAATCACTGCCATTACAACCCTAGTCGACACCATAATTTACCACGATTCCTGGGAAGGGCGGCATGTGCAAGCACATCGAAATCACCGACGAATGCAAACTCTGCCAGAAGGTCACTTTTAAGTATACGCTGGACGGTTTTTGCTCAAAGTTTGACAAGAAATTGGGAGATTGCCCCCAAGGCATCGTTTTTGACCAAACAAAACAGCACGTCTTGTGTGCTGAATGCAAAGTCCTTGATTTAACACAAAGTTTTGCGAAACTGAAGTAGGGACTCCGCGTCTCGGGACTACATACAACTTCTACGGCTTTGCCAAGCTCTAGTCGCCATCCAGCAAGCCATAACATCACCATCAAACTCCGGCCAATACAACACTTGTCGGCGAGGTCGTCAAAAAAACATACAGTGGACAGCTTGTGCTATCAATCCAGTGAATCTGGCCGAGGCATCCACCATTTGCAAATAAAGCAGTGATTCTTCATATCACGGCTATAAATAACGTCTGCGTTCCCGCTAAGTGGCAGTCGTCTCATCAACTCAGCTACATCCTCGCGACCAACTCTACCAACCAAACACTTTACAACAATCACTGGAATTCATACCATCAAAATTCTATCCAATAAAACAGCTTCACTGCGATTGCCACGATTACCACCAACAGCAACATGTGCACGTTCACGTTGATCACAGGCAAGTGCGCTGACTGCGGTGAGTGTAATTATGTATGGAGAAATCGATTTACATGCGAAGAGGCTAAGAAGGCTGAGAGGCCTAAGGGGATGCCCCCATTTGGATATTGCACTGGGGGCGCCGAATGCACCAAGACCAAGGAGTCATCGAAGAACTTGCGGTGTACCCCATGCGCCATAGAAAAATGTATTCGGGAGGATGCGGATGAGGAGCAGTGATTCCTCGTCTCGCGACTATATAAGACTCGTGGCCTGCCCTTCTTCAGCCATACCATAAAGCACGCTACATCCTCACATTCTTACTCCAACAAGATGAAAATCAAGACACAAACACAAACACAAAATCACAAAAACAAATCAACACAACTTACGACAATCACCGCAAACGGCAACATGTGCGGGCTTCAGAAGATTAAAGAGGGGGTGGAAGATTGGTTCGAGACCAGCGAAAAAAGATATTGGTGCGAAGAGGCTTGGGAAAATGGTACATTTGGAAAATGCACGACTGGCGTGGAGAAAACCGAGAGAATCGTTGGCAAATCTCACCGTTCGCTTGCGGGAGCCCAGATTCCAGCCGATGAGGTTCCTCGAGTTGGCATGATCTACGCCCGCGAGGGAACAAAAGAAGGGCACCACCAATCGGGTGAAGGAACCAAGACTGCTGCTGATGAGGTTCCCCAGGTTGGCAAAATCTACGCCCGCGACGACTTGAAGAAACAGGAGAGCGAGGAGCAGACGTGGCCCGACAGTGAACAACAGTTTGAGCAGACTATCTTCACCATTTCCAGTGAAAACATCAAAGGAGATCTACAGGCCTTTGTGAATCAGAAGGAGTGATTCCTGTGATTCCTCGTCTTGCGGGTCGGGTCGCGACTATATATTCCCCATGACCCGGCCTTCTCCAGCGATGCCATCCAGCACGCTACATCCTGCTTTGAAAAAAAAAAACACACACACACAGACAAACACACTATACCACACCACTACAAACGGCAACATGTGCGGGATTCAAAAATCTACTGAGCGCTGCACAAAGTGCGGCACAGATATATCCAACGTCGAGGAAAGACACTGGTGCCAGGAGGCTCTGGAAAATGGAGAATTCGGAAAATGCAAGAAACGCGTCGACACCACCAAGGTCACTTTCAAATCGCACGAATCGTGTGAAGGAACCAACATTGAAGCTGAAGCGGGCTTTCCCATGGGCAGTGTTTTCGACGACTTCAATCCGTTGGAGGAATTTTCCGCGAACATGGCCCGCCACACTGAGGCGTTTTGTCGCAACAACCGCGGCGGCAGAGCTGGCATGGAGGCGTGGCGTGAACTGAATAGGAATGCGACCCGTGAAAGAGAGGCGTTGCGTGAAATGGCCCGCGAGCGCTCAAGGAGATGGAGATGCCAGGGGTGGATGGCTTAACTGCTCGTCTTGCGACTATGCAGCGTTGAAAGAACCAGACACTCTAATACTACACGATATGAGTGGCAAACACACTGGCTCTTGTGAAGCGGGTGGATCGATTGGGCTATGACAAAGGATGGTGGTGTAAGCGAGGGCTTGTGAGGGGTGGATGCTGCGCAGGTTTTCTTGAGTATGCTTTTGAATTTTTTGGTTTTTTTCCTTTTTTCCTTTGTGAAAGACTTTTGTTGAATGAACTTTAGATAGAATCTTGCTTTTGAACCATTTTTTTTTTGCGAACAGCTGCTGCGATGCGCATGGGCAGATAGTATACAATGGGATCAGGGGCATTGCCCCATCCAACACTTTGGTATTGAACTTGAACATGATCAGTGTCTGTGAATCGAGTGCCTTGCATACGTGTCGTGCTCGTTATAGCTCACGATTCTCATGTCTTGCGTGGGAATTTCTCCGTGGTTTGTCGGCTTGAAAGCAGCTGTTACACTGTTACACGGAAAAGGCCCAACAAAGAAAGGGGCCTCACCGACAAGGGACCTACTTGTTACATAACCAAAACACGTGCCCGGGCACGGACCCTAGGCCCGGGCGTTCCTTTCATGTATATAATGGTCACTGATTCCTCTCTTCCTCCTGGAAAACCAAGGACCTTCGACACTCTTCGATATTATCTTTGAATTTGAACCCCTCGTCCCGAACCTCGTTAGACCCTCGTCACATACACGGAGGTTACGTGGTCTAGTCAATTTGAGGTTATGAATACATCTTCTCACTAATTATCTAATCATCAGAGGTTTTGATAAGGCCGAGCCTTTTTAATCACCCCAGTCATCCTTGTGTGCTATTGACCAGACAATTGTGCTACAAGACAATACTACCCGGAAATACGCATTGCCTCTTCACAATCCCCATATCCTCAACTTTAACAGACCACGGCAGCCGTTGCCGAATCAGACGAGACTGCAGCAACAAGTGTACACGCCGCCGCTCATGCTACCGCGAACCAATTGAGCGTAGCATCGATACCAACCATGGCACCGTCGGCTCCCCGAGGAGACCTACATATGTAATGGCCGGGGCTCACACTTGATAGAGACGAACCCCAGTAGCCACGAGCGCTCCGCGCGAGAGCTGGAAAAAGGGAGACCTACTCGCAAGTCAACGCTTGCTACTCAAATCGACGAGTGGCATCGGGGCCTATTCTCATAACGGCAGAGGAAGATCTTGACAGCATGCTTAGCTCAGCTACCGAGTCCAATATCGACGACCTCGATGAGAGCAAACTCAGCAAAGTCGACGAAAATAGTCCCAGCAACAACACTGATAGTCAGCAATTCAACAGCGAGACCATCGATTGCTTAATGGTCAGTAATGTGCTTTATCGCATTGTTGAAGCTTTGGATCCAGAGATGCTTGACATTAGGTCAAGTAAGTGACAGCGGGTGAATGTAGACTCGACGGCTCTAAATGCGATGACAAGCCTCCTGCTGCACCCCCTCATCAGATTCCATAAAGCCCGGTACATCATAGGCCGACAGTCGCATAGGCGTGTCTTTAGCGACCTTGAGACATTTACGCTCACCTAAGACAAAGGGAATATTCCTCAAGCGATGGCCCTATACGCTTCATACGAACCATAAATCCGTGGCCCCGCGGCTATCAACTGGCCTCTAGATCTGACATATGCTGGTAAAGCTAGTGCGATGAAGGCGGACGTTGCAGGTGCGATTGTGACACGACGGCGAGCAAAGCAAAACTTCCAGGAAATCCTGCATGAGGAGCAGAAGTCTCACGTCACCGCCCGCCGTAAGCGGAAACCCTGTGTCACGGCGCAGAATCAAGACATCAAAGCTACTAGGGAAAAGCGGCTTGCCTGAATATATCAGCGGCTGGCTGATTACAGCCTTGGACCAATCAGGCTCGTGGTGTTGTCGAGTTTCCCGTTCCCGGACGCCGAGATGGCCGACTATTGTCTTCACCCGCAATTCCTCTTGTGCCTAGCTGAATCTCGGCGCTCTCAAGAACGACGAACTCAGCTTCTTCGCGAGCAAGTTTGCTGTCTGGTATGGAAAGGCTCGCAGACCCAAGAGTATGCCGACCCCTGCCTTTGAAAGGCTCAACCGAACCTGCCTCTGAAGCAAGGTTGCAAACCTCGGCTCTCAGGTGGTGTGTATCTTCTGGTCACGGTGCGACAGTGGCACCCTCGACTGTGTAGTGCAAGATCACGAGACAGATGTCTTCATCTACTCACTATATCGCATTATTCAATGGGATGCTTTTGCTAGACTCACAAACATGGAGTGGACAAGGACGAAGCCGAGATAAGGCGTGCGCATAGGTCTTTGCTGAGAAATCGCTACCCAGCCTTCATCTTGCACACTTTGAGCGAATGGAGATTCATCTGGACTCGACATTACTTGCTAAAAGAACATCTAGAGCTGAACAGCTTAGTCCGCGATCCAAAGGATAAGGACGACCCTTTCTTCCATATCCCAGCCTTAGAAGAGGGTTCCGAGACGTCATACCGTATCGACAATTGCTTCGCCGCTCAGAGTTCACTACGTATGGCGAGGTCTTGGTCGACACTTGCCAAGTTTACTTCACAGATACGGTTGGACAAGAATAACAAGTTACTCATGCATTTGCGATTCGCTCAAGGTCTATACTGAGGTGACACCACCAGTCCGCATAAAGTCAGCGGGAAGAAACCTGTCCACCTTGTGAACCGTATTGTCCGGATCATCATGCACGGCGAATTCATTTTATCGGGGCATCTGCCCACTCTATCTAGGTATCCAAACGATGCAGTTCAACGTATCCCGACCTCCACTCTCAACGAGATCTGCATTCCATTCGAGCCCAGCTTATAGCAGATAGGGTGCCGTTGAAAAGGCTGAAAGGACATGATGCCGTCCGCTGTAGCTTTGGCTCGATATAGAACCTGTAAGCGGGCTTTCTGGGACGAGTTTCACAGAGGACTTTCCGTCGTGGCAGTACGATCCCTTCAAAGATGGTGCGCAACGTGACAACCAAGAACTAATGGCATATCTCTATCTCACCTTGCCCAGCAAAGAACAACGATGACCAACAGTCAACAGTCGCGGAGATGACGAAAGTGTCGAGACTTGTTCAACTGCGTCAACTGAAGTTGGAAAGTCCTTTGATGGCCGTCAAATGACATCCAGTATAGGGCGTTATCATCTATGTATCGCGAAACCCTGAGCAACTCAATCAATGCGGGGACCATGCCGGAAGATGCCTTGGAGATTGTAACCTCGAGGGTCGGATCTTGCCAATTGGCTCAGCATGAACCATCGACTGTACGCATCTTAATTACCGTTATGAGAAATCACCACCAGTGCACTTTTGACAATGGACCAGACGATGCGGTTGGTGACGACTACTGGAGGGCGCTGTTCATCGGTCAACTTGATCAAAAGTGGCCAATCTCAGATAAACAAGTCTTGCATCACCGCTTTAGCTGGGTTCTCTGCTAAACAGATTTTGCGAGAAGTTTGGGAGCGATCCATCCGTACAACTATGAGATTGGCATTTCCACATCGAGGTTTTCGCATTTAGATCTCAGCCAAAGATGGACACGGCAGTTGTTAATCGCTCATAGTGATGGTGGCAATCTTGACGCCGGTCGCCAAGGTTGTGCAGGAGGTCCGAGCTTTGAAGCTTGGTGAGTCAAAATACATTGATCCTTCGTGTTCAATGTCTGAGATTTTGCCCTCGCGCCAACAACCGGAGTCGATGTCCCATCCTCCACGTACGACTTTAAGGATACGAGACCTTTCCCATTGGGCTCCAGAGACCAGTACTTGTTTTCACTTGCAACTAACATGACGCCGCATGCGTTGCGGAACGCGTACAGCCTGGCGTGGACAAGAAGTGACGTTTGTGCAGGCCACAAATCTACAAAACGAGAATGTACCGAAGCGACATGGGATTCACGACTTGTCATATTGTCCGCAGGCTAGATGCCGCGAAACACCAACGGTTAGAAGAATTGCTTCCGCAGAACCTGGCAAGTACGATGCCGCAAAACTGGCAGCGTGCGAAAGAACTTAAAGCTAAAAAAACAATTTATTTGCTCGTCAGTATCCTAAGATGAAACTCCATGGAGTCACCAAGTTTAGTGCGACTTGATAAAGTCTAGCAAATCCTTATTCACCTCATCGACATTAAGATTGTGAATTGCATGCGATCCCCCAGGGTAAACCTTGAGCTTGCCATGGCGCAGCAGCTTGACAGACTTCAACCCAGCAGCCTCAATCGGAACAACCTGGTCGTCGTCGCCGTGAAGCACCAAGACAGGAATATCAATCTTCTTCAGATCCTCGGTAAAGTCGGTCTCGGAAAAATCCTTGATGCAGTCGTAGGCGGTTTTGAAGCTAGTATTCATTCCCTGCTGCCACCAGCTCCGGATCTGGCCCTCGCTCTTGTGGGCGTTGGGCCGGTTGAATCCGAAAAAGGGGCCGGTGGGCACATCCAGGAAGAACTGGCTGCGGTCCTTGTGCATGGCCTGCCGGAACGAGTCGAAGACGGACTTGTCGGTGCCCTGCGGGTTGGCCTCGGTCTTGAGCATAAACGGCGGCACGGCTGAAACGAGGACGGCCTTCTTGAAGCGGCTGGTGCCGTGCTTTCCAAGGTAATGCGTCACCTCGCCGCCGCCGTGGGAGTGCCCGACCATGACTGCGTCTTTGACGCCGAGGTGTTTGAAGAGTTCCTCGAGATCGTCGACAAATGTGTCCATGTTGTTTCCGTGCCATGTCTGCGTGGAGCGACCGTGGCCGCGGCGGTCGTGTCCGATGACGCGGAACCCGTGGTCGGCCAGGAAGACCATTTGGTTCTCCCAGTTGTCGCTGCTCAACGGCCAGCCGTGCGAAAAGGTGACGATGGGGCCCTTGGGGTTGCCCCAGTCCTTGTAGAAGAGCTCGGCTCCATCTCGCAGCTTGAGATACGGCATGATGGCGTTGGTGTTGGTAGGAAGGTAGCTAAGCGAGTATCTATGAATCGGTTGCTTCTCTGTCGCCGGGAACCATCTGGGCCGGGAGACTGGGCGGCGGGTTTAAATACATTTGACTCTGCGCAGTGTGTAACGAGCCCCTCACTGTGATCTCGAGCCGAGATACGTCGGTCTGCATGAATGCTGCACACGCAGCTGGTGAACCCAAAATCAGGTTTGGTGTCTTGTGGCAGCTCCATTGGTCAAATCGTGGGATTGACGCAAGGCCTCGTTCCAGCCTGGCTGCATGAACTCAAGCGCCATGAATTAATGTGTCTAGCTTGGAGCGATGCGGCTCGATAAACCCAAATCCGGCCCGTCCTTCAGTCTAGTCGATCAGATAAACTTTGACTACACTCCACTGCCGTCCCCGGTTTAATTGGCTGTAGTGGAATTCGAGGTTTCCAGACCGCTTGATTCCATACGTTTTTGCCACTTCCTTTCATCCGTGTCTCTGCTTGCATGTACAACCCGACTGGCGGCTTGGTAAAACACCAAGCTTTGGTTCAGACGAAGCCGTTCACTCTACATGCCGAGGCTCGCCCGGCCCACAGATAAACATGACAATATGGATTGACAAACGGCGGACCAATGTCCCCCATCGTCTAGCCATGACATTTCCGATCATTCCAAATCATGTTCCTTCCTCGGGCAAGGGATATGCTTGTGCCGCAACGCAACCCGAGTCATGGGGGGCAGTGTACTTCACGGAACACTGTGATTCAAATCTGCCGAGATACGTTATGGAGAGGGAGTAATCTTCGCAGCCCACGGGCTCCGTGAGAATACACACGCCGTCGGAGAGCACGCCGTCGGAACACCGCGCCGGCTGGTCGGCCACGCACGCCTTGGCATCAAAGGCGAATCCCCCGGAGCAGAAAGGATCATCACAGCTGCCATGCACGAGGAAGGCTCCGAGCGAGTGCAGGAAGTACCGTCAAACGTCAACCATCACTGTCCTTGCACCTGGGAGTCTTGTGTGGTGAATCCATCTGGGCAGGCTGGACCATCAAGAGAGACGCAAATTGTTCCGTCAAGTTGAATGCAAAGTTCGCGTCATAGAGGGGCAATCGCGTAGATTTGCACACTTTGCCGCCAAATTGAGCCCCGGTTGGACAGCTATACAGCTAGGACCTTCCGAGGAGAGACACGCAGTCTCATTGAAGAGTCAATGCGTTGGCTGGGCCCTGAAGACTGGCACAATCACCGTCGACCTGATTCGTATTGCTGGGACAATTGACCCGTTCCGTCGCCAAACACACAATATGCCATTGAAGGAGGTCCCAATCGGACAGCATTCGGCCTGTCCCTTTGCATCGCGCGATGGAATGATTTCATCGATCAATTGATTGTGATTTGGTCGGTGGCGCTGTTGACCACGGGCGCGTTGGGCTCCCCTTGTAATTGTTTTTGGCCTTCCTGAGCCCCGACCAACCCGATGCATGTGGTGTCAAGTCAAATTTGAGGATTATCGTCAGGAGTCCCCGGAGGCTTGCAGGGGCCTCTGACCGGGTATTAAGGGGCACGGGTCAATTTGCGGGATTCCTCATCATTCAACCCAGATATCATGCCAGACCCTTCAGCGCCCTCGGTCATCTTGACCGGCATTGCAAGTTGGCTAGAGTGGCAAGATTATATCGGTAGGAAGCTAGAATTAGCTACCTGGGCTGCTATCAAGACCAACGATACAGCCTTCATTATCGTTGAACCCAACCGACCGCAAATATATTAACCGAGCACCAAGTCAACAGCTACAGCCTAGCATGGACGATTTATCTAGAGGGCCTAGACCTCTATGTAAAGCAGCAAAAACAGCTCATGATGGCTCGCGATGTTATCTACAGCAGCGTTGACAGTCGGCTAGCCCGATATCTTCACTGGGATCATGATGTCTTTCAGTAGATGAAAGCCCTGACCGATGCTGTTCTAGCCGAGCAGTCAGAACAGGTATCCCAACTAGCGGCTGGATATCAGGGGATAACCTGGACCTTTAAGGCCACAGTGAGGTTGATTTTTGAAGCTTGGTTATTGAAATGGGAGCATTTCCCGCAAAGAGCTGCTTGGCATCAAGTAATGGAAGCTATTGGAAGCCCCTGGTTACTTGACATGGCCTATTTAATTAGCCGATATGATATCGGTTTTAGCGAAAGATACAGAAAAGCTACCAAAGCCCTGTCAACTAGTCAGTTAGACTATCGGGTATTATTTGAAGGCCTCTATCAGCAATTATAGACCGCTATGAGCGTCGAAGACCTTTAAGCTTTAATTGAAAGGTCTTAAACAACATTATCACGACATCAGCCTTGATGAATGAGGAATGTTTAGTGGGCTACGTAGCCTCTGAACTATGAAGCTGGGCAGTGTTGGCTTTGCCCGATTAAAATGACCTAAAACGAAAGGCATCCTGTTAAACTGATACCGACCCCGATACTGAAGACGATGACAATGACGATACGGATACCGATACAAATAACCTGAAAAGGGTCAAAAGGTATCGAGTCCACCGCCATCTATTTTGCGATGCCTGTGGCGAAACAACCCATGATATTCGGGGCTGTTGGCTAGCTATCCCTGAACTTGGCGATACTGCGATTAAATGACAATTGATTCTACTTCAGAGCCGCACACCCACCATGCTATTGGCCCTGTTGGCGTAGCAAACTGCAAACCAAAGAGGCCAGAACCAAAAAAACCATGTGATCTGGTCTTGGATCGTGGATTGAGGATCCAGTGCCGCTGCTGCCCCGGGTCAGCGCCATATGTCACGGAAGCCATGCTCAATCACAGTTCATCCTTCTCCCTAGGGAAAGGATGCTGCTTTTGAAAGTTCTCATCCTCCCACCGCCAGTCGCCCGCCGCAATGGGCAAGTCAATGCCATTAGAACGCGAGTGCCAGTTGTAATCGCTGCCAAACTTGTCCAACACGACGGCCTTGTCGAAGCCCTCGCACTGCGCTCTGAATTTGATCCCTACACAGCGTTAGTTGGACCTTGTTCACATTGTCATCCCCCCCCCCCCCCCCCCTAGAATAGACGTGGAAGAAATCGACGCGGTCAACGTGCACACTCGCCGAGCCATACATGTCCTTGAGCTTGATTTCCTCGCCGCCCGAGTCGCCCGCCGACGGGTTCGTAGCAAACTGCACATCGTGCGCTCGCACCCTGCGATCGCGGTGCGAGCCGAGCTTGAGGTCATCCCACGTCCCGGCGCGCACCTTGTTGCCCAGGCTCCATTCGAACTTGAGGCTGGTGAACTTTTCGCAGTCCCTCTTCCACACCCAGTCCTTGAGCTTCAAGGCGCTGCTCCAACTGGTGAACCACTGCCTGGCCTTGATGCGAGCCTCGGCGGCCCTGGGCGACGCCGCACATTTGCCCGTGAGGGTAATGTCTAGTCGAGTCAGCTTTCTTCTTCAAAAAGCTTGCAATCAGCACATCGACATACCTTGCAGCTCGAGCTCGTTTGAACCCTCCTTTCCATTGTCCAGGTAGCTCACCAGGCGAACCTTCTTAATGTCCTCCACGGTGACGGCCTTGTCGGGATACGCGTCGGCGAGATCAACGTCCAGATACATGACGTCGCCTGCGCTGGGCGACTCCTTGAGCAGGTAGGCCGGCTGGCCGCGCTCGTACCGCGCATTCTTGCCCATCTCCAGAAACAGCCGGTCCCAGCTTCCGGCCGACGTGTCGTCGGACAGCTGTACTCTAATCTTGAGCGGAGAGCGGAGCACGCACTTTTCGGAATTCTGCGTCGCCGGGCTCAGGCGGTTCTTGCCCCTTTTCGGCTTTTGTATCTTTTTGCACAGCTTTGATACCGCCCCTGGTGCTGGGAAACGTCTATTAGCATTGATTGTAGCCCGTGCAAGTGGCCCTTTTCGGCGCTTACTCGTGGCCCTCTTCTTCTGGGAGAGCTTCAATCCGCTACACGCGCCGACGAGCTGGCACGTGTTTGGCTCCTGGCCCCGTCGGAGCCTTTCGATAATGGCCTGGATCTGCTGGTCCGCCTCGTCAAAGGGCGTGGGGAGCGTGTCGTTGGGACGCTCGCGGTGCAGCCGGGCCAGGGACCGCGCAAAGCCCGCGTCTGCCTCGAGAATGAGGTATTGCGTCTGGGGGTCGACGCCGGAGACGTCGCACGGCGCGTTGTGCTCGTGCAGGAACTCGGCTGCCATGACAATGTCTTCCGCGCTGAGCGCCGCGGCCTCGGGCTGCGTCGGGGGCGGCCGCTCTATCTGGGTTTCTTGTGAAGGTCCGGGGAGTCCGTCGAGGGAATAGGTCCCGAAGTTGAGCGGGAACTGCCCGGTGAAAGCTACGGCGGGCGCAACATTCGGGCCGTTCATGAATTGCGTCCAGTAGTTTCTGTCGTGGCTACGCCATGGGCCTCTTGGCTCGACGGTCGTCAGGGTGTATCCGTCGTATCTCGGCTGGTAGGCTGGGTTGGGGGTAAAGTCGTTTGCTGTGATTCCCTCGGCATTCACAGACTCGTTGTTCTCGAATCTCAGCTCATACCACCCCATGACTTGGGACCATGGGACACCTCCCAGTGCGAAGATTTCAGGCTGGTTTTCCTCCCCTTCCGTGGGGTCAATCATGTTTGGAGTGGCGTGAATCCTGTACACCCAGCGGCCGTAGGATGCCGCTGTGTCGACCGAGGTTGTTACCGAGACAAAGGCAGACGTCCACTCCTCGTCGGAATCCTCATCCGACAGGTCCGAGTCGTCTTCTCTCCCATGCTCGCCAACCATGTGGCGGTATATAGAGAATGCCTGGTTATTGTTTGCATAGTTGCCCTGGGGGCGGAATCCGCCATCCTTGGCTACATCGCGCGGGCTTCTGAAGTCGCCGCGAAAGACTTCTTTGGCGGGCTGCTTGGGAGCTCTGCCGACGACATCTCTTTTCCCGTTTGGAAAGGCGCTGATGGGGCCAATGGCAAGCAGAGCAAGATGTGCGGCCGAAGCAAGGCTGTCCCAGCGCATGGTTGTTGGTAATGACAGTGAGACAAGTCAGGCTGTGTCTGGAAAAAAAGAATGAAAGACGTTGCAGGTGATTTGCATTCTGTGAGATGAGGAGCAAACGGGCAGCACGAGGACCTTTATAGTGAGACAGAACATGGCAACGTAGATGGACTTGTTTTCATTCGATATTTTGACGCTATGGACTAGCCCGGAGAGTGAAGCTGAATCAGGTGTGTGCTACGGACAGGTATTGTGTACTGACTCGTGCCTAGGATCATGGTTGGCATGTATGCATTGCCGAGCCCATGAGAGCATGAAAAGTATAATCATAAAAGGCTTGTGGAGTTGGCCGGATTAGACGGTATATAGCGATGGTAGCCGCGACCAGACGTTATACTGAGGCCGTGTCGCATGAAGTCGCGATGCTTGCAGCGCTTCGGGACCCATTATAGCACCAACTCTAGCCAAGCGTATAAAGCACCAGACCCTATGGTGCGACAAGACGCACTATGTAATATGACTCCACCATCATGCTATGTCTTGTGCTCTCGGGGACGACTGCCCGGCTAACAAGATATCACTGTGTCGTAACTTGTGGGAGAACGAGCAACAGGGATAATGAGGTATACCCAACAAGGAACAAGGTGTTGTTTCATAGACATACCTGGAAGTACTACGCAGTCGAAAAAAAGGGGGAAACGAGGCGCTTGCAGCTTGTGTTACGGGCACTGGACAGCTACCATAATGGAAAGGCTTCGCATGATAGCGTCAGTAGTGCCTGAAACCGACTCTCCACAAGGTCCTCGACGTCCTGTGTGATAGTAGGGTAGTCGACATAACTCAAGGGCTTAGGAAACATTGGAGCTTGTCGCAAGTTGTGGAAGCAGCCGACTTGTGGGTTTGGTATGAGCTATGTGAAGCTGACGAAAAGCGCACAATCTTGTAAATAACCCCATGCTTTCGTGACGAGTCCAATGAGCCAATAACCAGTCTTTGGTGAACTCGCAGACGGGCTCTGCAAAACCAGCTAGCACAAGATACTACAGAGTACAGAGGAGTCTCCCAGTCTTCATAGTCCGAGTCTGAATCCGAGTTCGAAGATGTACTAGCACCCGGCGTGTCTGTGCCGTCGGCGCCAGGGACATCTTCAAATTCCGGGCCAAGCTCCTCGAAAATATGGTCCGGGGATGAGTATACGATGCGTCTGTGCGGATAGCACTTGACGCAGAACTCAAAGTTGCAACATGTCTTGCAGCGGTATATAAAGCCTCGAATATCCTGCAGGAGGGTTAGTACATTTTGGATCCCAGCAAGAGATGCTGGTATCTGCCGGAGGTTAGGCAAGCATGTGAAGAAAATAATATAGACTTGAACCGTGACATTAAAACGTACACATAGACAAGCGTCACAGTAAAGCGATCAGGTGTTGGCTGCTTTGAATTGGTCTACGTCTCTTTCATCCGGTTCCTCTGAAGGGTTGCCACTCTCTGCTCCTCTGGATGTGTTTGTAAAAGCGAGACCATGCTCGGGGAGATGGACGACCCCCGCGGATCGTCACGAGAAACGCGAAATCTTGAGAGGAGACCATTTAGGTCCAGTAGCAGACACCAGAATAGAGCGGTCAGTTCCTCTCTGAAGCAAGAGTTTTATAACCTTGGTCTGATCTTGCGGCTCACCTGCCACACCTTTGTTCAGCAAGGAGCGAGTTCCACGCACGGCCCAGAACAATGGTGTCCAACCATCTATGTCTGGTATATTGGCGGATTGCCTTTCCGCTGTTGACGACATGATCATCTCGACGACCTCAAGTGCTGTGAACGACCTGGTTGTGATGCCCAATGGGCCGCCGTTCGACCCATTTCGTCCCAGCTGTTGATGTCACCGCCCAAATCGACAATTGTCTGGTCCATGACGTCTATAGTTGCTCCGTTGTTGACAAGACGACTGATCAGCGTCGGTGTCTCCTGGAATGCCGCGGCGTTGATTGTAAAACGAAACAACCCACCCTCGGCCGTCACGTCTGCGCCCTTTGCAATCAGATAGTCAACTATCTCGTCAACACGAGAATTCTTAGCATCGTGTGCCGTTAGTTCAGCCTGTAGAGGGGCGCCCGTAACAGCATCCTCGCAAGGGCAGTTTGGATCGGCCCAGTGCTTGATGAGCAACATCAGCATACTCAAGCTACATGCCAGATGCGCTTGATGAAGAGGCGCGCAGTAGCATGGCGAGACTAGATTGATATTGGCGCCAAGTTTCAAAAGATACTCGGCGTATTCTAACTGATTATTGTACGCGGCATTTGCCAAAGGCGTGTCTCCTGCGACGGTGTCCTGAATTTCCAACTTGGCACCAGCGTTGACGGGACTTTTGAAGTTTGTGAGTGGTATATTGGGATGAACAGCCGATGATCCCTCGCTATTCTGTTTGTCCAAGTCAATCTTGCTCGGGAATTCCAGCATCCTCGGCGGGGCATCGTGCCGTGCTGCCGCGTAGAGAGGTCAGCTTCATTCTCTGCAACAATCCGCCTAATCACATCTGGTACTCCAAATCCAGTAAAAATAGGAAACAACGTCTCTCCACAGGTGGGACTTCTTGTTACGCAGTTCAACAGAGCCCAATACACCTTTGAACAAACTTTTGAAAGAACAGGATAGTTTGATTGCAACTGCAATAGCGACAAGTCTGGCCTAGAAGAGCCGAGCAAGAGATGACGAGGCCACGCCTGGATGGCGTATGAACACAGATTTCCTCGGTCAACAAATTCGGGCGTTTCGAAGGATTCCGCGTCAGTGAACTCAGAGGGTTCGTTGAGAATTTTCACTACGCTGGGTCTTGATAACTAATCGATGCACAGGGCTGCGATTTCGTAGTGCGCTGTCTCTTTCACTTGGTCCCATATAAACCTCGCTTTCCCAGGGCCTGACTTTATTGCAACAACGCTCATCAAGATTCTCCTCAATCTTGGGTCGGTGATTCTAATCTCATTCTAATTGATCTCTGCGATCCCAGAAAACCATTTTTGGTAGAGTGCAATGAAGTCTCCCCATGTTAATGAAGGTGGCTCCGCAAGCCCTTGGCGGTCCTTGTCCGATCCTATTTAGGCAATTGTTGCAGGTTTCCGAATACTGAGTGCTCCTACCGAGTACAGAATCCAGGATAGAAGCCATCTAAAAGTTGTCTGTTCATGGATGCCTTTGAACACGCGATTAAAATCTCCTGTAGCACCTGGTCTTCTTTACTTTCGCTTGATACAGTCTCTGGAGGACTATGGATTTAGTTGATGGAAATATTGCCGGCCCAGTTCTGCTGCAAACAATATATACCCGGTTAATGGATCAAAACTTTCGAGCTGTCACAACTGCTCACTAATAATGGTAACCATGCCGTGCTAAGGGGCTGAAGCAAAGAGGTGGGCTTGAAGCGATTGTCTGAATTAAGAACGGTGCATCTCCAGGTCCAAAATGTATACCTTGCTCGTTTATTCTGTGGCAGATGTTTGTTCTAGAACTGAGTGAACATCTGACTAGTCTAACCCAAGAGTCTGTCACCATAGGGTCTCGAGTCGACGGATCGCACACAACAAAAAGTCGATCAATTTTATGAGCGCATGAAGGAGCTGTGCCCATAGGTTACGATTCTCAGAGAAGGACCAACCGTTCAACGATGGCCATCAGATGCCAACGCCGCGCGGGCCGAAAAGGCACATTCAGCCAAGCATGAATGGATCCAGTGCATGAAGGAATCTCGCAAGCTGCTTTTTGACGCCGAGAGATATCATGATAGTCGAGAGATTAAAGACGGCGTAGAAGAGCCTGTTAAAGTTGCCCTCATTAATGATGGTGTGGATGCGAAAGACCTGGAGGACTCGTTTATTGGTGGACGGACCTTCTGCACTCGTGATGAGGAATATAATCTCAACGACTTATATTATGTGTCAAGTACGAGTAACGGAACTATCATGGCGAAGCGAATTCATCTTTTGTGCCCCGGCGCAAAGTTCTTCGTATTGAGGCTGGAATATTACTATTCCGAGGAGGCTGGCTGTCAAATCACTGCTAGGAGCGCAGCTCAGGTCCCTGCCTCCCAGCGCTCTTCTTGGCAGTCATGAAGGTCTAACATTTCAAATACAGGCCATCTTGGCGGCCATGAGAAAGAGTGTTCACATTATTTCCATGTCCTGGACGATCGACCCGCCAGAGGATGAAAACGAAAGGCGGTGTCGCGAGGCCGCTATCGTGAAGGCGGTCGATGAGAATAAACTCGTGTTTTTCTCAGCTAGTGATAAGGGTGCTAAGCAGAATGAAACCTACCCGGCTAAAGTAACGAGCAGGATCTTTACCATAGGTGCAGCCACTGCCTCTGGAGCTGCAGATGAGTGGGTTGGCAATCTTGATATCAAGCTACCTTTCCTCTCAGCAGGGTCAAGCTAGAAGGTGCTCCCATGTTTAATCGAAAGGACTTGCTGGGCAAGAAACTAGCCAACTTTCTAAAAGAAAAATTAAAAAAAAAAAGCTGCCGGGTTTATAATCTGCGTTACTGGTCACTAGTTATCAGGCCCAAGTAAGCAACTATGCTCCTCCCAGAACATAAAATAGATAATTACATACTAATTTAACCTCGGGGCTCCAAGTCGTTACTCAGATCAAAACTAAAACGGCGGAGAAGTCAGGCTGCAAGACCTTCTACTCCGCCGGCGTTGCGTTTATTCCCGTCGTAAACTGGCTAGATCACACATCCCATTGGTGGAGCTTATTTTACTAGTGCCCCCGGGTTGTCCCGCTGACTCCACTCCCCGGCGCACAAGACGGGATCAGCCGCCCATTAGGGATAGACGGTTTACGGCCTGATCCACGATATCAGTAGTAGCACAGCCAGAGGGGGTGACAGGCACTTGATTCCTCAGAACTCGAAACACCAGACGACTTTAAGGAGATTTTCTCCACGCTATTCTAAGCATTACCTAGTGAGTGCCTCCACATAACGAACCTATTATTAAAGACAGCTTTGTCGAATTAAATGGAAACATGACCCGGTGACAGTCAGAAAGTAGTGGTACGGAAAATGCTAGCCCGACTGCGCATGTCACAATAAGGTTGCGCTCCAATTGAATAGCAAATATACCAGACCCCTTATATCTCCGTTGGCAGCGGAGTGAATGGATGTCGATTTAAACCAACTCTACTATCGCCGGAAAAGCGTATAATGCCACGTTTACTACCTCATTGGCGCTAATAGAGAAAATACCCGTAATGAATCAATTTAAGAACCAAAAAATGGAATACTATCCTCCTCACTTCCATCTCCAATCAAGATTCGAACCCAACATTGAAGAGTAAGCGTCTGGCAACAATTAAATTGTCGGTGCCGGCGTGTACACCTGCTGGCCGTTTTTGCGAAACTGCTCAATCACCTCCTGGCCCGCTCGGCTCGTCAGCCAGTCGGCAAACTTCTTCGCCATGCCTGCGTTCTTGGCCCGACTGCTAATCAGCAAATGCGCCGGCATCAGCAGCGGATCGTTTGTGCTTTCGCTCCCCTTCTTATAGATTGTAATCTGTTTCCGTACTGACTCATCCACAGACAGGTACGTTTCCCAGTCAGTGAGGGTATATTCCCGGAGCGCGGCTACGGCGGCGAGGGCCTGGGTGGGATACGCCATGTACTGGTAATGCCAATTGGAGTATTTGGTTGCCCATGGGACCTGGTTCGGTAATGTGAGTATGTGCACCAAGTTGGTTGGGGGCAATGACTGTACCTGTCCGATCTGAATCCATAGTTCCGAGTCCTTGATGTTGGTTGCCGACTTGAGTCTGGTGTAGTCTGGTGTTACCGGGTCAAATACACCACATGACACCTTGAATAGAATGCTACTGCCTATTTTTACGGCTTATACTTATCCTTCTCATTATTCATTTATAGACTAGTTACATCTTTACAATTGACTTGATTATTACATTCATACCACTTCTCGCTGAGAAATGCTGCCACATAAGCCAAGTACAAGTCCACTGGTGTGGCCCAGGGTTGACTTGACCCTTCTGATCAAACACGCACATTGACTGGGACATGTTCCAAAAGTACACTAACCAGCCGCTAGGAGTATACATGCCAGGGCTTAATAAAATACTATTATAACTTGAATAGCTTTTTTCATCACCATACAGTCACTCAGCTCACATGCGGTCAACTATCTTCGAGTTCACGCAATACAGCAAAGCGGCGGGCACGCTCCAGGGATGGCCAGCCTATTCACGGCCGTTGCACTTGTCATACTACCGAGAAATACGTCGTGGTGCCAGACCGCTGATAAAACGCATGTCAGTCCAGCCATTTCCGTACATGCCGTCATGTGTCGAATAAAAATGCCTCTGTTAATTGAAACACATTGGGGCTTTTTGCCACCAAAATGGCAAGTGGTAACAGTGTAGCGTGAAGGCAGTAGTATTCTGAAGTATTAAATATCTTGAGTTTGCAGAGTTTAGGAGGGAACATAATAGCTGTGAGACGGTTGACATTAGTAGAGTATATACCACTGACCAGGGTCAAAAAATCAAGGTGCAAGATTTCATCTCCATGCCGAGAATCACACGCCCAAGATTGACGCGATCCCTGGGCAAGTTCGTGTTACATTGCCATAGATTATGGACTTACACGGCTCGTGAACACCCCATGTCACCCGTATCGTTCCGACTATTGATCCGTTAGCTGTCGTGCCCCTGCCGCCTAGCTTGTGACAAGGTCGTATTGAAGTCCGTAACAAGAAGGCACAACTGGTAGTAAAGGAGGGTTCTGGAATCCATCGCACTAATACTGCGGGGCGCGAACAAAACCAGCAGACTTCTGCCTCATCCAGCTCAAGTCCTTCATGTTGGCAGCTCCAAGCACCCGAAGCCCAAGAGCGCCACGATGCCCGCAACATGGTTCCTCCTCCCAGACTTTACCTTCACCGCCGACGGCCCTCTCCGCATGGGCATGGTGATTCCGCACTGGTCCAGGCCGACCACGGTCCTCGCCGACGTGGCCTCCGGCGCCGCCGGCGAAATCAAGCTGCCGGCGCTCAAGACCATTGTAGAACCAAACCACACCCACTCGCGCTCGCGCTCGCGGTCCGACAGCCTCAGCCTATGGTCCAAGTTTGAAGGCCTCGCGTCCGCATCGGCCGGCGCAGGCGTCGGGAAGAACAACAGCGTCGACTATGGCAAGACGGACCACGAGGTCCGAACTTTCCGAGACCCGCTGATGCCGGAGACGGTGGCGGCCATTGCCAACCTCCCGGCGGTCCGTGCCCAGATCGACTCGGGCGTGTTTGGCAAGCGCCCCGTCTACATTGTCTCGGGGCTGCGAATCGCCACCTCGTCTTTTACCGTGGCCAGGGGGCAGGGTTCGGATTTCACCATGGAGGCTGCGGGGTCTGGCCCGCCTGCTGGTACGATACCCGCCGAGGTTGGCGGGAGAATGAAGCACGAGGGGCTGGCAAAGCTCACCGACTCGTATGACACGGCGTCTGGGGTCGTGTTTGCGTACCGACTCTGCGTTATTAGAACCCGACGGGCGGGGGTAGAGACGGAAATGTTTAGCCACAAGAGCGCATTCCTGGGGGATGCTGGAAAGAAAGAGGCGGTGCCGTTGGTCTTTGGCGAAGCCACAAAGGACGAAATTGATGGAGACTTGGAGGAAGAGATCGAGTACGAAAGCGCAGAGATTGGAGAGGACGAGCTGTGCATCTCTATCTCGCTTAAAAACTGAATAATGAGGCATTGAATTAACCGTGTCAGTTCAACGGCTATCATTTATGTACGCTTTCAGTCTCCCCAAACGTAGCCCAGTATATACAAAAAAAGAATTCGGGACTGTCAATTCCCCATAGCAGCCAAAGTCTCGTAGTCAAGTTTGTAACAAGCTCGGCCAGTGACTAACATGCCGATAAAATAACCAAAATACCGCAATGACTGTTCCCTTCATGCTTCGTTATTCATCTTCTCAACCGCGCTGCAGACGGAAATAAAGACCTCCACGTCCTTCTTCTTCTCCCCCCAGAAGTGTATCGGGTTAATAAACTGTTGCCGGTAGCCAGTCGTCAAAGACATGGCATGTAGCATATTTTCCATCCCTCTTTTCGTGTAGAGCTTGGCACAGACCTCATGAAATCCCCGGAGTTTGAGGAGTGCCGGAAGTGCTTGGATGTACGAGAGCATCATAGCGACGACCCCAGCGGCGATCGCTGTGGCGATCGATGTGCCGGCGCCGAGATGCGCCGTGGGCAAAAATTCCTGTACTTCCTCAATGATGGAGGTCGGGATATCTGTGCCATAAGTACCGAGCTTTGCAGACCCTTTGCCTGTGTGGGCTGGATTCGAACGTAGGAAAGCTCCTGTGGCATCGGCGGCGTAGATGGGTATGACGTCTTGGTGGCTGGCGGGGAAATCGACTCTCCTCTCCCAAGAGTTTCCGGCGCTCGCGAGAAATAGTACGGAATCATTGCGATCCTTCTTGATTTTCTCAATAGCATCCGAAATGACGACGTGTTTTACCCCGGGCTTGTTGGGGAAGCCAAACGACATGGAAATGATGTCGACCTTCCAATCTGGGTCCAACCCCGCGAACTCGATGGCCTGGTTTATGGTCAGTACGTCCAAGACCAGTTACGCAGCACATACCTTGGCAATTTCATTTTCGTGGGTTTCCAGGTCTTCTGCATTCTCTGCCACGCGAACCACATAGACATCAATTATCGGCGCAACATGCATTAGTAGTCGTGCCATGAATGTTCCGTGGCCGAATGTGTCAATCTCAGTTTCCGAGCCTGCAGAGGTGAAGTCCTTCCAGCCCTTGAGCCTCATAATTCTTTGGGGGTTTTGAAAAAAGCGCAGGCCTTTGTGACACCCAGTATCCAGAATCGCGACGCGGATTGGTTTCGTCGTCTTGGCCAGCCGCCGACAGCGTGCTATATGCCCCGCTATTACTTGAAGATCTTCAAGAAATCCCTCGGTGTTGATTGAACTACCGGACATGAACGAGGGGTGGGCGTGTACTTCATTCCAAAAGGTTTGCAGTTCCTCATGTCCATTTTTCACAAGTGTTGATCGGCGGCGTATCTTGCTCCGAATGGGTACCAGTGGCACTTCTTCCGAGTCTTCGAACCCCGTCGTAGCTAACCAAAACAAGGGGGCAACAACCTTTTGGTACAGGGCGTCTCTTCGTTCGAGAAAGGCCGAAGCCTTGGCGTCCTTGTCGGCACCCTCCGAATCCCCTCGTCGTCCGGGGTTTTGTGGCTTTGGGTTCTCTTTGAAATTCGCAGAGTCAAAACAGTTTCTGACGGCTTCGACGAAATATTCCTTCCACCTGAAACCATCCCATTCAGCATCATTCAGCTCCTTCAACTTCATCTTGGCTTTGGCATGGGCCGTGTTTATGTGTGCAAGGAGGCTGAGTTTTGGGTTGTGCTCCAGTCTGAGTGCCTGGCCAAGCCCGATCTCCAAGAGAATAATGCCTAGATACAGTATTCTAGGATATCGATGAGTGAATTGGTCTTTATCGTAGCATTCTTCTGGCGATTTCCTGTATCTATGGCCGAAGGGAAACGAAACGAAGGCCCTCAGAGGAATCCCTTCCTCTGGTGAGAATTCCTTATTGAGTGGGATGAAGACGATGTCCTCGCTTGTCCACCTTGCATTCATTAGTTCTGAATTGTAAAACTGCCAGAAGGCTCGAGCGACGGTGTAAGAAAGCTTGATCTTGTGCTCGACTGTGAGTTCGCTCAAGCTTAATAGTTCAGAAAGCTTAACGCCACAGCCTGTTATGATATGCTGAAGTCCCCCGGGATCTGGCCGTTCATAGAGCTGACAATCTTCACCTACATCTAATTTGAAAAGTCAGTGCTTATTCGAGTCTAGCCAAAGAGTTCTCGCATTGAGATATGAGACCGAGATATCTTATTGAGTCGGAATGGATGACGAGAAGAGGGACTCCAACGTCATAAGGCTCCCAAAAATTGAGTATTCACGTACCGAGATACACTTTGGCATAGTTAGGATTCTCGAGACGCTTGCAAACATCACCGTACCCCACGAAAGACAATTTAGAAGAATCGAAGTCGAAGGGAAACCTCTTGCCATGTTTGGCATCTTTTCTGTGACCTATTAGCTGATTCTGACTACCTTGAGTACTAACGAGTCCGCTCGCTATAGTTTGTTACACCCTACGTCAAAAACAGGCACCTTGGGCAAGAAACTTTCTGCCGTCAAAGTAGTGACTAGGGACAAACTTGTGGCACCAGCAATTTTCTCATGTACGGAAGTCTCATTGAGCGAATATCTGCGCTAGATTTCGAGACGAGACATGCCATTTTGTAAGGCTTTTGGTCGCCAGACTGTTGGAGACGACAAGCCTTTTACCATCTCTCATGCATTTTGATGCATAACTACAATGATCTCGAATTACAGACGACCAGATGGTCATTCCGGAGAGGAGAGGAGGGAAGTAACAACTTACATGGGGACAGTGACGCCCATTTCCTGCCAGTACACCATTTCCGAGGTTGCGGTTATAATGTTGAAGAGCGCCCGCTTGTCTTCTGATCGAAATCCAGAATTGAGGCAGAGCCTAGTTGGATGCCAATCAGCTCCTGTGAAATCACTGAGAGCCGGCGCATTGTGGTATTGTTGCGCACACGTTGCAAGTCTCGTCATTCCGTGAAGAAGCAGCTTGTGGACGTCGTCGGGATACACATCCCGCCCAAAAGGACGGAGATGAAGATACGGCCCGGCATCATTGGCACTGCCGTCGATTTCTTGGGCATTTTTCGAGAGTTTGTCGGAAAGCTGGACGAAGCGTAACTGGTAAGGCTTCATAGTATCGGCCCGCTCCTTGCAGAACTTGGTGATTGATCTCTGCACTCCATCTCTGAACTCTTCTTTTTTGCATAGCTGAATGAGGGCATCGCGTAGCTCCTGGGGGCTTTCACTCGAATGCAAGCGACTCGCAGCAGTTGACAGTACGGGCCACTAGGGAGTTCACCACTTTAGCTCACTGCTCGATGCTCGGGCCAGCGCCCTAACCTACCTTGCAGATTTTCAAAAGATCCTGGAGAGCCTGGAGGCAAAAGGTTTGGATATCTGGGGGAAGCTGATAAAGCCCCTGTGTCAACAAATCCCCGCCGATATAGCGAAGTCGGGTGGCTATCTCGCCTGCGGAAGCACTCATGTTCGCAATGGCAATTGGGAAGAGAATATCCGACGCCTCTGCAGCCACCGAGGCCAGCATCTCCGAGGGAAAGACGCGTGTGCGATTTTTGGGATAGCTCATGGCGATATAAGTAGTTATCAGCATCAGCGAACATTAAAATCGAGGATTTCGGTATGTGGCGACAATCTGGGGCTGGCTGGCGGCGCCGTTTGTGCCCACCAGGCACCAACATGAAGAAGCACGAGGCATTAAGGTATCGGGAGAGCATTTAGGCTCCCAGCCGCTACACAAACGGGACGCCCTGTAAGCCAGTTCTACCCCGCTTTATAACTTGAAAAATTAGAAGTAGTAAATTATATTTTATATAAAAACATAAAATAATATATAAAAATATAAAATAATATATAAAAATATAAAAGCTTAAAGTAGCTTAGGCTTGCGGCTTAACCTCGGGCTTGTAATACCGGACCTTCTTTGTTGTTCTGTAACCATTGTTGACCCAATGCCTTTGTTGTAATCTCAGCCGTGTGACACTGGCTAAAAGATGACGCCTTCAATAAGAGCTGGCCAGCAGACGCAAATTGTATTTTTTTCTGTCCTTCCTTCATCATACAGCTTGTCGTCCCGCTGCGCAACAGTTCTCGTCGCATCGAACCGCCATCGCAAAGTCCTCTGCTATCCTTCCGTCGGTGACCTTGAGCAGGTCGAGCAAAGTCAAGAAGGAGGTTTCGGATAACCTACCACTTCACGCTCGAGGCTAGCAGTCATGGCATCCTCCGTACAAGACTCTCTTACCGAGGCTTCGACAGCCGAGGTCACGAGGTCCTGCCTTCAAAAATTGCAACAATGCATTCATCAGCAAGAGGGCAAGGAGAAGACACATCTTCAAACCAGACTTGCGGATTTGAGGCTTTGGTCTGACAGCGTTGGGGCCACAGCTCGGGAGAAGGCTTCTCTAGATGCAAGGTTCAAGCACCGGCCCGACGACATCTATTTCATCCAAAGCCTCCTCCACATGCTAGAGGGCTTTCTACGGGAATGCCTCATCGCGGCAGACAACGATGCCCATTTACGAAATGTAATCACCAACATTGACTCGACGATAGATAGCCTGGCCTTTATAGGCGTACAAATTCGGCGGAGTGGCCGCAACTCTCGGCTTCGAAAGGTAGATGGTTCCTTTGAGCGAAACCGGGACAATTACCAAAAGCTCCGAGCACATCTCGCCTGCGTTGTTGCGTCGAAACCAACCGAAGGCGGCAGGCCCGCAGACGAGGGGAAGGAGATACACAGCATGGATTACTTTGCAGAACTGGAGCTCCCGCCAATCCAGCATCGCCTCGTCGAGGCAAACTTGCGACGGCGACACAGATTTACCGAAGCGCAGCGACACTCCCAGGGGCTGCTAGACTACTCCACGAAATCTTCTCGTCCCGTGGGATCACAGGAAGTCTTCGCCTTGGCCAGGACGCATCCCAACCAGAAAGTCAAGCCCATGACCCAAATTCGCCAGATACAAGCGCGCGCGGCCGGTGCGGCAAATGAAGCACCCACAGTAAATGCAACGTCAGCTTCAGGCCTCGATTCCAAATGGGGAGGATTTCGAAATAGTCGTCGGCCGGGATCGACAGTGACACGCATCACGGCCATCACAGCTTCAGCGACGTATCCCAAGGCACGCGACTCGTTGGACCCGGACCAGAGACTGGTCAAATGCCCCTGCTGCTGCCAGGCCATCCCAACCACAGAGCTGGAGGACAGCCAATGGAGGTAAGAAATTGACGTCAATCGCACTGTCTGGTCAGGAAGCTAACGAGGCCAGAAAACACTTGGCGAATGACCTGTGCCCGTACACGTGCATCCTTGAGAATTGCCCAACGCCGTACCATCTCTTCGTAACGCAGCAGGAGTGGAACGACCACGTCATGAGTGACCACCCGCCGCAATGGCAATGTCCTTGTTGCGGAGGCGACCCTCCCATATTCAAGTCCATATCCGGAATCACGGCTCATCTGATGTCTGCGCATCTGGACGCTGCACCTGACAGTCTCGAGGCCTTGTTGCAAGAAGCAGAACTAAACGTAATGGGAATAACGAAATGCCCCTTGTGTGATTCTGAAGGTCCTCAGGATTCTCCAGACCTGGTTGAACATGTTTTGCAGCACATCCATGACTTCTCGCTCCGTTCCCTGCCTTGGCCTGCCGACCCGACCATCAGTCTTGACAAACCAGTTGGAACATTCGACATGGCGCACGCAGTCCGCCATGGCAAGGACAGTGAGGGCGACGTATATATCTTTGACGTCGCCGGATGGGCTGAGACTCAAGCTCCAAGCTTCGACACGGACCGCGGGATCAAACTCGTCTACGATCCTGAAGGCAACCCGCTCTGTTTGGACATCGTTGGGCCGCCAGACGAGACGACATTAATGGGCGAACAATCACTACAACTCTGTGAAATCGACCGGAACCCGCCAAAGGCTGACGCAGGGGAGTCAGCGCTGATCGTCAAATCTCATAAAGATTATTTCTCTCACAATGACTACTTCGTAGACGAACCCAGCGATGGCCGGTTCCCCTCTCAAACATCATGCTCATCGGATATACCATCAAATGATGAGTCCCGGATAGGTCCCAGCTACTTCCACATGCTCGAGGCGGACATGAGAGACAGCAATGATGGCCAGCCTATGCCATCAAGTCCCATTGGACACGAGTCCCAGTCCTCCCTTCCCGTCAGCAATAGTGTTCGGGATGTAGAAGACGCCGAATCAATTTCAAGCGCCCCGGCTTGGCATGAGTGGGCTCCCATCCTCAGAGACTCGCTCTCCCCCGGGTATTTCAAAACTTTCTTCGTTGAAGAGAGAGTGCTGGGGTGGGATTGGAACAGTATTGTTCGATTGGTCCGCCACGAGATCGATGGTGCCTACTTAGGTTCCTTTGCCTGCAGGCAGGTGCCAGTTGGAGACGATTACGGATGGTTAGAGAAGTTCCTAATCGAGGTCAAACTCCTAACCAAACTCTCTCACTCCAACCTTGTCTTGTATCGCCACGCATGGTTGGAGGATTCCAACTTTGATCCGATTAATTCCGACTTTGATCCGATTAATTTGAACTTTCATCCGATTAATCCTTCATCCGTGACTTGTGTATTCATCCTCCAGCAATACTGCAATGTCGGCGACTTGAAGCAGTATGTAATGAGTGGACTCTCCACAGAGATGATGAAGGAGCAGTTCATGGCTCAATTAGGCCAGCCCGCCGAACGCGTGCTGTTCGAATATCAGCGTTCAACCCTGGCGCCCCCGCGCAGACTCCCGCCCGACGAAATTTGCTCCCTATTCAAGGATATCGCGTCTGGTCTGGCGTATCTGCACAGCTTGAATTACATCCACCGCGACTTGAATTCTAGTCACTGTCTTCTAAACCGTGAAGGGGGGAAACTCACTTGCCTGATTACCAACTTTGGCAAAGTCCAACGAAAGAGCGCCATTGAAGACCTAACTGGGGCTCCGCGCACCATCTCCTATTACGCCCCTGAGCTTCTAACACAGGATGCTAGCAGTCAATTTGGTAACCCGACCACGAGTTCAAATATATTCTCCCTGGGCTTGGTTCTTTACTTTTTGTGTTTCAATCGCCTGCCTTACAGGAATACCGAGTACGTGGGGAATGGTATATTCAAAGAAAGGAACGAGCTCCGCGCCGAAATTATACGCTGGAAGGGCTTCCAGGACGAGAACAGGGAGCGGCCGGACTTGCCAGAAAAACTCTATCAACTCCTCAAGCGGACGCTAGCTGTTGATCCCGCGGAGCGACCTACCGCGGCAGAAGTACTCAGTACCATGGGCCCAGAGTCTAGTAGCCGGCGGAAGGAATCGAAGAAAGGCAACACCATGTTGTACACCCCATCCTCGCCAGCCGATGTCGATGAGGGATCCGATAAATTTCCCAACAACGATCGGCCTGGCGCCGCGTTCTAGGGGAAGGATATCGCTGGTCAGACGCCACTGTCGGAGGCCGCCGCGAACGAAGACGATGTCGTTGTCAAGCTACTCTGATCGAGATATCGATAACTGCGGATAATACTCTTGCTTCCCTTTGGAAAACGGTAACATCATAACCTCATACAAGAATTCTCCTTCCCTCAACGTGGATGGCTAAATTTGTTGAGTCAAACAGGCGATAATTGACGGTCGTGCCTCATGAATCATGATATTTGCTTTTTCTAGGGTTCAAACTTAGGACTTAGATGAGGATCATCACAGGGGTCTTCAGGGGTTCTAACAGGTTATAAGAAGACCAATTTCCCGGGTTTTCAGGGCTTTCATCTTAGACCTTTATGAATTTCGAATATCGCTACTTTGCTCAATCGATCTGCCAAAACCCACTGTGTAAATTGCTGTTGATAATCTCAACAAAATTTCGGTCTAGGTGTGACAAGGGCTCAAAGGGGCTTGGAGTCGATAGCTCCATTCATCTAATAACAGTCTTTGGTATTCAAGGCGCTTGGTTTTCTCAAGTCTTGAATGGACCAAAGAGCTCTATAAATACAAGTTGATTGTAATAGGGGTAATACATGGCGACGAATGAGACCAAGCTACCCGGTAGTAGGTAGCGTATTCGATATACTGTCGTAATATTACCGGGTGGGTTCTATCTTGATAATTTACTGCCACGGTTCGATTCGTTCACGAATCTGCAAGGGACTTTATTTTTATGGAAAATGAGTTTAATGAAATTTTCTCAAGCCACGGGAAAACCTTCCACGGCAAGGGTTGCGAGAGGCTAAAGCAGTACTGTCTTTCGTACATGAAAAGCAACAGCTATATCGATCTGACCATTCGCGGCTTACTCCCGGAAGCAGTATCCCGGCAAGTGGCAGGCATCTACCAATTGGTAGATAAATCGTTTCTATTTTTAGAGTACGCGGCACGTAATATCCTTACCACGCTGATGTAGCCGAAGGGGCGGAGGCGAGCAAAGGAGCCTCTTGAAACTGTTCGGAAAATTACGACAATTCACACAGCAGAATGAAGTTCGCCGCCATACTCTTTGAACTTGAATTGAGAAATGCCAAGTCGATTGAGAAATACCAAGTTCAAGCCCGGTCGTTAGCCGCACGGCGTGTGAAGCTCGAATTTTCCGCTACCCCATCCATCTCGCGAGGCGCTGCCATTCGTACGCATATTATACGAGTTGGGTGTAGTTGGCGCGGCTTGGATTCGAATACTGGCTCACAAGAGCCTCAGGTGAATATAATTCCTACCTGTTCCGAGAAACCCAACCATCACGGGCTCGGGTAAGCGAAAGATGATGGTGGGCTAGTCGCTAAAGGGTGTCTGGTAGGGTCGAGTAAATGGTATGACAGACAATGCGGGGGATGTTGGGATGCATACGGCTTCCAATACGGAGTAGATGTACGGAATACTCATGTTGGGTATTGAGGCTGCTCAGATAAGGTCGTGGGATGAGAGAGGGCCGAGACCAGGATACTTTGTCAACCGCAACGCAACATAAATGACAAGTCTTATGCTTGCATGTCCAAACCCCGCAAGCCATACGTTGTAGTGCAGTCAATGTCTCGGTCAAATATGTCGGGTGCTTCTGCGCGTGCGGATCCCTTCGAGCATCATACAAGGCTGCAACGGCAACCCGTGAGGATCCGGCAACAAAGACAAGTGGTACTTTACTGCTCAGTGCCCAGTATGAGAAGCCGTGTCTTCTTTCAACGAGATATGTGGGGATTTACTTGCCAGCAATTTGAGACTGCATTCTGTGGCAGTCTTTCTCCTGACTCGATCAAATACATCGGCCATCCGGGTCAGGTTCGGCAGGCATGTTCAGGTTACTTGACGCCACGATTCTACTTTGCGGGCCACACAACGGCTGTCGATATTTGACACTTTGTATGGGCCGATTGGCCAAGACGTAATGTGATGGAGTAGCCATCAAACGCCATCAGAGCAGGCCCCCCCAGCCTTGTGTAGTGGCAGAACCCAATTTTTGCCTGATCTTGTCTAACTTGACGTTATATTTCCGCCCTTGCTCTGGCATCTCCACAGACTGAAAGTTCCCTAGTAGCCACAGAGCCTTTTGCATTTTACCGACATATCCTCTACGACAATAGCAACGCGCCCCGCAAGTCGCGACGAATTTCGAGTTGCTATACTATGCGCATTGCTCTGTGAATACAATGCAGTCAGCCTTCTGTTTGACAGCTTCTATGACTTGGCGAGTGACCTCTACGGGCGGGCTCCCGGCGATCAAAATACGTACTTTACCGGACGAATAGGCCCGGTCGATGCTGTCATTGTTCGTCTTTCGGAGATGGGCAAAGTCATCGCCGCCAGCACCGCAGCGAGTCTTCGGTCGAGCTTTCCAAACCTTGAGCTTGCTGTTGTCCTGACGGGCATCTGCGGCGGAGTGCCCCATGCGGAGGCAAATGGAATTGTGCTTGGAGACGTGATACTCGCCAGGAGAGTAGTCCAGTACGATCTCGGACGTGAGTATCACGATGGATTTGTGGCAAAAACTACCGTGGATGAGGGTCTTGGTAGGCCGACCAAGACGATACGAAGCTTCCTCTACAATTCAATCGCAAGTTCTTATTACAAATATCGAGGAACGCACAGTAGCCCATCTCCGAAAGCTACAAAACAAGCCTGTTCCGAAGTCATGCTCAGCCACATACCAGTATCCTGGCATTGAGGAAGATAAATTATTTGGGCCAACCCATTTACACAAACACCAGTCTGGTTGCGAGGGCTGCCAGCATCCAGACAAGTCTTGCGACAAGGCACGCAACCAGACTTGTAAAGATCTTCAGTGTCATCTTCATGGTCAACTAGTGCAGCGGGCTCGCCTCGACATCCATGGGAAAGAACATGGCTCGGCGCCTATGAATCCCAGTGTATTCTTTGGTTGCATTGGCTCGGGTGATAAAGTGATAAAATCCGGCCAACTCCGAGACATTATAGCCGAGAAACACAACCTTGTCGCTTTTGAGATGGAAGGAGCCGGCGTGTGGGACGAGATCCCTTGTATCATAGTCAAGAGTGTTTGTGACTATGCAGACAGTCACAAGAATAAGCAGTGGCAGAACTACGCGGCTGCAACGGCTGCAGCTGCTACCAAAGCCCTGCTCGAGCGCTACCCAAGAACGGACAGAACAAGATGTATGTAATTTGTCAATCGAACCATGTTTCCCCAGTGCAAAGATGAAACTAAGAGCAGTACCGAAAGTTGCCCTTGTTGAGCGAGGCGATGCCCAGCTCCTCACGGGCGACAATCAAGTCAACGCCTGTCGAGACGCATTATCCCTCAGAGAGCCAGTCGTTGATCTGGAAACCCTCAAAAGCAGGAAAGGCCAGAGGACTAAAGGCACCTGCAAATGGGTCAAGGACAATGAAAAATACCAATCCTGGCTTGGTGGCGACTCGCAATTTCTTTGGATTTCCGGTGGCCCTGGCAAGGGGAAAACAATGCTCTCCATCTTTCTAACAGAGGAGCTTGAGAAGCATACCCAAAAATCAAAAGACACGGAACTTTTGTTCTACTTTTGCGACCATCAGGACGAAAACCGCAACAGTGCCGTGGCTGTTCTTAGGTCCCTCGTGTGCCAACTGCTCTCCAAGCGCCCACATTTGATGAAGAGCATCTCGAAATACTTTGAAAGTAGTCAGAAAACACAGACGACGGTATCTTCTGCGCAAGCTCTCTGGGTTGTATTTCAAACGCTCCTACAGGCCAACCTCGGCACGGTTCTCTGCGTCATTGACGGGCTGGACGAATGTGACGGTGAGAGCACAGGCATGCTAGTTGGCAAATTTTGCGACTTTTTTCCGCCAGACAAGTCCAACAAGATGCTCAAGTTGGCAATTGTTAGCCGAAAGCTCAAGGGGCTAGAGGCTTTTTGTCAGGTGAATCTAGACCATGATGACGAGGGACATGTCAGCGACGACATTACGAATTTTATATCCGCCAAAGTCGAGGAACTTGACAAGGTGGAAGACTTTGGTTGCATTCGCGAGCAAGTCGAAACCACTCTTCGACATGGAGCCAACGGCACTTTTCTCTGGGTCAGCCTCGTGATAATGGAGCTGTTGAAGAAGACGACATGTACCGAAATCTTGGATTCGCTGGAGGAGTTTCCACCCGGGCTGGACGCAATGTATGGCCGGATGTTACAGAAGATGAAAAATAGCCTAGGGCTGGTGGCCTCCAAAATCTTGCGTTGGGTTGTCATGGCCACTCGGCCTCTGACATTGTCAGAATTAGCAAAGGCTGTCCAAGTCGGACCCTTGGCGAGCCTGAGCGCCGAAAAGGTCATGAGCGACTACATCACTTTGTGTGAGCCGATGCTCAGGGTGCTCAAGGTGGGCGAAGACAAGGAGATCGTCGACCTTGTCCACCAGTCAGCCAGGGACTACTTACTAAGACCGATGATGTCAGGCAATTACGAAGCACCCGAGGAGTTTCTCATCAACACTGGTGAAGCTCATTTTGAACTGCTAGAAGTGTGTCTGGATTGCATTGAGGGCAGCGATCTGCGTAATGGGCCCGTGTCTGACGCATTGGACCTGCAGAAGTCGCCTCTCTTGGACTACGCATTGGAATGGTGGCCAGAACATGCAAGACATTCTTCTGCATACGGGGAGAAGCACTTGGACCTTTCACGACCCATGTTCCGCAAGCAATCTAACTTGCGGACATATTGGTGGGTGTCATATTGGTGGACACTTGAAACACCTATGCCCATAGACTTCATGCCTTCAGGCCGACTTCCTAACCTACCGTTATTACACTTGGCTTCCTGTTTCGGGATCGAGTGGCTGGCTCGAAAAATCTTGTCGGGCCGCCGCTTTTCGATACTCTCAAGGGTCCTAAAAAAGGAAGAGGATGATTTGGGCAACACTCCGCTTCTCTATGCCATCGATCGGGGGCACGAGCCATTGGTTCAGCTGCTCCTTGAGAAGGGCTCCAAGGTCAATGTGAAGTCTAGCAATAGCCAGAAACCGCTAATTCGTGCGGTGGACTGTGGAAACGGTACGATTCTGAAACTGCTACTCGCCAAGAAGGGTAATGTGGATGAGAAGGACGAGGAGAGCAGAACGGCGCTACTAAGAGCCGCCTTCTTTGGGTATGATACAAAAGCGAAACTGCTTATTGAACACGGCGCCGATGTGAATGCGGTGGACGAGCATGGCAACACAGCGCTAATATTTGCTGCCAACGGTGGTCATCACGTTATAGTAAAGCCGCTTATTGAACACGGCGCCAACGTGAATGCGGCGGACGAGGAGGGCTTGACAGCGCTAATTTGCGCTGCCAGCTATGGTCACGAGGTCACAGCAAAGCTGCTTGTCGAGAAAGGCGCCAATGTGAATGCGGCGAATAATAAGGGTAACACAGCGCTAATATACGCTGCTGATCGTGGTCATAACGTTATAGTAAAGCTGCTTATTGAGAAAGGCGCTAATATGAATACGGCGAATAATAAGGGTCACACAGCGCTAATATACGCTGCTATAAACGGTCACGAGGTCATAACAACGCTGCTTATTGAGAAAGGCGCCAATATAAATGCGAGCAATAAGTATGGCGGCACAGCGCTAATATACGCTGCTAATTATGGTCATAACGTTATAGCAAAGCTGCTTATTGAGAAAGGCGCTAATATGAATACGGCGAATAATAAGGGTAACACAGCGCTAATATGCGCTGCTCGAGATGGTCAAGACACGTTTGTGGAGTTGCTCCTCAAGAATGGAGCTTGTATTAATGCCAAGAATGACTACGGCAGGACAGCCCTGATGCACGCTGTCGCTAACGGGCACGATACGACCGTCAAGCTGCTGCTCGCTAACGGCGCTGATGTAAATGTACAGGATCAGGTCTCGAGGGATTTGGCATTACACCTAGCCGCTGAGTATGGGCATGAGAACATCGTGGAATTGCTGAAGGCGAGTTTATCGCAATATACTAGTATAAGTTAGCAATTCTAGTACAAAGGGGATTTCTCGTCCTTCATATTAGCAACTCATATTGGAATGTGTCTGCTATTATAAGAGTAGAAAAATAGCATATCAATAATAGCTTTACCATCTCCTCTTCAATACTTACAGAATACTGGAGGTGCTATTCTTTCCGCTGAACCAGGCCTCGATTTTGCTCAAGACGAGGCGTTTACGTTGCGGTGATGCCGACGAGGCCTACTTGCTGTAACTACTTGTAGGCATATATATTTATGTTACAATACCTAAGAGACCGTCGGTTCGCTTACATAAAAAAGAGAAGGACTACTTTGTACTCTGGGGGTAATGAATTACGAAACTCGTGTGCGGAGCCTTATTCACGAAGAGCAATTGTTTATTCTGAAATATTCCTTGTATAGTAGTTAAAAGTAAAGGTATGTACTGCGTTGGCTTGGTTGGTATTTCAATCTTTTCGCCAATGGTTTGTATATGCTGTGATGAAACAACTGTTTAATGCCGAGTAAGCTATATGTGGTGCTAAAGGGGTTGAGGAACCGTCTGGAGGACTTCAATAAAACATTGACGCCATAAGACTTGGCGTTAACTAATTTGATGATGGAAGTCATTCGCACTCTTTCGGACTCTCTGCCAGAATAATTTATATTTGTCAAGAGTCGAAACCCTTTGCCAGCTACATGATAAAACTACCACAGCTAGCAGGCCTTTGAACCTGTAACCCAGCAATTACGTCCAAGTCTACTACTCATTCAATTAAAAAAGAGTAGCCTCGTCCAATAAAAGCCTTTATTCACGAGACTAAAAGGTTCCAAAGGCGGGCACACTCCCAACTCAAGCCATCTACATAACAAGATAGGAACCGTTTCTACCACACCACGCCTCTCTTGCCCTTTGGACCCTTATTGACAGCATCCCTAATCTGTCTCAATGCCGTGCCGCATTGACCAATGGTGACAAGCCCCGATGCCAGAGCTAGCTGAATATTAGGCGGGATCTGCACCTGTCCCCATTGAATCCGCGACAACGCAGCAGCCTCCAGCGTCGTAGCTACACGAGCGTATTAGCATCAACCTTCACACCGTGACAAAGAATGCAAAATATACGTACGCTGTCCGTGCCGAAGAAGCGGGAAATCACGCCCAGGCTCAGCATCAATATCCCAGTCCAGCAACTCGCGCAACTCCTGTCGTCGCTGCGCATCAGGCACGACCCGGCTACTCGTCACCAGCGCCATCAGGTCCCTCGCCATCTCCATGCGCGTCATGCCCTCAGGGGCATCGAATACCCGGTGCGGTATTCCCCTGACACTACCGTAATTCCCCCACGCCGCATCGTAATCATCATTGTTCATCCATGACAGCTCCATTGTAGCCACCACCGGCGGAACAACGGGGTCCCTCTCGGTCAACGTCTCAAACAAGTTTCTCACATCGGCATTAGTTCCGTCCAACTCGGTAAAGTTGATGATTTGCGACCAAGGCAGGCCCCCAAGCGCACGGGACATGGACATGGGGTTGCCGAGAACATCTTGCCACTCCCCAAGCCACACGTTGGGTCCTGTTGCGATGCGGAATATCCAGACGCGCTCTGCTTGAGCCGGCTGCCGGCGCTGATCGAGCATCATCCAGGCCTGGCGCCGCGCGGCTGCCTCGTCGGGCACAAGGCTCATGAGGACGAGGGACAAGTCTTCAAAGTCAATCGAGTCCTCGCTGTCGTCGGGTCTGATGTTGCGAAGGCGCTGCCACTCGGCTGCTGTTTCGGCATCGGGCGCAGGCAGCGAACCTTCGCTGATGCCGCCCTGACTCCGGAAGTAGCCGGGCGTTCCGAGGGCCTTGGGCCCTTCGGGGATGACTAGGAATACCTCGCCGTGGTCTGCCATGGAGACTGGGAATGTAGGCAGTGGTCGGGGCGTGGTGGTTGGGGTTGCCTCCACGGCTGTGTGCCATAGCCAGCAGGTGAGAAGCCAGGCGGCCTTGGGCAGCATCATGGCGACGTATGGAGCCTCAGAAGGGGGGGAATAAAATATATCTTGGGCAGGTGGTCAATCTGTAGAAGACGGGGGGTGGCTGGGCATCAGGCAGTTGAGCGGATTCGTGACACTGGCGGTGTCTGACAAGTAGTGCAATGAAGAGTCTTGAACTGGATATTTATATTTGTGGCCGAGACGTATTTTTGCGCTTTGCTGCAAGTCCAGTCGTTGGACGGCATATTTCGTGTCGTTGCATACACTCTTCCCATTTCGCCCCAATCTTAATGCGTCTTCATAGTTTTGTTCCCACTGATGGGTTGGCGTGATTTGGTCTCATGATGAGCCCAGACGGGCTAACTTGGTCGCTGTCGTCAAGGACTTAGGCGAGTATCATCCAAGGATTAGACGTATAGGTGGTGCTTTCATATTCGTATGTCTGCTGTTAATAAAATCCTCGGTATATCTCTCGAGCCATTGTCGCATTGTCGCAATGCAAAGTCTACATGGGGTAATTCTCACATGAGTCGAAAAACTTGACAAGACCCTGGTGCATTGGCATTATTATATATAGCTTATTTAACTATTGTATCCCTTTGAGTGCGCTAAGGTGCCGATTTTGTAGCGAGCAAGGATGTGAGCCAATTACAAATCTTAAATCAGAAGGTATATTAGCTTACATGTTATTAGTATAATAATATAAGTACCTATAGTTCATAATATATATAAGGCTATATTAAATTCCTAGTAGAACCCCACTAAGAAAAGTACCTTAAAGGTCAAGTATCGCGAAAAGGTGGAGACAGGTACGGAGGTGGCACCTTAGCGCACTCAAAGGGATATGTGGACCTATATCGTCACGTCATATCCTTGCGTGCATAATACCTTGCCTAGTAAATGCAAGGTATCGGGGTCTGGCTGAGCTGTATTCTTCTCACTATTAATTTTCTTCTTTATGCAGCTCCCTGCGACCTACTTCTTCACTATATCAAACATGTTGTATTAAGATGGTGGTTATCCTGTCGTATCGCAGCCAGATATAGGCTCATATGGCCATCTCCCGCAACACGGCTTCGCTCTCGTGTATAGCTGCATTAGTCATAGTAAAGGGCTATACTGGGGAAATATAGATAAGAGTATAGCAGAGCTCGCATAGTCTGCAAGGAGGCATTCGAAGGTCCCTAGTCCCCAGGCTGCACAGGCAACCTCTCATGCCACTCCCCACCCCCATTGGGGTGACTCGTATCACATCCCATCCGGATTGGACTAGCGGTGATTCTGATTTCGGCGGTCAGACGTCCATCAGATGGAAACGGAGAGAGCTTATCTCGGTATTGGATATATTGTTCTTCATCTTGGCAAGGCCTATGCAAATGGCCACATGACTCAATAACTCAATAATTAAGCATCTCTAGCAAAGCAGCAGGGTTGGGTAAATCACGAGATGCGAGTGTGGGGATCATGGTGTTTCTCTTTCCTATAGAAGCTCTTGTAAGTCTAGGTCCTATTGCAGGGTGCTACAATTAACTGTACTAAGAATCTCCTCATGCAAATACATTGAATGTGTGCCGTGTTCCAGACGTGCATGGTAATTGCAGCCGTCGCCAAAATCGCGCCATTCCATGCCTCAGCTCTCGTGTCTTGAAATATATAAACTGCGCTGCCATTCCCATCTCTACAATAACTCGAAACTCTTCAGCATTGGGACTCCTACTACTTCTGCCCATTCCACATTTTTCCATTTGCAAAACCATGATCTACTTTAGTTGGGCTGCAGGCCTATCTGTGCTATGGCTCCAAGGCGCCACAGCACAGAGTAATGCGAATGGACAATGCTCAGAGCTGATCGACACCATGGCTACAAAGCTAGGTGTAGATCCAACAACCTGGGGCTACGCAGGGAAAAATACGTGCGAGAAGCAGGAATCGTCGCAATATTGCACACGCCCGGAGCAGGGCGGCTGGCACCCCGGCCCCGAGACATGCGACTACTTCAAGTCCCTCGAGGTGAAGCTGTTTCTCGGAAACGGCATCTCTGGCTTCGACGGCGCCGGCACCTTTGACGATCTCGTCATCGAGTTCGGCAACAGCCACCAGACAATCCTGGTCCATCCCTCCAAGGGCGAGGAGTCCACAAAACCAATCGACCTCGAGAAGGCCTTTGGCTTGAAGCGAGTCAAGGTCGAGGATGTCAAATCGTTCAAAGTATACTCAGTACGAGATGAGCGGACGAACCCAGACTCATGGGAGATTGGAGGCATGTACCAACCCTTGCAAGTTGACCCGAGACGACATTGTCCTAACCCAGCATCGAATAGGCATCTCCATCACCGCGACATGCGACGAGTCGTCGCGAAAGGTCATCATAAACAAGTACGACGACATTTACGACTGGTTCAACCGCTTCGGCGACATTACAGGAAACGAACCATCCCACTTCACAGGCAGCATTGCCGTAAGCGACTGGAAGTGGCAGCACCCCGACGAAAAGACGGACACCATCGCCGTCATGCCCATCGGGCAGTCCAACGCCTGCACCAAGTTCAAGTCGATGGAGGCGCACCTGGAACTCGGCTCGGGCATCTCCGCCCTGACCGCCGGCACCAACGACGAGCTGGTGCTCGACTTTAGCAACGAAATGTTCCCCAAGCACGTCATCCTGCTCGCCACGGCCCCCTCGCACGGCGACGTCATCGACAAGACGCTTGACCTCCAGAACGAGTTTGGAAGCTCTCCCGTTTCCGCCCTGGACGTTCGCCAAGTCATGCTCTACTCGAGGGAGGGTAAAAGCCACTGGGCTGACCCGTGGCAGGTCGCAAGTATGTGTGCCCCCAGTCCATTTCTATATAGCATGTGATGCTAATTTTTTTGGTTTTAGCTTTTGAACTGAGGGCCAAGTGTGAGGGGTCTTCTAGGAGTGTGGTGGTTACCAAGTGGCGCAATATAGACAAGTGGTTTGATCGATTTGAGGGACCTTCGGCGCTGAGCGGAGATTTGGCTCTCAAGGACTGGCACTGGGCGTGATACTATGATAGTGGAGGCCTGGTAGATGAAATTGATGTCAATCTATTTTAATTGGGAGTAGCTTGACTTGATGACAAGTACAATTTGGAAAGTTGGTTTTATTTGGAACGAGGTGCTACAAGAGCAAGACCGGACTACGTGAAGGCATATTGGCGATGGTATGAGGCATAACGGCAAGTAGATGGCAGAAAGGCTGCTCAAACCCATCGACCAGCTTTCTTCCACTACATCCTGGGCCAAGAACGCGGCTGCTTGGCGCACGTAGCCTTGTCACGCGACTCGACGCAAGGTATATGCGCTTGTAGATGCTGAAAAGTTTCTTTCCCGGCATGATAGTGCGACTCGTGCTCGCCCACGACGCCGACATGGACATGGACGCAAAGGATTTCATGGGGGTCGGCAATGGAGCTGGTAGCCAAGCGTGGGCACGAGGACGTGGTCTCAATAACAGCGTCCAAACAACTATATTATTCCACATCTCAAGTCCTCAAGTGCTAGTAATGCACCCAGTGCAAGTGGTTCATGCAGGTTCTTGACAGGGTGGACCAATGTCAGTCGACGACTTAAAAACGACCACGTCTAAACAGGAAGCAACCAGAGACACATACCACAAACCTTTCTCTCCTCTTTGAAATTCAACCTTCCCATCTTGACATTGCATCCATCTTTTCTCATGGAACCGCGCACGTGTCGACAGAAGCACAGCCTATCCCACTCGCCTTCGTCTCCGCACCATCCGAGAGGTTGCCATCCGAATCTCCTCGTGACAGCGCCCCCGCCAGTCGATAGCTCGCCGGCCTCTCCCAGTTCCAAAACGCCTCTCCCATGCTAACCAGCTCTCTCCGGGACAAGGCAGCAGTAGGGCGCATCTCTTTCCCCGTCACTTCCCCATCGGGCCCGTAGAGTGCCCTCGGCGCCAGAGGCCACTCAGATAAATGTGGCCAGCTGAGCCATGTATCCCTTGGTTCGAAGCGCCTTTGCTTCCGGCGGCTGACCCAATCGTTTAAGACGTCCCGGAATGCTTGTATGTTGCTATCAAGTTTTACGTCGGGGTGTTTTGACCACTCCATCTGCAGTAACGCCTCGGCGTCCTGGTCCTTGTGCGGAACGTCTCGGAAATGCTCGTCTAGAGTAATGATTTCGTACAAGGTGAAAATGACGCCCTTTACATCATCGCGTTCAGGGGTGTAGTACTCTGCAATTGATATGGCGTAGTTAAAGTCGAATATTTGCAGATTGTCGTCTTCATTGATGATCAGGTTCCGTGCTGCTATGTCTTGGTGCATGACTCCGTACTTGTAATTCAAGCCATCTACTACAGAGAGGAGCTGGCGAAACCAACCAAGGCGGAATGGACGGGTCGTGGCGTTATTTTCATGCAGTGTGCCCCCCGAGACGAAGCGGCTTGTAAAACCAACAATGCGCCCAGTCACGTCGCTGAGCACGACCGAGTCGAATGGGACAATGTGTGGATGGTCACGAGGCAGTCGACACCAGTCGTTGAGCTCGTACCAAACCCGGGACATGCCATTCGCCATGAACCAGTACTTGAAGGCGGCGGTTGTTGTGGCACCATGCGTGTCATGATACAACACCTTATCAACCAGTGGCGCTAGTCGGTCCAGCTCGGTCAGACTTCCTAGGTATATAGTCTTGACGGGGAAAGAAAGGCCCAAGGATGACAAGGCTGGGTCATTGACATAAATTGTCGCGTCGTCTTTTAGGTCTGTAGATGTCGTGATGGGGCCGTCTGGCTCAGAGAACCGGAATCCAAAGACACCGTCGCCAAGATTATCGAGATGCTTTTTGAGCTCCGCTATGCAGATGTCCTCGGTTTCTTCCCGGTTTTCCACAGGAACTTTGGGAGCATACGTGATGGAGAAATGTCTTCTCTGGTCGAAATCCGTGATAAACCAGGTGAACGGCCCATACGCGCCAGGGACCAAACTCCCCGATCCTACCCAGAGACGCTGCTGTGGTTCGATCATGCCGGTAAGCTTTGACAGACAAGGGAGGATAAGTCAGTTGTGAGCGAGGGGAAATGAAGATGATTTGAGTGATTTCTGGCTTCTCATAACGTACTTGTGTATTTGGTACAAGGTCGTCAGTCCGCCCAACAGGCCAAAATGCCGACCTGGAGTCGCCAGGAGTCCAGGACGAGCACATGAGGCAACAGACCAACTAGTTTAGGCACCAAGCCACACACGGCCGTGTGGAGCCGACTGCTGCGCCTGTCATCAGGAGCTCCGTGTTGCTCCCTCAGCCTCCATCAATTCCATGTCAGCGTACATATGTAACAACATTGAATTGCTCTAAGCCTTTAGCCCTTGTCACACGTCGGCACGCGTATTTTGGACTCTCCCGATTTGCCAATCGAGTTGGTCTCAGTTTTAGTTCCTTGCAACTCATCACTTTTTCTATAAATAGTAGGAGGGAAAGGGTATTTAATTCCATCTAGTACCTTGATATCGCGCTACAACAGACATTATACTATATTAGTGCATACGTCTCGGTAGGTAACTATATTAATTTTTGGTTGTTTTGCTCTGTAGTCAAATAAAATTACACGCATGATACAAGTATCGTACAAGCGTAAAATCTAAAACAGTATTAGGCTGTACTAGGCTAAGGACAGTAAGAGACTAGAAAAGTAGACCGTCTACGCATCGTGACGCGTCAGACGTACCAGCGCAATTGGTGCCGCGCCGTGGCCCGCTAGCCGCGGCCATCTCGCGATAGCCTCAGCCACTGTCAAATCCTGATTCCGAGGAAATCAGAGAGGTTACGAAGATGATCAGGAATTAAAAAAAAAAAAAAAAGGCTTCCAAAAACGCTGAACCAAAGCGTAGCACCAAGGAAGCTGTTAAACTGGCCACGAAAGGGGCCGACAAGGCTAGCAAGGCCGAGGCCAAAGAGGCCAAAAAGGCCAAAAAGGGTAGGTAACTATATTCTGCCATCAACTTCGATTGTTCAGCAGAATAAGAGAAGCGCGAAAGAATATAACTGCCGCTATAATAATGTTTCTATCATGCTTATGCCCACTCCTATCCATAAAACACAGGCCGTTTCATGCCGTTAGCAGAATCTCCCGAAGGCGTGCTATATCCTGCCAACTCGCCATGCAGCACCCGCCCACCACAATCTGCCTCCATTTCCCTCTCCCTTCCGTCCCCCTCACAACCTCAGCAAGCTGTTCCTCCCACGGCACCCTGCTCACGTCCCTTCCATCACCAGGAACCTCCCATACCTGCGTGACCGTGTTGTACACCTCCCCATTTGTCCCGTCGGGATAGAGAACCAGTGCCGGCCACTCGAGCAACGTCCCATCCTGTACCAACATATCCATCACCGATTCGTACTGCTTCAACAGAGCCGTCAACTTCCACACCTTGGTGCAGTTGATGCCCACGCCCCACGGAACCGACTTCGCCACCCTCGAGTCAAACATGGCTCGCAGCGCAGTCTCCGGCGCCTCGCCGCTGGGCAGACACGGACTATCCCCCGGATACAAGCACGACATCCAGAACGGCACGCCCGCCAGCTCCGGCACCTGGTCCAGCGCCGCGCGCATGGCCGCAATCTCGTCCGCCCGGGGGATCGTCTCCATGGACATGTACCCTATCCGGGAGGCCAGGCCACGCACCCTGCCGAACAGCTGCATTCTTTCCCGGTGCCACTGGCACAGGGCTTCTTGCGAATCGTGCGCGTCGTCGTATTCCCCGCTGTACTCCTGGCTCGGGATCATGCACGCCCCGTAGGGGCCGAGGCTGAGCGCCACGGTGCCGTGATGCGCGCGCGTGGCATTTTCCGCAACGGCCACGGCTGTTTCCAGGAACGGGGGAATATCCAGTGGTGAGATGCCGTGCGGAAATTTGGGCGTTTTGGTGCCGGCGAATCCTGCAATGGAGACTTGGTAGGTTGCCGTGAGAAGGATGTCGACGGGGACGTCTCCAAAGTCGCTCTGGCATTGGAGGAGCGTGGCGGGGTCGGAGACGAGGAGGTCGGACGACCAGAGGGGTGTGGATGGGTTGAACTTGGTGTTGTATTTTTGCTCGAGGGACGTGCCGAGGCCGCCGTCCAAGATGAGTATGCGCTTCATGGTGCGTTGGGGGGGACAGAAGAGTCTGGTTTGACGTTGAGGTTTGTCTCGACTCTTGGCCTTTGAGGGGAACGATTGGCCCCACTATTCTTCACTTGCTATTCTGCCCTTCTTTTGACTTGAATATCTCTTATAGATGGACGAAGCCAAGGAGAAGAATTTCTTACGAATATCCGGAAAGCCAGAACCAGATATGCTGACACCTCTCTTCTTCACAAAACAAGTGGCCTGGTTTACCAGTCAAGTCGTCTGGTTGTCCTTGGGAATGGCACAACGCCAGTTCTATATGGATGATGAAGTTGGTCAGCATAGGGGCACATAAAAGGAGAAGGTGGGAAGGTTGTGAATAGCCCCTATAGCCATCCAGCGCAGTTGAAAACGGACAAGACAAAATAGCGGTTGTGCTTTTTGCGAATTAGCTTCTCGTTTGAACCTTTAGCCTAGTTCAAACCTTGCAACTTAATTTGAGCCGTCTAGAGGACGAGGCCAGTTAGATGACTCCAATGTCATTTGATGACCCAGAATACGTCATCTGGTACTCGTGGCAAGTCCTTTGGCGCACAACACGCCGGCAAAGTTTCATCAGTCCCATCTACAAACTGCCACGACACATTTCCACACAGGGTATCAAGTCAGCCACCAGCTATCCAATAGACTATACAAGCAAAAATACACAAGCATTCTCCCAGGCCTACTTCAACAGGTCCCCCACAAACGCCAAGTTATCCCTCGCATCGTCCAGCACCCTCGCATACTCCAGCAACAGCCGCCACACGTACAGCTTCATATCCTGCCTCCTCAGCACCCTCTCGGCCCAGTCCTTGCCCTGTCCCGCAATCGCCTCGGCCTCGTCGTCCCTAGCCAAAAAGTAGTCCAAGACGCCATAAATATCCTGATACGTATTATCAAACGGCACGAAGTGCACCCACGGCACGAGCCTGTCGTCGTGCCACTCGGTGTAAATCGTCGCCTTGAGCGGCAGGCTCGTCGACTGCAAAAACGCCCTCCACCGACCGCTAAACGAGTTGCCGTCCACGTCGGGCAGGAACTTGTACCCGTACTGCTCCTTCATGGGCAGACTCGGCCGGACCTCCATAAACGGCGACGTGTACGCGCACGTCTTGCGCACCTCGTCGTGCCCAAACGGCCACGTGCCCACGCGGTCCTCCACGGCCGGGAAGCACTCGAGGTGGACAAAGGCGGCGTCCGACAGGGGCGAGAGCCATTCGCCCAGTCTTCCGTCGGCCTGTGCCTTGACCGCGTACCTCTCGCGGGGGGGCAGCTTGAACGTCTTTGCGGCGGTTGGGTCCCCCCTTTCCATGGCGGTGAGCACGGACGCGTTCATCATCTGCACCCATCTGTGCCGGTGGAAGTGCCACCAGTTGTCGTGCTTGTTGCGCCCGCCCGACGCCGTGCCGCGCCAGATGAGGCCGTCCTTCTTGTCGGCCCAGGCTGGGCCGTGGTCCTCTCCTCCGTTGTAGAACTCCCTGGGGGAGAGGTACATGGCGCCCGGGATGAGCAGTTCGTTGTTTTGGGGCATTTTCGAGCCGCCAAAGAGCGGGAACAGGCTGTGCGTCGTGGACATGCTGATGCTCTCCACAAAAGCCCCGTGCATGCCGCGCAGGTGCGGCTGCGTACATGGGTTTTGGGCTTGGCTGAAGTTTTGGACGTAGCCGTGAAACATGTAGCGCATTGGCTCTGTCGGAAAGTCCACAGGGCCGTCGAAGGAGTCGAGAGAAGACACGGTTCGGCTTGGGTCGTCGGGGGAGCACGTCGCTCGCACGTGGTCCCAGTATCTGTGTGCATCGTTGGTGATCCATCCCGGGTCGTGGAGATGCTCCTTTGGCTCGGCCACATGTTTGAATGTGCCGAAGGTATTGGTGGTGTTTTGGGGATCTAGGAGCCTTCTGTTGGCGCGCTCGGTGCCGACGTACTCGTTGATCTGGTCCCATGGAACAAGCACGCGGGGCTCGTCCATGACATTGATGGGCATGTCGAGGTCGGGCAGGTGAGGCATCATGTCTTCGACCAACTTGGCCCACAGATTGATCCACGGCACGCGATCTGGATCATCTGTCTCGAATTTGACCTGACCGTTTCGCACTCGGATGACTTGCGGGTGTGTATTTGCCTGCGTTCGCAGTTCCCTCGGGTCCACGGCCCAGAAGGGATTGATGTCATGGTGTATCCTGTCGAAGAATTCCTCCACAACGATGGCCTCATCTTTGAGCGCCTGAGCAAACCACTGGTCAAAGCCGGGAGGCGGATGGCGACCGCGGCGCTCTCGGTAGCGGGCGGCCGACTCTTGGAGTGTAAAGGAGCGTTTTTCCAACAAATTGTCCAGGCGTGCATTCGCATCTCGGATGAGATTGTCGATCGGGTGGTTTTTAGGGGCTGAGTGGTTGAGTTTCGGCTGCGGACGCGCCTCAGCACGGTGGCGCATCCATTCTGTCGTCTTGAGCCTCTCGAGGCAAGGCAGCCAAAACCAAAAGACTAGGTATAGCGAGCTGGCAAGAAATAGGAAGCGTAGCAACTGGCGTCTGCGTAGGAAAGGTGCAATCGTAGGCGATGCTTGGAACATCCTGTGTGGGAGCACACATGCATGTTGGGCGTGGGAAATGAAGAAACGTTGGTGCAGGTCGGAGAAGAAGAGTGCTCTGACTTCAAAAGAGACGAGCCAAAGTACCAGACAGTACAAGCCACAAGCCCATCGTTGATCCTTGTTCAAAGCTCGGTCCCGTCCATGCTGTTGAATCTCTTTTTGGTTGCACCCCTGCTTATAATCCTTGCATGGAGCCAGTCGGATCGAGCGTAGCCGCGGCTTGTCATGGCCACGGCCCACGAGTCCGGGTCCAGGGCCGCATGGCGAAAAGTGATATCACCTGGTGACAGGTGTACCGAGTAAATGACTCGTGATGCTAATTCTCACAAGTTACAACGAGGAAGCCTATTCACGCCCTCTCTGGGAAATGTAATGCCCTTAAATTCCTCGGACACATGTACTCTGCGCAGCGAAACTTGGACTGCTGAATAAGAACATGTTGACCGATTCTCCAGCTACATGTATATATTTGTGATGAAATTCCTAACGTCTAGCTACAGCATGTTGAATCCTCAGGCCCAGGACGCTTGATTACGTGTCTTGCGGAACCCAGAGGAGGAACATATTGGCCGCCGCCAAGGTCCTTGGCGCGCTGGAATAGCATACTCCGTACGCGAGCATTGTTTACGCCATCATGCGCCCAATTTAGCAAGAGTCACCACGAACAATGGTATTCCAGTTCCCAGATTCAAAATTCTGTCCCGAAACCGACCCAGCGGCTGGCGCGCAGGTGTTGACAATATGCTGAGCACTGTCGGCAACCCAGTTCCAACTATCCAACGTCTTGGGGGTCGTGTTCTACGCCACGGACAGGAGTCGTTACCATCACGTCTCGGATAGAATGTAGGGGTCAATGAAGCTTGTACTCACATCGTTGCACCACCAAATGGCGGAATTATACGAGCAGCTCACGCGACCACAGTTTCCAGGACCAGGCCCATTGCGAGGAGCCGCCGGCGCGCCACGAAGGTAGTTTATGCCCTGCTGTATGCGGCCTTTATCGGCAAGCGGCCAGTTGCCGCACTGCACAGAGGAACGCTTCTGCTTCTGATGCACATCCCTCGCCTCGGCGGCAATGGTCAAGGTAAACTTGGGGTTGATTTGGAGAGCTTGCGCATAGACCTCTTGAACGGTGCCGTTCAGCACCTCGGTCCTGCCGACGGCAACTTCAATATCCCATTGGAGCACCTCGACGCCGTACCCGGGGATGGGAGCCTCTGCACCAAGTACCTATGGCTTGTTCAGTATCTAAAACATCATGGGATCGTGGGGACAATGCGTACGCCGGTTGCTGTGACGGCAGAAAGGAGTAAAGTGAGTGAAGCGCGCATTGTGCTCGAGTGTAAGTAGCTGATGAGTTGTTGGGCTTATGAAAAGTTGTGATGGAGCTTGACTACAAACAAAGGGAACTCGCAAGTGACAATCCTACGCCTTTTAACGACGGCTGCTGCTCCATTGCGTGAAATACTACCATCCAAGTTGTCGAACATTTCGCAATGAGCAAACAATATTGCTGGTCCTGCAGAGATCACTTTGCCGTTCATCGCCGTAACCCGGAATAACATCATGCGTTTTGCACTCTGTTGAAGCCTTCTTGAGCTGCGTCAACTGGTTGCCAAGACGAACTTTAGGGGACCAACATACATTTGAGGATGCAAGGGGTTGAGGTTTGGGGGTTCTCGAGGCCACATGTTGAAGAAGCTTACATTTTGCATGATGCATATAATCAATAAAGTGAGACGCCGTGGGTTCTGTCATCATTCTATTGTGAAAAGGTGGACTGATTAACCTGCATGCGAAATGCACCTCGTCGATTTTAGCAACTCGTTCACGTTTACCGAGCTCGGTGACCAAAGTCTTTGATTGCATTGATCAAAAATCAACGCTCCACCACCGGAGTTGACAACTGGCCAGATTGACTGCACAGACTTCCCCTTTTGGCCTGGATAACAGGGTGCAAATCTGGTGTAAATGGCCCGCCGCAACTTTTCCGCCAGTGCAACTGAATTGTTGGGCCAACACTGGAAATAACGGGAAAAGTCCCTCTTGACCCAAGTAAGCATAACATTAAGCAGAAGTGCCAAAACTCTCACAACCCAGCCCTGTTCCTGCTTAATCGCGCGGGCAGGGGCGGGAATCCCTACCGCTACGATCAGCACTCCCTGGGAGGGGTTCTGGCTGGGGAGACAGGGCTCTTTACGTTTTATATTTTCAGGAATGATATTGGCATACCTACATCTATCTAGGAGTAAGTTCAGTCTAGTAGAATAGGTGCTAGATAGCTATGAAGTGCACTCTGCAGCATTCTGATACATACCTACGGTTGATGTATCTACATGTGCGGAGAATCCCTGTACAGACGGCTTTCACTCAAGCCGGACATACATGATTTCTCCGACGTAGTGCTAGCTACGGATTCTGGTCGTAAATATAGCTGAGCAATGGCTGGTCTGCGATATCCACCCCGGCCGGTTCCTGCGATACTTGCGTGATATTGACCCTAATACGTAATGAGCATCCTGATATTCCGTAACATCGCATGACCCTAGGACGTCGCCCGCCCACCGAGACAAATCTCAGCATCCGTCATCTTCTACACACAACCATCTCAACCGATGGCCATCACTCAAGACACGGAACCTGCAGACTCTTTCCGCTTGCATTGTTATTACTCATCCTCTTGTTGCAATCGGGTCATAATTGCAACCCATCTCAAATCCATTCCTCTCACCTTCTCCGTTCCCAATCTCAAAGACGAGCCGCAGCGGGAAGAATACCGAAGCGCACTAAACCCCAGCACCAGCGGCGGAAAAACGCGTATCTGCCAGTCTGATTCCAGCCGTCGAGTATGCCTCTTTCTACAAATTTGATCTCAGGTATGCGCCAAACGTCATGGAAATGTATCATGCCCAGAAGCAGTCGGGGGCATTTCAAGCAGTAGACTGGAGAAACCATCCAGATACTCCTGAAAAATATCGGCCTGAATCTGCGTAAGAGCTAGATTGCCTGTGTTGATTGGAGTGCAACCGATATGTTCATGTTCCCGACGTAATACTTTTGGTGAGGGGATTAGCAACACATGTCTGCGATGCCAATGATTACAAAGAGATTCAAGCCTCTAATCATGTTACCTTGTCCCCCGTTTGGTGGTTCCGTATCCTGGAAAGACGGGGCCCTCCTCTGTTGAAACGGCGTCATGACCGCCGATGCAGCCATTCGTGGAAACAAGTCAACCGATATAAACAGTATTGATATCTTCACCTCTGTTGTCCCAGGCTGGTTTGGTGGCTTTCGGGCTAGGAACCTGAGAGTATTTGAACTGGCTGTAGCGTTTACACATGCCATTGACGCCAAGTGTTCGTAATACCACGCCGATAAATCTCCTCCCGCGACGACATGGGGTGACAAGCAAGACGGCCCATTTCCATTTCCCTCCTTGCACGTTACAGAGCCGGTCATGTCAATTTGACATGGGCCGTGCCGTGAGGGTTGTTTCCAGTCATGCCCCAGTGCCAGTTCTGTTGGGGCACCTGGGCTGACAGAAAGTATCCGTCACGCGGAAATGGTCCAATGTCAGGTTACACAAGGGCTACGATCACGGGACCTAGGGCAAAGTCCCTCACCGACTTCTTGTATATAGAGACCTCTGGTCCCTCAAGGTTTAGATGAAAACCGAGGACCTTTGATACCAAAGGCTGTTATTAGATGACATCTGGTATTGAGCTCTTGCTTCAAGCCCTCTATCGAGCCCTTGTCACAACAAGGGCCAACTGCTCTTTGCTGATTATTATAGTAGAAAACTTGTACAATTTATCACGTCCTGTATTTGAGAACATAAACGAGGCATCTATCCTTAAGCCCCCAATCCTGGCTGCACCGCAGCTTTTTCATACAAAGGGCTAGTTTTAGCCATATAGATACAAGTTGCTTAGACTTTGTGTCAAGGGTTAGGGTTAGTAAGTCTTTTCAACCTCTCCTTTCCTCTAGTAGCCCTGTCACTCTCACCTCTCTTCCTGTTACTACAGGCCGTTACTATCCTGGTCGCGTGGCTATATCCACTATTAGCCTTGGCAGTTTCCTCTTTCTGTCTTAGCTTTATATCTCTGACATGCTGCTTTTTTTAGTTATTTACTTATTATTTAACGAGAATTATCACATCAGCCCGGGATAGGCTCGACGATACGCGCCCAAAACTTTTCATGCAGGCGGTTCTGAGAAAGTCCAATGAATGGCCAGAATGTGCTCGGATCACACCTCTAAGCGCTGAGCTATAGTTAGTGGACATAAGATTCGACCACCCAGCGGCGTTGAATGACCCCAAAATGTGTCGAATACGTCCGGTATGACCCCTACTCAGCATCCGATATGACAGAGGCGAGGCGACAAGGACCAGTCCCTTGATACGTCAAGTCTTACCTCTCTAGCTGTTGCCTGATTGGCGCCGCATGCGAGATGACTCGTGAGATCAGGCAACCATTGGCCAAATTTGAAAGCAGGCCTAGGAACAGCAAGGGGCACGACGTCCTCATTGGCATGTTCCGCAGGCAAAAATGTCGCTGTGTCCGCAGGGCTCTAGCGTTGATCAGTGCGATTAAATTCCACATGTCCTCTTACCAGGTTCTCCGAGATGTTTGCGTGGCGAAGGCACGTCCGGTCTCAATTTAAATGGGTCCCATTTTACCGAGTCGACCAAATACGCTCGCGCACGTACGGTTCTATAGACAATTAGTCTCTCCAGCTTCAACTAAACCTTGAACAACTTTTTCTGCAGTAGTGAATCGTCCATCCCAGCAATTTGAATGACAGTCCCACAGCCCAGGTGATCAGACGCTGGAAAGTCCAAGTTCTCGAAACAAAGCTCCACCTCTTCCTCATCAAGTTCGCTATAGGGCTCCTCGCCACCCATGATAAAATACAACAAGGAACCAAGGCTGAAGACATCGTCTGCTTGACTAGGGATATACCCTCGGCCCCATGCCCACGATTGATACCTCGGTCCTGGGGCACCAGTCGAGGCAGTATGCCCTGGAAACGAGCTCCCGGCGAAGTCGCAGATTCCAAGGTCCAAGTTCTTGTCCAAGAGAAAATTTCGAGGCGTGATATCCTGATGAATTACTCCGACATTATGGAGACTCTCCAGCGCTTGAGCCGCCTGCAAAGCCCATTTTCGACGGGTGTCGGCATCGGTATCGCCATGGTTCCGAAGGTAGGTCTCTAGGTCTCCGTTGGCGTAATCCTCAAGAACCAACACCTTGGACTCGCTATCCCAGTTAATTACTGTAGGGATGAACGGACTTGGACCAATGAAGCAATAGACGTCATATTCGTGTTGCATGCTCTGGCGATCTCTCTGTTCTTCGTAGGGGTTGTACGGGTTCGGCATTGGGGTTTTAGAGATGTGACCAGTAGGTAGTCGCTCTACCAGCGCTGTTGCGCCGCGACGAACGAAATCTCCCTTTGTGATGTAGTATATGGGTCCCTCGGGAACGGGATCTGGGACTTTAAAGGCCGACTCCGGCCAGTGTGGGTAAAGTTTCCGTTGCCATTCACCGGGGATATGGACATATTGAATCACTTGCGGGTATTTGGGAGAAGGCGTAGCTTGTGGAGAGTCTTGAACCTCGGCAGAGGACGATTGGGTCTATATATCTCATAGTCAGTACTCAAAATCCATCTGACTTGACAAAGGGTCCGATGCTAACCTTGGGCGAGTCCGAGTCTTGCTTGTTGACGTGCGCGGCGGGCGCGTCACCATGGAGCAGGCGCGTGATGAATGACCAGACGCCAGTTACCCGGGACCGGAGTTTGGTAAAGAGGAGTTGGAAAACATGCTGAGCAATCGTAAACATGTCGAAAAGTCGGCCTCTTCCGTCGTCGTCGTCGTCGTCGTCGTCGAATGTCTACTCCGTATGCAGGGGGATTTGCAGGGGCAAGGACACCCAGGACGACGCCACGAAGGACGAGACCAACCTCGACAGCACGATCGTGTCCAAGCTCCGGAACAACGTCACCCCGGAGAATATGTTCTGTCAGGCATCTGCGTGCCAATGACACAAAAACTTGTCCCTTGAACAATGCAGCGGTTGCATTACCTCTATGGTTTCAAGTAAATCCTGTATTCATGCATAATGCCATCTTCAGAATTGTTAGTTGGCTGGACTTCTTTTGTTGGCCACATCTCGGTTTCAGCAGTTATCCACTTTTCCGACATGGTCGTTTTGTGGGCAAAGAGGAGATTGTCATTGAATCATGCTCTACATCGATAATCTTGAAAAATCTAAGTAAAAGGCTAGAGTAAGAAGAATGTGCAGATGGCTTTTTATCTGCACGCGAGGCTGCTTGCCCGCACGTGATGACGTGGGACCCTCAACAGTTATTTAGACATGTGGGCACGGTTCAATGTTGGCAAGTTCCATGAGAGCCAAGTCAGCTCGAGGCATTAATAGCGGCCAACTGGGGTATTTCGTCGAGATAACCACCACCAGATAGCAAACTCTCAAGTGGCGAGTCAACAACGGCAATGCGCATTAAACTCTATAGCTACTCTTCGTTAATGTGAGACGAGGTTAGTTCTTCTATTAGAGTTATACATGATACATGACAAAAAGTTATATTAGGTTCATGAGTAGGTGACATGGTTGCTGTCAAGTAAATGTGTCAGACAGTCCGCCCGACAGGGGGGGGCTTTATTTATCAGATAATGCTAATGCCGCGCATGTGTGTATACATATGTAGAGGGCGGGTCCTTAATGACTACTTGATTCAAAGAGAAGCAAGTACCATAAAGCGTCTCCGAGTCAAGGCGTACTTCGGAGCTCCAAATAAGGTCAATTCGCATGTTACAGCGCTCTCTTGCATTAACAAGACTTGGGGGCACTCACTTATGCCAACATACAAGATAATGCCGTTATTGATTACCGAGGACATGCATTATAATTCGCATAACAAATCGCTCTTGATATTGGGTGCATTGACTTTAAGAGATGCCTTGTACAAAAGGCTTGCAGCTATTAGCAAAGAAAGCTAGAGGGGGAGATGGATATAGACAAATTAACATCCAGATGCCCAGGAGTCCAGGACAGGTATAAAAGCCTCGATTTCCTCTGTCTAGATTGAATTGCCATCATCACTCCCATCTACTATTAGCACCTGCTACTTTTTTATAGTTGACCAACTACTACTCTGAGCATTTATATTTCTCCCCTCTAAATATCATCCACCATGAAGATCGCCGTACTCGCCACCGTCTCTGGCCTCTTTCTGGCCGCGTCCACCTTGGCCTTGCCAGCTACGAGTTCTGCCCAGCCTGAGGCATCCTCGGAGCAGTGGCAAGAAGCTTTCATGAGTATCTGGTCGTGCCACTGCACCCACCGGGGAGGACAGGATTATAAAAAGCACGTCAAGAAGGACATGCAGTGCATGATAGAAAATACTGCGACAACTGTGGGGAATTTCGAAACGGGCGAGAAAGATTCTCTTGTGGAAATGGACAAGGAAGTAGAGAAATGCAAAGCAGCTGCTTGGCAGAGGGCTCGTCATTCTGAATGTGAGCCTGGCCAATATGAAACTGAGTGCTATTTCCCAATCTGGAAGGTGTACTCGACGTGCGTTGGCAATAGCCCGTCGACATCCAAAAGAGGATCCGATTGCCCCAAGAACCCCAACAGCAAACCTGAGAAAGTTAAGGGTGACAAAGCTAAGCCTCAGGGAGCTAATTCTGAGGAAGCTGATGAATGCCCCGAGGACCCTAGCAGCAAACCTGAGGAAGCCAAGTCTCAGGAAGCTAATCCTGAGGAAGCTGACGAATGCCCCGAGGACCCTAGCAGCAAACCTGAGGAAGCTAAGTCTCTGGGAGATAATTCTAAGGAAGCTGACGAATGCCCCGAGGACCCTAGCAGTAAACCTGAGGAAGCCAAGTCTCAGGGAGCTAAGACTCAGGGAGCTACGTCTGAGGAAGTTGAGCCTGAAAAAGCTAAGACTCAGGAATCTAAGCCCGAGAAAGCTGCTAAGACTCAGGAAGCTAAGCAAGCCTAACAAGAACACACGTGGCAATTTGAGGCGGCGAAGGTACAATAACAAACCGAGAAGAGCTGGCCCTCAGGATTCCGACAAGTACATGCCACAGCACCTCCAGAGCTGTTTATATGTACAAAAGCCTGGCTAACGGCTTTGTTAAACTGTCGCCAGCAAAGACTATTTTCTTAAAGTTAAAGTCTTGATAAAGCAATTAGTTATATTAAGAAAGAGAATATATTTGTTGCCTTTTCTTTCTTTCTTTTGTGATTTTTATAAATACATTGTAGTAATAGTTGTCTTCCACTATTAATATATTCGTTTAAACCAAACTTTTCACCTGTAACGGCCTCGACCCGAAAGCGGCTTGGCTGGCGCTCTCGTCTTCCGCCCCGGCCTCCCGCGTCTAGACCTACTATGAACGAGATGAGCATTAATGACTTGCAAGCTCGTAAGCTCCCCCTTTCTTTATTCTACTTGTCTTTCTTCTTCAGCTTCAGATACTTGCAGTCGTCGCCTGGCCAGTTGTTAATAGACTCGCTTGGACTATTAGTTACATGTTGTCAGATTTTCCGGAATTTCCGACGGTCAATTCCCGCATAGCTCCCAGTTTATCTACATTGGCTCAGAATCCCCCGAGTCGCCAACTTCCTCTGGTCCTCTGGCAGTATACGCTCGGTTTGTCCCATGGCTTGATAAAAGGATAAAAGGTTTTGCCACCTACACTATAAAAAGCGGAGACTACTCCTGGTAGTGCAAGGGCTTTATATCGCCGCATGTATTACTATAGCTTCGTCCTTCACCATGGCGGCGACAAACGGGACTTCTCCGCCACCCGCCGGCTGGAGACCCACATCACCCGGATCCCCTCGCCGAACCACCGGCGGCTCTGCACCGGAACGCACGGAATAGGAGTAGTTTACACACTGACAAACCTGCCGACAATAAAATCCCAACCAGAGAATCTAACTCACTACCCATGGCCCCCCTAACATAAGCGTTTTCACATAATGCCCTCTTCACACCATCTTATACAGCAGTATGAACAGTCTCAGCCTCTTAGGCCCTGCAACGTGTCCTCAGCCACGGATGTGGACGCAACAAGCCAATTCCCGTACGAGCTCAAATTTCAGAGCTAGGAAACTGTAAATGACCGTGGCATTCCATACTGCGGCCCCGTTGTACCTCGATTGCCATTCTCTCCAAGATCTCACGGCTTGGTGGAGTAGCGCAACGTCGTAATAATAACACGCCGGGCAACCCCGCAACGAATGCCGTGTTTCAGCACCCACGGCTTTTCCCTGTATGAACCACCAAATGATGCTATTGGGTCGTTCCGCCTTGCTGATTTTATTGTCTGCACCGGCGATGTGATCGAGTGTCACGCGGAAACGGCCCAATATCACACGGTTACACAAGGGCTACGATCACAGGACCTAGGGCAAAGTTCCTCACCGACTTCTTGTATTTAAAGAGGTCTTTGGTCAGTAATGCCTTAAGAAAAACCAAGGACCTATGATACCAAAGACTTTTATTAGATGAATTGAGACCAAGCCTTCTGTATTGAACCCTTGTCACATCGAGATTCAGATCGAGATTCCTCCTTGGGGTACAGGAATATTGAGGGTGCTAGTCCCGGCAACGCCTGTTCCACGAATTTCACGTTGTCATAAAAGCGCGGGCCAGATCTTGAACCCGGCGATAGTTACACAATGGCTCGGACCTAGTGAGGCCTCAGGCCTCTGGGCCTGTTTGCTCACCACTGTTTGATATAAATAAGGGTCACCCGCCCTCAAGGCCTTGAGGAAAACCAAGAACCTTTGATGTTAAAGCGAATTCTTAGCCGAATGCAATTTTGTTCTCAGCCCTTCTTCACAAGCCCTTGTCACAACGCCTCCCGCAGCTTCTGCCGTTGAATATTACAAGCCGAACCAAATATAAGGCCACACTCCTAAAAATGAAGACTATCAAAATTGTTGCCATCGCCGTTGCTCTTTCCAGTACCGCGATGGCTGGGCCTGTCGCCTACGCCACCTGTCAAAATGCTTGTGCGGAAAGTCTCGCCGCAGGGCCTACTGCTGTTGCAATCTATGCGGCTTGCCAAGCAGCATGTGCCGCACTACTGGCTATGCCGGGTCCATAGGCCTATCTACTACAAACGGTCAGTAAAGCCTCTTGACTACTTGTTGCAAGTCCAGCTCGGGGCTGATGGTGGTAATTCCGTTGGTAAAGCAGGGCAGTGCATCTCGGCCGCGATGAACTGAGTTGTAACAAAGCATTTCAACATATCCCTTTGGCTGGAAGTTGGGCTTCTTGCACTTCGTCATAGGCTCGAGTTCAACATGCAGACAGAATGGACGCATTTCCGGGGAACAAACAGTCTAGGTATAACAAACACAGATTGGAGTGTTGCTCCGCCTACAGCTCAGATTTACCAAGAATGAGACCTCTTCTTTCTCAGCTTCGAGATACATGTACCCAGGCCTGCTTTTATAGCTTCCAGATTGTAGCAGTGATTGAACTGCGGAATTTCTGGATCTATTTGCTCCATAGCTCAATGATCAAACCCGATAGTCACTGTCACACCAATCTTCAGGTATCCCAATGTCACCTACTTGATACATCGTGGGGCGATTCTAACAATAGGCAAGTCGCCACGTCTGTTCAACCTATTCCAGCGTTGCGCCATCTGTAGAAGTATTGGCCGGCACCTTATTTGGTCAGCATGCTGTTCACGCATGTGGAATTATACGCGACGGTATCAAACCCTTGATATCCTCGTAGAGACCGCACAAAGCCATTAGTACTGATGCGACCTGTCATTGAAGACTTTCATATTTCGTCATTCACGATAGCCGTTGGGTTTGACCGCGTGGTCAAACTTGCAGGCTTAAGAGCTACGAAGTTGGGCACTCTTTATCGTATACTGCAGCAACAATTTGTTAATGCACTCTGGGAATTGCAGCCTTGACGTTCCATTTCCAATCCATTTTAAAAGCAATCCTGTCCATCCAACGTACGAGTGTGCTCTAACCGAAATGGGCATCAAGAGTGGCATGATTCACGGGCTCCTTGGATCCTAGAGGCTGGCCCGTATACTTCAAAGGCTGATGATGTTCACTTTTTATTTCCTCCAACTTTGTATTTACATGGCGCATATCGTTACATATGTATCTATATTTTCCTTGCTTTACGCCGCACCACCACGCCCACCAACTCCCCACTGCGCCTGTGCCTGTGCCTGCGCAACCAGACGTCGAGGTCGGCCAGGCCAGGAACTTAGTCTCAGCCAGGTACCTCAGAAGCGGCCGACGGTCTCCTGGCTGATGCCCTCGCCGGCACACTCATCAATATTTGTCCACCGGTCTACATCAGTTTTAAGCACGGTAACGGCATTGTGATCATCAAACTCTGGCGTACGCGTAGTTGATGGTAAGTCATTTATCGCCACGTGAAACTGGGGCATTAAGGCACGCTATTCCTTATCCTTTTGGACGAAACCAGCTGAAATAAAGGGAGCTGGGCCTTCCAATGATTGGAATCCACCTCTGGCACGTCATAACCGTAGTAGTTCAGCGTGGAGAGATACTTGTTCATACACAGGCGCGGATGGGCCGTGACATGGACAACGTGGACACCGACGTCGCCGCCGCTGGTGCCAGTCTCGGCCGAGACGGGATTGAAGCTAGCGAGGACGACAACGCGGGCGACGTGGCCTACAGGCACGGCGTTGACGGTGTTGACGATGCGTGGGGCGGTTCGACAGCTGAATACAGCCCTTGAGCCTGCGAGTGAGGAAGTCGTCATTGTTACGAACAGCAGTGGCGGTGTTCCCGAGGATGTAGCCGGGTCGGACGACAGATCCGAGGAGACCTCGTCTGCCAGCCTCGCGGACGAGCTTCAGATACCTGTGGTCTATTAGAATCGTTGTTAGGTGCGGAAAGGGGTTGGTAGTCAACTCACCCACTTGGTCTGGCAATACCAAGGCCGGCGCGGCTGCCCATTGTGTCGTCCGCTTCCATGATGGGGCTTCGTCTCGTGCCGGTCTGCTCTTAATGTAGTGATCGGTATCCGGAACGCTTGTTGAGCTGACAAACGAGAAGAGCTTAGGCTTGTCTTGGTTACAGAGCCATAGGGCATCGAGCGTTGATAGGACGTTGCTGCGTTCAAGATGCTTGTACCGTTGTACCCAATGAACCTGGGCGCCGTTATGGATGATGACGTCCGCAGCGTCGGCAACCGCGCCCCATGTCTTGTCGTCAAGTCCAATGTACGGCTACGAGAGGTCACCAATGACTGCGCTCGGCCTGACTGCCCAAGAATCCTGCCAGACGCGGTAGCTGAGGGGCCTCTTGAGTCGCCCGAGGGCGGCCTGGACGTCTCTGGTTCCTCGCACATGGGCAAGCACCTCAACGTTCTTACGCTCAAGTAGGTCCTTGACTATGTAACAGCCCAGGAAACCTCTAGCGCCGGTCATGAAGACGGTAGTCTTGCGTTCCGGAGTGAGCGTTGCAGGGTCCGCCGTCCGATACTTGGCATCCAGGCTGCCGAGCAGCTTCTCGAGCGACTGGGTGAAGGCAGGCTCGCCTTCCTCCGCAGCGCCGGTGTCATCATTTCCCTCACGCGGGCGGTCGACCTGGACGCTGAGCGCCTTAAGAGACGAGTTGGAGTAGAGCGAGTGGATGGAAACGTTGGTGCCCATCTTCTGGCGAATATTAAGGAGAAGCTGCTGTGCCAGCAGACCGTGCCCACCGCTGTAGAAGAAATCCGACTCAAGTCGAAGAGTATTGGCATTCAGACCACAGACAAGCGTCACCCACTGCTCCGCAAGATCTTTGTTGGTGCTGATGAGGCCTTCCCAGCTCTTCAAATCCTCCTCCGAAGCCTCCTCCGAAATCAGAGCTGCATCTGGAAACGGGAGAATTGGACCGTCTACCTTTGCCGTTCGGGTTTGAAGGCATGCTTTTTGGGAAGATGCAGTACCTTGGGACGCCGTAGGCTGGTAGCTTAGATTTGAGATGACCTCGGACTTCCGCTTGCATTGACCCGAAGCGCTTATGATAGACGACGACGGGTCCAATCCGGGTGCCTTCCTCTTCATTGTCCGTTAGGCCGTGGTCGGCTAGCCACCGAATACACTCTTGATAGTCAGTCACAATATAGCTGGCGAGCGTCGACTCTTCATTTTGATCTCTTCGAAGAAGTGTCTTGGACTCGCAGATGAGAGGGGCCTTCTTAGGTTGCTCTCGATCTCGTTGAGCTCGATGCGGAAGCCACGAACGGCCCGCCCTTGGCTCTTCCAATGGAGATGAGTGCCTTTGTCTGGGAATCTTGGAGGTAAATCTTCTGTCTTGCCGGAGGATACGCCGGGTCCAACACGGTTATGGTCACGACAGCTGCGAGAGTGCCCATGAAGGCAATCACGAGCTCGACGGAGCGGTAGGCGAAGATCATAACGACATCGCCATTGGTGATGCCAGCGTCGTGGAGCTAGTTGGCCAGTATGTTGGACGCCTCATAGATCTTATTTGTAGGTGAATCGCCTCGCAGGAGTGGTAGAAGAAGCCGTCTCCGTGACGCAGGGCCTGTCGGGGTTCGCTCGAGCATTTTCCTGGAAGATGTCATGGATAGCCCCAACCCAGCCGCTCCAGTGGAGATGGATGGTAGGATCCCGTTACTTTGAGTGCCTCTCATGGTGATTGGGTTTCCAGAGTATGTGGTGGTTTGGTGCCAAAGAAAAATGAGCCAATTGAAAAGAGCCAGAAGCAGGGTAGGGATATCAGTGGGCGGACCAAGATGCTTGAGCTGGGAGCCCGGAGGGGCAGGTGCTTGATGTCAGTGCCTGATTGTAGCAGGCGGTCAGCATGTACACCAAGCGTCGAGCATTCACAGAGACTCGCACACCTGGCGACAGCTCTCATCTACTCCTGAGTTGAGGGAGAGGACCAAAGATGCTAAGTAAGGAGACTGGCCCAGGCTGGAGCCAAGGTTGAGCACGCTGAAACGCACGCCTGACGTCATGAAATCAATTCATGCTTCAAGCCCAATCGCGGGGCCATTCAGAAACGCTCCAGGCTCAGCAGGAGGGGCAAAATCATGCAAATATAATCCTGGGCTGGACGCATATTCAGGCATCGAATGCTCCTGGCGCGCAGTCACAATCCCAACCAACGACAATGCCAATTGCAATGCAATGTCAAAGCAGTGTACTCTTTCTTCTATATGCTGCTGTAGATCTTCATGACTCAAAGCGAGTAGCCCTGCCATAGTGATACAAAAACTCCGGATATACCACCTTATACATCATCGTATCGCCAAGCTGTACATGGTACTCTAGCACAAGATGGCCGATGAATGCAATATCTGCCACTCGCGACGGTAAACCCGGGCCGGGGATCACGTACGCACCATCAAGGGAGAACTGATATCATTTCCCAACGCCACAACAAACGGGGTTTCCTCATGTCAATTCTCTATACAGAATGATGCCGCAATGTGCATTCTCACTCCGCGCCAAACTTTCGCCCAATCATCCTGCATCGGCGACTTCTCAGACACGGGTCATGGGGTGTCGCCCTCCCGACCCCGACCGCACGGAGCACGCCCACCGCACACTCGATCAAAACGAATTCTACCAGACTTCACCATGTTCTTAGCTGTACCAACACGGGCTTGTAATACCCACCAGCGACCTGACACTAGAAACGACCGGCTCCACATTCTCGGAGCCACCCGCAATGGCTATCAAAAAAATCACCGCATCGCGCAAACTTCCCCCCATTCAAACCTCCCAAGCCCATGACAGCAACGTGCAAATATGGCATCTCCCAAGGTCTTCATCGTAACCGGCGCAAGCAAGGGTATCGGAGCAGCCGTCACGCGCTACCTGCTCGACCAGTCGCACAAGGTCGTGGTCACGGCTCGTTCGGCGGAGCCGTTGGAAGGGATCAAAAACGCGTACCCGGGTCAAGTTGAATATGTGGCGGGGGATATGACCAGTCCCGAGGTATGGCTTATTCCCATCATCCCGAGTTGTTGACGTTGGAGGCAAGTGGGTGTTTCTGGGAATGAAGGCGTTGGCACGCGGCGGACCATGAGCTGATGATATGTGGCAGATGCCCGACAAGTTGACCAGCCTTGCCGTCACATCGTTTGGCAAACTGAATGGACTTGTAATCAATCATGGACTTCTCGTGTCTTCGAGATTAGAGAATACGTCCATCGACACCTTCAAGAATCTCTACAACGTCAACGTCTTTAGCTGTTTGGCCATGGTAAACCTCTTATCGCGCCGACTATCAAGTACCCAATACTGATCGTTTACGTTAGGCTCAAGCAGCACTTGGTGAACTACGAAAGACCAAGGGATGCGTTGTCTGGGTCTCTTCGGGTGCCGCTCTCAAACCATACACGGGATGGAGCGCGTACGGTTCATCCAAAGCAGCGCTCAACTCCCTCTCGTCGCATCTTGCTTTTGAGGAAAGGGACGTTACGAGCATCACCGTCAGTCCGGGACGCGTAGATACAGACATGCAAGTGCAGATTCGATCATCAGGGCAGCAATCCATGGATAAGGCACAATACGACACATTTATCGAAGCATTCGAGCAGGGCAAACTGCTAAAACCCGAGCAACCTGGCAACGTGATTGCCAAATTTGTGGCAACCCCCAATAGGGAATTGAGTGGGAAAGACCTGAAGTAGGCGCCCAATCATAACTGCGTTATTGGTACTTACTGACAACATGAACAGTTGGAATTCTGCCGAGTTGGCTTCCTATCGGGAGTAGGCGACAGGCACGTGGACTAAAGAGTTGCTTCCGATCATGTTAGCTTCGATTCCATCAAAACATGAATAAGTTTATAGAAACAGATAAAAAATTTGCAGTCAGTCGAAAGATGAAAAGCTCTTAATTTACTCCACATGCGTGATTCGGTATTAGCATGGAATGTAAGTTTCTTCATCATAGCAAATATGTCACAGCGAAGCACGTGTACATGGCAATTTTTCTTACCTTTTTGAAGATTCATCCTTGCGTGACGGTATTTTCGTCCAAGTGATGGCTTGACGCAGTGCCTATTTCGAAGCTTGTTAGCATGCCCAGTCGCGTTGTTGACACTTCCATTCAACAAATTTTTGGGTGCTGCGCTCAGGCTATCGAATGTCTCCGTCATGAATGATCGGTATTTGATAGTACCAGATAGCAAAAAGGCATCATGGCAGTCGAAGGTCGGCATGGCGAAGGGTGGAAAATCTTACATTGTGCACGAGCAACGTGGAAGCCTAGCCGGGGCGCGGGTTAGCTTGATTTGGCCTTGCATAATTGTGCGCAACACGATGGGACTCAGGGCCAACAAGGGTTCAGCTGGGTCTATTTGGCATAAGACGTGTCTGTCAGCAAAGAGGCTTGTCGGACCTCCTCAGACTGGGGCGACAACGAATCTCATCACTGGAAAGGCACGAAGGAAAGGACGTCAGCTGTGTAGATCTTACCTCCAGGGAGCCAATTTCGGTCAAGCCAGTCAACGCAAGAGCAGAATCAGCTCAATTGCGACACGGGCATGCGTGTTGTTGAATTCATGACGAATGTTTGGTGAAGAAGAGAGAAACTAGAAAGGATGGTTTTTTTTTTTTTTTCTTTGCAGGTCGCTTTTTAGATGAGGACCCGCTGGCACGTGCACGCTGACTGTAGAGCAGAATTCCCAGCCCTTCAGTCAGTGGGTTTAGCACCTTGAGTGGAGAGCCCGTCTAGCTTTGGCGAGCTGCTAGTGGCCACTGCCCCGGCGCCCCGCTAGACGCGGCACTGTGGCCTCCATAGCCGTGCAGCGCCAGACCAGAGGCTGTGCTGCTCAAGCTCTCTCAAGCGCTCAAGTTCAAGGCATCTTGGGAGGTATAATTCGCAGCTTCGCCCCACCATGCACCAGACCCTCGCCATCCGTCATTCTTCAATGCTCAACTGTTTCGACCTTCAGCTGTGAACTGGCCTGACCGTGGCGCGTCGCTCACATCACATCTTTCTCTGGCTGCCTCAGCATCCTCGCGTCTATCCGCAACTTGTCCCTGAGCTCATCTACCCAGGCCCTCACTTGCATCTAATTTTCCAGTCTGCTTTTGCACGCCGCATTGACGTTGCATTTAGGTGGCCTGCCGCGCCGTATCCTGCCGCACCTCCTTCCTGCACAAATCATCACGACTTTCATCCGTCAACATGTCGGATCACGAGTTCGGCGGTACGTTCAGCTTTATTTTCCTCTTGTTTTATTTTTTTTCTCGTCGCATGTTCATCATTGCTTGCCTCTTTTCATGCATTCCCTGTCGTACCACCATTTCGTTAATTCTTTCTTGTCTTGGTCTCTCTCGCACCCGCCCACTTCTTGTCATATCAAACTTGAAGCCGGTCAATGTCGGTGCTGCTGCCATCACGGCCCTCCCACTGAACTTGATATGAAGCAGAGTTGTTGTTACGCAGTGCACGAGCCATTTCTGTTTCTCTCCCTTTTTTTCCCACTGATGAATCAAGCCTCGTGTGTCGTGGTCGCAGTCGCAACGCAAGTGCTTGCTGTCACGTCTCTTCTCACGTCCCTAGCCGCCTCATCCTACGGTTCCTACCCATCTTTCGGTCTATTTATCAGGGTGCGCCGTCATCTTTTGAGAACTAGCCCTGTCTGCCTTGATTTCCGGCGCATTTTTACTATGCCCAGGAAGCCTCTGACGGACCGATATTGGGCCAGGGTGGATTCAGGCCTCAGTAAACGCTGCATTTCTTTGTTTCGCCGTCTGCGCCAAATTTTCTAACGAGATGATTTATAGCCAACGATGACCTGTCTCTCCCCAAAGGTATGCTATTCATAGCCGCCCATTCACTGCCACGGAAGGGCGCCGAAGCTAACACCTGTCGACAGCCACCGTCCAGAAGATTGTAGGTGAAATCCTGCCACCACACGGGGGAGTAGCTTTCGCAAAAGAGGCCAGAGATCTCCTGATTGAATGCTGCGTGGAATTCATCACCCTCATTTCTTCCGAAGCCAACGAAATTTCCGAAAAGGAGGCCAAAAAGACCATTGCCTGTGATCACATTACAAAGGCCCTCGAGCAGCTTGGCTTTTCCGACTACGTGCCCGCTGTGCTTGAAGCTGCTGCCGAGCACAAGGAGGTTCAGAAGGTGCGTCTTGACTCGTCTTTCGTGTTTCCGTCTCCCCTGGGCGTTTTGCTAATCTGCCACATCTACCGCAGGGCCGAGAAAAAAAGGCGGACAAATTTGCCAACAGCGGCATGTCCATGGAAGAACTAGCGCGTTTGCAAGAAGAACAGTTCGCCCAGGCCAGAGAGAGACATGGATGAGTCTTGCCTCTTTTTTTTTTCGTACGACAGGGGAGCTGCTTCGTTTTATTGGGCGTCGTGATGGGCATTGCTTGGCGTTGACATATAGGACACAAATGATTGGCGATGCGAAGATTGTTTGCTGGGATCTTTTGAGTTTATTTGGTTAATCGTTGAATCCATCGCGAAAGGACACACATCGGGTCCTAGGTTCGCAAAGATATAACGATCGGGGAAAGGCCATGTAGTGCTTTGAATATACATATAATATCTACGGGTTCATCCAAGTCGCTACGCCACTTTCCACAACTCGGTCAAGGAATATCCTTTGTCCTTTGCAATTTTGCTTTACTGTAGTATTCCAAGCGCCATTTTGCCATTTAGCCGGTGCCATCTCGCCTCAATTCACTAGTTCCAGCAAGTGACAAAATTTGTGTGGCAAGGTAATTCCAGCATTGCCGGCATGGCTTCGATCTAGATCGGTCCGCAACACAATGTGCTCCCGTCTGATTGGTGCCGACTTCATGACGGCGGCATCTCCGTGAATGTTCCAGTCAGCTGTTGATTCCCCCACCAGTCGCTATTTCCCTGCATCGTCGTTGCTTTTTCCAGTTATCCATTTTTCGGTTGGGTTTTGCAAATTCCATATATAACAATCGGGTACAGCTTCACACACCCATCTGCCCACACTATTGAATCTGCTCCCCCAATTGTTCGCAGTTGCATCCCAAAGCCTGAGAGTTGCATTTTGGGATATGGAGCGAGCGACAAGATGGCTTTCCGACCACTGAGACCCGCCACCTTCAGAAAACGCCCATCCGCATCCCGTAATACATCTTCTAGTGACGATGCTCGATCCCCTGGTGCCGGTCCGAGTCGGACACTAGCTATACAGGCTTGTCTTGACTGTCGAAGATTAAAGATAAAGGTTGCCCCGGCCTCTTTCTCGTCGCATGCTTGAATATGCTCCAAGCCTTGCTTACCGTTGCTAACACCGCTGCTGCGCAACCAGTGCGATGGCAACTGGCCCAAGTGCTCAACGTGTACGACCAAGAACCGAGCCTGTGGCTACGTCGGCCAGGAGGGCCAGAGTCGAGCCACTGCTGTCAAGTCACGGCTCGAGTCTTTGGAAGAGCTGCTAGCTGCGCTGAAAACCAGTAGCCCCGAGCAGCTCTCCACGATCCTAAACAGCATACGAGATGATGACGACGCCGTCGGGGCGATTGAGAGCCTTGCAAGTCAGACAGTTGCTTTGAACAGGCAGGATGACCAATACGGTTTGTTGCTCCTGGCCAACAAGCTGACTTGCGATCTCCGCCTCCTGCTCCCGGAAGCACCGGTTATGATGCGGGCGGTGAACTCATTCTTCAGCTGCAGCGGCAAGCTATTCCACGTCTTTTCAGACACATATATCCTGCAGTGCTATCGCGCAATCTTTGATGAGTCTCAAGCTCCCTCGGAACTTTTAAAGACCAAGGTCTGCTGCCTGGCGGCGGTTGCTGCAGTAGGAGCCCAGTACTCGCCCGACACAATCAGCAAGGAGGTGGAGGTGGGCTTGTATAATCTCGCTAGGCATTTCCTTGAGGTCACGATTGAGCATGAACCTCTACACGCAATCAAGGCCTGCGCCTTGTTTGCCCAGTATAACATCATGAACAAGGAGATGGTGTCCCTCACATACGTTGGTAAGTGACTGGTGTCAATTTTTGACCCAGGGTGTTTAAATGTTGTTTGACGCCGCTAATGTGCCCTTTTTAATTACAGAAACTGGGCTGAGCATGTGTCACATCTACGGAATAAACAACAGGGCTTTGCGGCCTGATTCCATACCCAGCGTGGAATGGCGCGACCTTCGGAATACATGGAGAACTTTGATATTTTTCTCGAGGTATGCAAACGAAGAAACATTCTTGGCCGAGACGTCTGCTTCTGGGTCCTGACAGCATGTGTTCCCTGCAGCTGGCTCTCATCGACACTTGGGTACATCTCCGGGAACGCTTGGTCGGCCGAGAAAAGAGTGGTACGTGGACAACATCGACTCGACCTTTTAGCCTGACAGAATCTGACTTTTCTCCAAGCTCGCTGACCTCAAGTTTGATGATGCGGACAATATCACCGAAGGTATGTTTCAGCAAGAAGCGACCACAGCGCTCGTTACTGACGTGGAGCAGTTGTGCAGACGGAAATGGCGAGAATATGCCTTCTCAAGGCGGAAATATTGCGAATGCATTTGGTATTCAAGGATCTCACAAGCCTGGCTGTCGAGACCATTAGGGGAGATTTGCAAAGCTGGTACGGAGAGCTACCAGAATCCATGCGACTCGGAGTGCCGGCACATGAGGATCTTCCGGTGGGAACTAAGCGATCCATCTTGCATCTGCACATGCTTTACCTAGGGGCCATAATGCTTCTCTATCGCAGAGTAGCAACCCAGTTCTTGCAGTCCTACGCAGTTGGGGGCCTTGGCGGCAGCCTACACCTTCACCCGCGCGAGGCGTTTGTCCAGCAAAGCGCTGAAGCTGTTCTCGCAGCCAGCACATCAGCCAGCATCGTCAAGCTACTTCTGGACGACGATGGTGTCTTCAAACATTGTTGGCTTGTCATGTCCGTACCCCCCATGTCTCACTCAGCGGAATGAGGAGGCGAGTTTGATTCGTTAACAATGACGTACATAGTTTCCAAACCTACACCGCTTGTACGATTCTTCTCCATTCTGTGATCCAGAAGCAACTACACGGCTTTGAGCCATCGCGGTGGCAGGACGATTTAGAAAGAGCCGAAGACTGCCTCTCGGTACTTGCCTTCTGCGGCTCTCAGGATCGTGTCGCTGAACAATTCCATGAGCAGCTCGAGACCATCTACCAGACAGCCGCGGCATATGTTTTCAGTAGCGAATCAAACGGGGCTTTCATGGAGACGGATGCCCAGCAAATCCCTCTCCGGGCGGACAACCCTTTTACTCCAATGGATGATGTCGGGGAAGCAAATTGTGCCTATCTCCTAGACATTCCGCCTCAAGCAAATGACTCACTCGTTAAGCTCTCATTTGTCCTTCTCATGATGCTGGGCCAGCCCTTTGGCGACCGTGGCGCAAAAGAGGCCGCGGAAGTCAACTTGAAGGAGCATTGGCTGGCGGATCCCTCAAGGTACGAATACCCGCAGATGGCAGAACGCGTGGATTGGAATATAGAGAACAGGCGTATGTTCCGGTGGGATCTGAGCAAGTTGAACATTCCCCCTTTGGAGGCGATGAAGGTGGCGGGAGAGTCGAGTTCGTCAGAGGGCGCATTAGATTTGGGCTTGTCGGACAGCATGTCTGCAGGCACGTTTCTCGGCAGCTCTGAGCCGAGCGGATGGACGTCAGCAGCGAGCCTGGCGAACCCGTTGAGGAATAATGAAAACATGTGGGGAAAATAGAGGGCCTAGACTGGTGATAACAAAACACGTGTCATGATTTTGTAAAGGCATTTTAAATGACTGGTTCGCAAAAGAAAGAAAGAAAGAAAGATGCTTGCAGTTAAGCAGACGCGTACGGAGTAATTGCCCCACAAGAAACATGAAACCCCCTGGCCAATGCTACCGCTCTTCTTGTACGACCCCAGGAGCCGTCGACGGTTGTATCGATAAGATCAAAATGATGTAACGGTGGTGCAAAACCCCACGTCGGCGGTTGGTGGCTGACCGAAGGCAAAACCATTTCTACAACCACCACCCACGACTGTCAGAAGTTTGCAGACGACGACTGCATCCGCACACGACCCTGCAGGGGACGCCCGCTGCAGCAGCCGCCACAATAGGTCCAAGTCGACGCGATCGCGACAAACGAGGCTTCCGGCTCCCGCGCTGGCTCCGCCGCACCATGGGCAACGAGGAGTCGGCCCTCGTCGCCGAGTCGGTCAAGCCCTCGACGCTGACGGAGAGGTCGCTAGCAGCAGTGGCAGCCTACCTCAATGACGAGTCCCAGCAGAGAAAGGTCGTCGTCCTCACGGGCGCCGGCATCTCTACCGCCGCCGGAAGTACGTAGCGGCTCGCTCCAAACTACTCCCTCTGCTCTCCAAAAACATCCATCTAACCCCCTCGCGCGGCAGTCCCCGACTTCCGGTCCCCCAAAACAGGACTCTACAACAACCTCGCGCGGCTCAACCTCCCCTACGCCGAGGCCGTCTTCGACTTGACCTACTTCCGCACGCACCCGGAGCCGTTCTACGTGCTCGCGCGGGAGCTCTACCCGGGCAAGTTCCACCCGACGGTGTCGCACGCCTTCATCAAGCTCCTCGACGACAAGGGCATGCTGCAGATGCTCTTCACGCAAAACATCGACTGCCTCGAGCGGCGGGCCGGCGTGCCCGCGGACAAGATTGTCGAGGCGCACGGCAGCTTCGCGACGCAGCGGTGCATCGAGTGCCGGGCCGCGTTCCCGGGGGACTTGATGACGGAGCACGTGGCGAGGGGCGCGGTGCCGCGGTGCCGCGAGGCCGGCTGCGCGGGGACGGTGAAGCCGGATATCGTCTTCTTTGGCGAGATGCTGCCGGCGGCGTTTGGCGAGCGGGCGGGCCACGCGCGCGCCGCGGACCTGCTGCTTGTCATGGGGACGAGCCTGACGGTGCACCCGTTTGCGGGGCTACCCGAGCTGGCGGCCGAGGGGAGGCCGCGCGTGCTGCTGAACTTGGAGAGGGTAGGGCGGCTGGGCACCCGGCCCGACGATGTGGTGGAGCTGGGCGAGTGCGACGAGGGGATTCGCAAGCTGGCCGACGCGCTGGGGTGGAGGGACGAGCTGGAGACGTGCTGGAGGGCGGTTGTCGGACATGAGGAGGCGGACAGGCAGCTGAGGAGCGCGGGCGGCGGGGGGCGCGAGGTCGAGGGCGAGGTCGAGGACGAGGTGCGCAAGTTGGCCGAGGGGGTGGAGGAGGCGCTGAGGCTCGGGGAGAGCGAGGGCGAGGACGGGGCTGGGCCATCGGCGGAGCAGGGACATGAGGCTGTGGTTTCGGAGGAGGAGTCGGCGGCAAAGGGAGGGCATTCGATGGCGAGGGCAGAGTCTTCGCCAGAGACACCCGAAACTCGTGTTGAGCAACATGTTCCGAGGGCAGCGGCTGAAGCAGCAGGTTCCGAGACAGTCGACGAAAAGGAAAAGGAAAAGGAAAAAGAGGCTGAAAAGCCGTCCCTTTAGAACCACCCGTTCATTCACGCATTTTGAGTCACGATTGGTTCGTCATGTCAAGGCACATACATAGAGGCGTTTGGGTTGTCTAGTCGAAATATACAGCTAGTCTACACGGCACAGGGAGAATTTCTAGAAAGAAAGAAAAAAAATGTACAGGCCTCGGTTTTTTTATATACTCGCCACACACGCCGGGCCCCCCTTTTCCGATTCATAACCCGCTGTCGATCTGATCCGGGATATTGGTGTTCGTCCACTCCCCCCACTGCCGACACGTCTCGGCAACAACATGCGGCATCGTGTGCCGATACCGTGCCACTTGGTCGGGGTTGGTGAGGAACTGCGCGAAGAAGCCGGCCGACACGTGCCACGCGATGTGGCAGTGGAACGGCCAGACGCCTGCCACGGTAGTTTGTATCGTTAGCAACGTGCTCGCCGGCAGGGGGGTCAACGGGGGAGAAACGGCAAACATACCCGGGTTGTCCGCGGCGTCAAACTGAATCACCAGGTGGCCGTGCTTGCGGACCTGCACCACGTCTCGGCGCTGCGGGTTGTCCCTGTTGACAATGGTGCCGTCCCACGGGCCCTCGCCCTCGTGGAGGACGTACATGTTGAACCCGTGCAGGTGCATCGGGTGCCTGCGGGCCATTAGCAAAAGAGCTCCGACGAGTGTACGGGCGAAAGGGGGAGGGGACCTACGCAACGGGCGTGTTGTTGATGACGTGAACCCTCACGCTCTTGGCGCCCTGTGTGTTCTTGACATTCCACTGCTTCTCGAACGTGTGGTTGCCCAGGGCGCTCAGCAGCAGCGTCGGGCGGTTGTAGTCGCCCCTGAAGTCGACGCCGCCAAACGACCACAGGGTGATGTTGCTCGCGTTCTTGAACAGGCCGACCTCCATGTCGTAGGTCAAGTCGGGCGCAATGGGCCGGCGGCGCATGACGGGCTTTGTGAGCGCGAGGTCGTCGTTGGCGCAGGTCAGGGGGTCGGGGACGTCCCACGGCTGCGACTGCGGCTGCCTCGCCTCGTCGGCGCCGTCGTAGTATATCGCCGCGTAGGCGTGGCGCTCGCCGGCGAGGCTGCACGCCTCGGAGATGTTGCTGCGCATCCAGTAGGCGTCGGGCGGCGCGTCGGCGGCGACGAGGACGTCTGTCCGCTGGCCGATGCCCAGCGTCACCACCTTGGTGTCGTAGGGCTCCACGGGCACAAAGTCGTTGGCGATGACGGTCATGGTGTGCCCGTCGATGGTGAAGCGCTGCAGCGCCTCGCAGCCCGAGTTGATGAGGCGCAGGCGGTGCGTCTTGCCGCGCGTAAACTTGAAGCGTGCGATGCCGGCGTTGCTGTGGCACGGCGTCTTGTCGCCGGCCGGCAGTTTGGAGCAGTCAAAGTTTGCCTTGCCGTTGATCATGTTGGTGTCGGACCGGACGGGGCGGCCGTTGGGCTTCATCGTCTCCTCGACCAGGGCGTAGTAGTCGCGGTGGTACCAGTCCGAGAGCATGACGGGGCCGAGATCGACGTCGTACCGCGCCGTCCGAGGTCCGTATATAATCATTGGTCCGACGATGCCGCCTGCATACTGCGCCGAGTAGTGTGAGTGGTACCACGTCGTGCCGTACAACTCGGCCTCGAAGGAGTACGTGTAGCTTTTGCCCGGCGCAATGGGGCACTGCGTGACACCGGGGACGCCATCTTCCCAGGGCTTGCCGTGTTGCAGGAAGCCGTGCCAGTGCAGGGCGACGCCCTCCTCGGCGCTCGAGATGTTGTTGTGCAACGTGACTTGGATCGTGTCGCCCCAGTTGGCTTCTATCAGGGGGCCGGGGAATGCGCCGTTGACGAGCAGCACCGAGCGCTGGTATCCGTCTGGCGCGATGACGCCGCGGCTGACGGTGAAATCATACGATCGTATCACGCCAGTACGTGGGAAGTGTTCGTAGTAGTCGGTGGTGTGGTTGAGCAGACTCCAGGGAGATCCGTTGGGCAGGGGATTATTCTCCAGGAACATGGGCAGCAGAGGCGCGACAAGTGTTCCCAAAACTGATTTGCTGTGACATGTTAGCGCATTGTTTTTCAGGGGAGCATCGAGTGCTTGCGAGTGTTGCCATGTACCCATTCGTTCTTGTTTGTAGCAGCTTTCCCCCAACTTTGGCTGCCGAGTACGTCGCTGCATCGCGTTTGCTAAACGTGATGCCCATGATTCAAGCGGGCAACTCTTCCCAAACCATAAATAGAGAAGAGAGAGCGGAAAATGGAACGAGACAACAACGCCTCGGCGTTTAAAACAATATGCTTGCTCTATATAATAAGAGCATGAGCACATCTATACTAGATCCGGATCCGCCAGTAAGCCGAGGGAGACGTTGACGACTCCATCTGCACCGACGGCGGCGCAAAAGGGTCACAATATTGTGACAGTGTGGAAAGGGTCTGCATCGTCCTGTTTTGATTTTTCTTCCATTCTCCAACGTAGTGCCAGGTGATGTGCGGATTACTACTCGGTCGAGAGGGAGACGGGAGCATCCCGCCAGAAGCAGGCGCATGCAAGGTTCCCTGTCTCAGATGGAAGCTGAGCCGGCCTCCAGATCTTGTGGAACAACTTAAGAACAATGCGGTCTAGGTACATGGTTAGCGCCGCGGATTTCATCACGAGCTCATGTCGAAAATGGAGATGCTGTATGTATATGCGTGGTGGCTGCTCGAGTCTGGGAGCACTCTAGGAGTAAAGAGGTCCAAGCAAGGAGCGCCGAAAACAGCAATTAGGTATGCGAGATGACTGACAACTTCGGGATATGTACGGAGTACTCCGTACACTGCTTGATTAGTATTCTCTTTAGGAGAAAACGTGACTCCAGATTTGCTTTTTTTAGCTCGCCGTTTTGCGGGGTTTGTTGATGCCAGGTTGACACATCACAATCTCAATGTCTCAGTTTTTCGTCGCCCCTTCGAGAAAACGGTCAGTCACGGCGCCTAGCATTGATGCTTCTCTGAGCGGCTATTCCGTACCCAGTGCAGAGTTCTGAATGCATTCGAAATGGGAATACGGATATCTGTGCCGGATGGCATGATTCTCCTTCTGCCCCGCGACCATCATCAACAGGAATGTTGCATTCTGACGTAAAAGACGTCTTAGTGCCAGTGCGGACGGGACCGCAGACGCACAAGGGAGACGCGGGTCTTTTGGCAAATATTTTTGCTTCTTGTTCTTTACGGGCGGGCGTAAAGGGGGCCTTGGCCTTGGTGTAGCATCCAAGTTCGGCCGCATCCCTTGGATTATAGGATTCCGAGGTGCGCCGAGATATTGCTGCCAGCATGCATCAAGACGGGGCCTTGCCACCGCTCCCTGAGTCCGGACGCTGGAATTTCTTTTTCTTTTTCTTTTCGGATTTTATGAAAAGTACAGTGAACTTGGAGGTAATGGCACCAGTTCCATGTAGCGACCGAGTGTTTCGTGCGAAGACAGGCGAAAATAGCGGTAATATAAAATATAAAGACAATAATGTACAACGGGGCTGTCTGCTAACACAAAATTCACGTTGCCATGAAGGCACGGGCCGAAGCACACAAGATAGTCAAGGAGATGAGTCAGGGCATACGAAGTAGCAACTCAAGATACATATGTAGTAACAATATGGATGCCTCAGCTATGTAGGTCGGGTTATACATATACGCGATATATACTTGCGGGTAACAGGTCAGGACCTAGAAGAAGAGAAACCAAGAACCTTGGGAACCCAAAGACGATTCTTGGCTGAATTAAAAGCTATTCACAAGCTCTCATTAAGCCCTTGTCACATACAAGATATTATTCCTCAAAATCTTCCAAAACCCTCCTCAATTAAAATGGAAAAGACTGCCTATAATCACACTACACTAGCCTCGTCTAGTATAGGGAATATATTTGCCTGTATAGCCAGCAGAAACGGAGACAAAACTGCAGTTACTGGGAAATGCACTTTTTATACATATTCCCAACTAGACGGCATGGCCAGAGCATTAGCCATGCAGTTAATTCAGCGTGGATTAGGCCATGAAGAACCCATCGGCATATGGGTTACCCACGGATCACACCAAGTTATTGCACAACTAGCCATCATCTACATGGGCGGCACTTGCGTTCCGCTAGACCCGGACCGACCTCGGCCGGACACGCAGACACAGTTACAAGTGGCCGGTGTTAAGAACATGGTCGTTGATGATGCGTTTCAACATCGGCATCTACCCGTAACAAAGATCCCGCTGTTACAAAGCCCCGATGGGGGGCACACGGCAGGCAATGCAGCAACTCTCCCAGTGGAAACCAAGGCCGATTTCCGTTCCCACATTCTCTTCACCTCGGGCACCACTGGTACCCCGAAGGCTGTTGAAATCCTAGCCCGTGGTATCGTGAGGCTTGCACGCGACCCTGTCTACGGCCCGCGGTCCTCGGACACAGTTGGCCATCTTGGCAACCCTTGTTTTGACCTCTCGCTCATGGACATATGGGCGTCACTACTCAATGGCTCAACAATTGCGGCGTTGGATAGGCGTGAGGCTTTGCTTCCGAAAAGTCTAGACCGTATGCTCAAGGAGAATCACGTCACATATCTGTTTATGCCGACTGCTATCTTCCATATTGTTGCCCCCGTATGCCCGACTGCGTTTTCAGAATGCCACACGGTTGTAATTGGGGGAGAATCTCCAGATCTGAAGGCATATTTCCATTCCCACTACCCCCCCGGTTAACTGGCTCGACAAGGATGAAGGAAACGTGTTTCTCACGGGTGCTACGGGCTTCGTTGGCGCGCATTTACTCGTCAATTTGCTACAATGCCCTCAAGTAAGGTCGGTATGCTGTCTCGTCCGTTCCGACTCGCACGCATCAGCCCGCAAAAAGATGGGCAGAAATCTCGAAAAATACCACCTGCAACATCTTGCTACTGAATTCGAGTCAAAGATCAAGATTCTCCTGGGAGATTTTTCCAAGCCACGACTTGGATTGAGTGAGCCGGCCTTCTTGGCTCTTGCGGAAAGCACAAGTGTTGTATTTCATCTCGGTGCCCAGATTAATTACAACGAGCCGTACCTGGCCAACCGCGCTGCGAATATGACGGGGGTCTTGAACATGATCCAGTTGGCCGTCGCGTCGCGACCAAAGGCACTACACTACGCGTCGAGCATGGCTGCCTTTGGACCAACTGGCCTGGTGGCGGACAAAGTAGGGGAACTCACGGAAGATGCACCTTTGCAACCGTATCTCGATACAACGGTTGCATACGAGACGGGCTACGGCCAGAGTCAATGGGTCTCGGACGAGATGCTTTGCCAGTTGATGAAGCGAGGTTTCCCGGCCGCCGTGTATCGCATGGGTGCTGTCGTGTGCAATAGCAAGGACGGCGTAGGGAACCCGGATGATTTTCTGAGCCGGCTTACAGCAGACTGCTTCCGTTTAGGGATATATCCCCATCTTCCGGACCAGCGTAAGGAAATGATACCGGTCGACTATGTCGCTCCAGCAATGAGAATGATGGTCATGTCCAATAGGAATCTTGGCAAGGTATATCACCTTACCCCTGGTGTTCGAGAAAATATATCCGTCAACGAGTACTTTCGAATCGCACAGCAGCACACCGGCATCGCCCTGTCTGCCTTAGCATATGGAGATTGGGTACACGCTCTCCTGCAGGCGGACAAGTCGGGTGTAGAGCTTGGGTTGAAGCCGCTGTTTCCGATGCTAATGGAAAGGGTCAAGAACGGTAGGACGCGGTGGTAATTTATGTTCAACAATGACAAGACGGTGGCTGCACTAAAAACCTCGGAGCACTTCCAGTCACTCCGGCCAGCGCCGATCAGCCCCAAAGACTTGCATGCTTACTTTGATAGCATTCTTTCTCGAGGTTAAGTGCTAGTGGGGATGAGGGTTCTTGCATTGCACAACAGGTTGCGAAGCGTTATTGTTCAATGGACCAAGTCTGAGGCTAGTCAGCAGGGTGTACCAGTTCAAGCTAAGTGTATTGACAACTAGCTAGACGACTACTGCGAGTGCCCAAGGGTGAAGAGGAAAGGAACACAAAGGACAGCTCGAGGATTACTAACCCACATAGAGTGTGACAATCGGCCACTATCCACAAGAGCTCACCCTGACAAACCGTTGGGTTGTCAAGGAGATGGCAGGGACCGCGCGAGGAGAAGTTGAGAGAGCTTTTATTTCCTTGCGAAAAGGTTCATTGCAACCCACTAATGGTCGGTTGCGGTGGCGGTTTACAGAATGAAAGACTATACGACAATAGTAGGCCATGGAGGAATGCGGCCGTGCCCTTGTACGGCTCGTTAAGATATCGTATAACGAAAAATGAAAAGAGAAACTGTGGTAGAATAGGCAGAAGAATAAATAAGAAACAAGGGAGAAGTAGAAGTAACCGAATTATTTTATGAGCTGGTAGTATAAATCCGTTCAAGCTAGGTCGAAAACCGGGGAAATATTCCACCGACTGCGGTCATCAGCGCAGGGAGGACAGTCTGATATATGACTGGCGAGAACTGGCGTGAAACCACTCCTGAACCGTCTCACAGGCGTTAATATTGCAATCGCTTGTAATAGGACTTGTCATTCTTCGTATGCACAAGCAGTTTCCTACTCTAGATAGTACAGACATGAATCATGTTACATGTGTATATGTTACAATGAGGTGTTGTCAGAGAAGGGCTCCATCCATACATCTCTAGTCGTTCCAGCGGATATATATTGTCATTTCGACACGGGGTTGAGATTAGGGGGATTTTCGCCACGCTGGGCTAGCCATGTTTACTATCGGTCGTCTTTGCGCCCGCATGTACAATTCGTGCAGTTTAGGGTCGGCGTCTGATCGGATAACGGAACCAATCGACATGAAGAAGCTGCAGAGGGCTATTAGTTATTGTACAGAGACTGGCGCAAGGGAGGGCTAATCATACCCGAATGTAGTGCCAGAAACAAGCATATACTGGCCCAATGTTCTCATGATGCCCTGCGTACCAGCGCCGTATCGAAAGATATTGACGGTTCCTGTCATGCTGTTAGATGCCGAGCAAACCATGGAATCGGGTTGCTGTTCCGTGTTCGTACCAAAGATGAAGCCCATAATGGTCCCGACAGCTACATCCTGGTCAGCGCAAGCGACAAGACGCTGGAAATTCTTCGTTTGACATACTACCGCCCATCATGGCACCCATTTTAACTAGACGCCCATTTTGTTAGCTGTTTTGTCCTCTCTCCACCACACTTAATATGCAGTCCTACGCTTGTCAAAGTTAGACGGGCCATGCTGGCCGCCCGTGGGGACGGCTGTGACAGGAGGCATATTGTTTCTTGGTGAGGTTGCTCTCTCGGCAGTGAGGTCGGTGCTTCCTTGGAACAAATCCAGTCTCGTTCAACCACAACCATCTGATTTCTTGGACGGTTGGACCCTTGTTCAAGCTCCCGTCAAACACTCGACTTGATTGGATGTGGCCCGCGGGTTTGGGTAAATATTATCCCGCCAGTTGAAGCGCCCCTCACAGTTTTCTTTCCGTGGTGGAGCACCTATTTCTACTGTGCTCCCCATCACGTGAACCATGATCATGAGCGGGCGATGGGTCTAGCACAGAGTCATGAGATAATTTATGCCCGTTGGACCTAGTCCCATGCAATCGAAAAGCATCGCGGACACTGTTTACAATATCCAGACCGTCTTCGTTGTGACTTCTACCGGTGGTTGGTGAAGCACCTCGAGTGCGCTCTGCACTGTATGTGGCTCCCATCACTCTCGCTACTGAACACAGCGAGCACAGCAAGAGACCCAGCAGCGTCTAGGAGCAACACAGAACGGGGGTAACGCCAGATTGCCAAATCTCCCTTCAGTTCACTCCACACCAGCTTTCTCAGGACACGCGCGCCCGATTCCATCGCCGGCACCCCCAACTTTTTGTTTTGGTAGGTCACGGCGGTCCAGTTTGACAATTTCCCCTGGCGTGGCCGCCCGGCAGTCGCTCTTTCGCTTTATCTGGAGAGCCGCCAATGCTGCCACCCCTCGATCCGAGTCCGACGCTCATGCTGACGAATTTTTGGCATCCAGAATCATCCACACCGGAACTTCCATTGGCATTCGAGGGAATCGACCATTGCTCAAGCATCACTTTGTTTCTCGAGAGGTTCAAATCGTGGCCCGGTGTCGTCCGAAGGGCGGTGGACAGGTGTAAAGTCGACCAACTACGCGTCCGAGGCTCCATTCCGCAACGGCCATCACGGCATCCGCAGTGTGCCCGCCCCCTTCACCACAAGATACGCTTGAGCCTTCCTCATGACCGCAGTAGCCAGCCCTCCGACCTTCCCTCAGATTTCTCGACCAGCATGGGGCGCAATTAGCGGTAGCAACCCCATGGACCCCGACGAAGTGAGAGGCATGTTCGCACCGCGGAAGTCTCTCTCGAGAACAAACTCTGCTTCATCATTGTCCTCCAACGCATCCAACACGTCCGTTGCCACAAATGGTTCACAGTCGAATGGCACTTCGTTATCTGCTGCTTCCGATTTAAGTCAGTGGTCTGCAACGGCTGGTCCTCGAAAGCGACCGCAACCGAAGACGCCTTGGCCACCTAGCAAACCCGACGTGCAACCGGACTACTCGAGGCTCCCCGCCAACCGACCAAACGGCATGGCCGCACATCACAACGGACTTCAGCCGGGACCAGGCCAAAATCAAATGATGCAGCAGCAACAGATGATGCGCGGTCCGATGGGTGCGGAGCAATTCCCTCCGGGCCAACCAGTCCTCTACCTACTGTCCCTCAACGGCACATTCGAAAGAAAAACCATCTCTGTTCCCTTCGCGCCTGACAGCTTAAGAATTGGCCGGCAGACAAATCAAAAGACTATTCCCACTGCTACCAATGGCTTTTTCGACAGCAAGGTTCTATCAAGACAGCATGCCGAAATATACGCCGAGCGAAATGGCAAGATATATATTCGAGACGTCAAGTCTTCCAACGGCACTTTTGTAAATGGCACACGCCTCTCACAGGAAAATCGCGAATCGGAGCCTCATGAGTTGCAGACGGCCGATCATTTGGAACTTGGCATCGATATCGTGAGCGAGGATCAAAAGACTGTGGTACATCACAAAGTTGCTGCAAAGGTCGAGCATGCCGGATTTTTGTCCAATACTAACAATGTCTTGGACATGAACTTTGGCGACTTGGACCCGGCCAACGGCACAATGATGATTCCTAATTGGCCTCTTCAGATGCGTGGCCGGGCAAATGGCCACGCCCTGATACCTGGCCCTGGTGGTCGAATGATGAATAACGGCGGCATGAACAACCAAGGAAATGGAATGCCACAGCAACGGTCCTTCTTCTTGGCACCCGTTGCGACGGATCAAATATTGAAACGCCTAACGGTAAGTGAAACGTCGAATTGGAAAATGAAAACTTCTTGCTATGCATCCGCTAACTCGTTCCAAAAGTCGGAAATGAGAAACGCTCGGCTGCAGGCCCAGGATCTCAGTCGCACAAACCAATTCGTGAATACTCTGCTCACGAAAGAAGATGTAAAGGACCTGGAGAAACCTGAAGTGCCCGAACCGGCCAAGCAACAGCAGTCACAGCCGTCAGTGAACGGTGGCATTCCCTTCCGGTCTGATCCCAAGACGCGCTTCTCGGAACCACCCGCACCGCCACCACAACAACCACTGCCTGAGAAGCCAGATGTGCCGTCATTGAAACGAGGCCCAACTGAGAGGCCAAAGTCTGGTCCTCCGAATTCGGTGGCGGCTCGACAAGAGAATATGAATCAGATCATACAGCTTACAGAAGCGTTGAACAATGCGAAGCGAGATATTGATACCCAAACAGCACGGATGCGAGAACTAGAGGAGATGCTTCAGAAAGAACGAGAGGCTCGTGAGCTTGCCGAGGAACTCGCGAAGCGGCTTGAGGCGTCTACGAATCTGCAGATGAATGGATCCGTCCTAACCCCTGCTGATGTGACCATGACCGATATTTCCGAGTCGGCTCAAGAACAGGAGGTCGAGGAATCAGGTGATTCAAGATCAGCAGCTCCAGAAGAAGCAGAGCCACAAAAGAACGACACGTCTGCCGAGGAGGTGACAGCTTCTCTGCAGTCTCGAATTGACAACATGGACGAGCAGATGAATGATATGCGAGAGCAGCTTGAGCAGTGGAAGCACCGATGTGAGACAGCAGAGTCTGAGAGGGATGAGAGCAGAAAATCGTTGGCCGAAATGGTTGTCCAGCTTCGTGCAGAGGAGGCCAAGCGAAGTGCTGCCGAAGAGAGACGCCGCTCGAGATCAAGATCAAGGGCGACCGAGTCCAAGGCAGACGTGACGGAGCAGGAAGCTCCCGCAACGGCACCGCCGGACCCAGAAAAGCCCGACAAGACAATTGCTGCTACCAATACATCCAAAACAGACACGGAGGATGGACCAACCCTGTCAAGAGCAAACACAATCACGCCACTGTCTTCACAAAGAGGATTTGCATCCCGGGACCAATCATTACAGGCCGGGTTGCCGTATGCGTCCATGCTAGGCGTGGTGCTCATTGGAATGGGTTTAATGGCATACATCAATGGCTGGCAGTCTCCGCCTCCTCGGATAGAGCAATGATGGCCATACACAAGATGCTTGAAGACGATGCTGAGATATACACTATATTCGGAACAATGACCTCCGCATATGCTGCATAAGACAATGCTCGATATCACTTTTATTTTTTGGGCATCGAAATCATTTCATT